AAATCTATTTTTACAAGTTGTTAGTTTTGTTCGTGTGCAATCTCTTGAATCTAGCTGTCCGGTCCAGAGCAGTTTCTTAAAGCCAGTTGCTTTCTACTTGTGTATAATTTCTTGAATTCGTCATTCCAGCAACCTCGTTTGTGTGACTGGTTTGACCTTAAGTATGAACGTTTGCTCCAACTAATTGTCAGAAATAATCATAATAAAGCTTTACTTCCGTCCTTCTTTAGCAACCTCATTTGTGTGACTAATTTAGGACCAATTTTGTCGATTCGTTGTCAATAAACATAATCATGTAGTTAACATGCGTAAAATACTGTAAATATAAGCGGCTTAAGTAAAAGCAAGGCGGTTTACGTAACTAAAAAGGCGTTGTGTTCTAGAAGAAATGAATTTCAATCGAGATCGAAGTGCATCGAAGTCGCAAATTCTGAGAAGAAAAGAAGGTGATGGTGAAGAAATGAAGGTGAAGGTGACGCTTTGTTGCAAGACCAAGAAAGGAGGACTCCGCTTTTTCAGTCACAAGATGGCGTTGTTGTGAGAAGAAGAATGAAAGATGTCGAAGAATGAAAAGGAAATGTGTGAGAATTCCAAATCGAAAATCGCAATTGACGTTGAATTGTTGCTGAAACTCTCGTTATTTCTCTCAAAATCTTGATCTTGGTGTTGTCGTTGTCGTTGTAGTTCACGTAGCTGGTGATCGTGTGTCTGTTGTTTTGACGAAATTTTCCAAAAACATCATCTTCATTTCATGACTTTGACCTGAATATTTGTTGATCTTTTGTTGTTTTTTCAATTTGTGTTGTTCTCGAAATCAAGTAACGTTGTAATAAAGCAAGAATTCATCATGATAATGACACGTTAATGAAAATATAGTCTTTTAGACTCTCACTCCGCTGTACTGCATATCCATCCTTGTTTGCTTCATCACTTGAAAAAGCCTGCAATTGCTGTTGCTTCTCAGTTATTTCTCTCTGAGCAACCCAATCAATTTTCGCTCTTCAAAAACAACACCAACAGCGTAGGAAAAGAGATAAAGGGTGAATCTGAAGGGGACGCCTGGATGATTAATAACTGTGAAATAAACTACTTCAACTGCACATCTAACTGCACTTTTAACCGTTTGGTTATTCAACTGTGATTTCAACTTGTGTTTGAACTGAAAAACGAGAACAACAGGACAAGAAAACAACATCGAGAGAAAGAGAAGTTGGAAATACTGAAACAGCAAGTGAAGACTGCGAAACATCTGTTGCTCACAACCTGACGTTTTAACGTGTTATCTTGTGCATCTGTTATTTCACTCATTGAACTGTTGATTTAGCTACATCCCCTCAACTGCATTTCTAACCTTTTTGGTTAATCTAACTGGACGCTAAGTCAACTCTAACTGAAAAAAAACAACTTTCCTGATTAAAAGCGTTTATTCGTTTTGATCAACCAAAAAATGTCGCTTCAAGAAGGTGCTGCGGCGCAACATCAGGCTTTGAGCCCTCAAGACAGAATTGTCCAGCAGCAGTTGGACGACCTCGAAGACGAAAGGACGATCTCCGAACTATTTGACGATGTGGACAATTCCTCTTCTGCTCCGTTGTTTCGGCTAATAGTCTCGAACTTGAGCAAACTCCAGACTTTGCCACTAGCCTGGAAATACTTCACTCCTAACGTTTTACGCTAATACACTGCGGCAGACAATATCCCCAGATAATATTTGGAGGTAATTAAATATTTCGAAATATTCGGATCCATTTCAATTTCTTTTCTTCGGCTTTGTGCATGATACACTGCGGCAGACAATATTCTCAAATAATATTTGGAGGCAATTAAATATTTCGAAATATTCGGATCCATTTGGAGTTCTTTTCTTCGGCTTTGTGCGTGATACACTGCGGCAGCTAATGTCTCTAGATATTATTTAAAAGGAGAGGAATGCTCTCGAATATTCGCCAACTTTGCAACCTCCTGGAAGAGTTGCCAGAAAGTTGCGAAGAAGTTCGCAGAACCCCATAGAACTCATAAAAGTCACCAAAATGGGCGGAGATTAGCCAAAAACTTCAACGATGTGAGCATATCCCTAAACGGGTTCACGAACGAGGTTCAAGGGGTTTTTCGTGGCGGGTTTTCTGTCGCTTTGTTTTCCCCGTAGCCGCCGCAGCTGTGTGCCCCAAGGTGGAGCGCTGGACTTTATTAAAAAACTTGAGGAGAATCTAAGAAAAAGCTACTTTGTATGCCTGTTTTTAGCATAGAGGGAGCTCTTGTAATGTGAAACTTTCGCACTTTTAAAATATTTAGGAGAAAACACAAACAACACCAAACAGGAAAAAGTGAAAATGTCCTCTCGCTGCACTCGTCTCAGTCCCGTATGAGGATTCTTTTCATCTCATGCAAAAAAGATTATTGACTATCTAAGGTTCAACAACATATTTAGAAAAAAACACACTGAGAAAGCCTAGTAACCAGGTGCTTGAGAGTATGTTATATGACCCTGAGCGCTATAGCTTCAAATCCAGGCAGGGAAAATATTTACATAGCACATTTTGCATTTCTTATGAATTTTCATGAAGCGTGCGAGCGTTCGCCCCTCAAGGAAAATGCCACAGCGCTAACGCTCCTGCTCGGAGTCTGGTCCCGGTCGACCCCCAAACCCCACTAAACTCCCACGCCCAACAATGGAAGCAGGAACCTGTCCGCGATTCCGCCGCGCCCCCACTGTGTTACCGCCCCCGTCAAGGAAGTCGGGGAACTGGTGCATACCTCCGTCGAGATTGGCCTCACTAGGTTCCGCCAATCGACAAGGCAGCCTTGCATGAAACTCCTCGGTCCCCGCCTCCGCCGCACTGTATTGCCGCCTGCGAAAACGAAACCACGAAACTGACCAGGACCGCGCCGAAGCCCGGCGGGATTCAGTGGCCGCGGCTTTTGGCCTTTTGCGCCGCGCCTGGCGGTCGGTCGGCAGGAAGTTGATAACCGGTGCGGGCCGGCACTTCCGGGCTTCTATCCCTAGCACAGTCGGCCGCTGCCGAGATCGAGGCCAAAGCCTCCAGAAAACGGGGAAAGGGGCCGGCCATGGAGCATCGGGCCCCGAGCCCAAGCACGGGGGCCCGGCTTGCCGCCAGATGCCCTGAGCCGGCAGGCCAATGTTGAGCGGACAGCCGGCGCCGGGCTTCCCCCTAGAAGAAATGCCGACCGGCGGCCAGTTGGTTGCCAGAACCTTTAGGAGACCGGGAAAGGCGCCGGCACTGGAGCAAGGGACCCGGACTCCGACACCGCACAAAGGAACCCGGCTTGCGTCCACCCTGCCAACCGGCCCGCCGGCAGCGAGCTCCCCTTCAAAGGGGGCCGGCCCTTGGCGAGCCTGCGACACGAACTCCTAAAATACCGGGAAAGCGGCCGGCCCTGGAGCAAAGGACCGCGACCGAGCCCGCACACCTTGGCTTGGCTTGGGGCCTGGTGCTCCAAGCCTGCCAACCAGTCGCCACTTTCCCTCTGCGCTGCAAAGGCCAAAAGCCCGAGAACCTTCTTGGAGTTCTTCCTGCAAAGCGCCCAAAAGAACACTTTTTTCGCAATGTCGTGCGGCACTTTCGCCCGTGTAAGGCCGGCTTCTGTTCCCGTGGGCCGCTATAGAGGGCGGCGTAGCCCCTACGAGGTTCCGGCAGTGTAACTCCCAACAGAGGCGCGCGGGAATCTAGTTGGGATCGCTTTCGCCCTTGGAGGCTGTTGCGGGTTGTCGTCCATTCTTTCCGCGACGCCATGGCGGCGCCACCAGGCTCCTCCGGCATCTAGGTGGTGCCGCCTTCTCCTTGCGAATCTCCTGGGGATTGCCGTCGGGCGTTCACCCATCCACCCGCTATGGGAAGGCCCTACCGGTCGCAACGCGCTGCTTTTCTCTTGGTTGTCTAAACGGTGTCGCCCGTGGCGTTTAAGCAATCAAAAAAGACGGAGTGGTGGTCGGCGAAAATTCAATCCCCCCGAGGAAGGGCCGACTTCCCCCGCCGGCCGCCACTGTACAGACCTCCGTCGCCCCAACCCTCGCTTCCCGGCCCCGGTTGCCCGGTAGCTGCGCGGCCTCCCTGCGGTCTGAGTTGTGCTTCGTCCGGGCTCTGGGAGGCTCGGCGCCGTGTTCCCGCACCCTGCCGCACACACTGATAGCGCAGGCGGAAGAACCGGCTCGGCGCCGGGCCATTTTATCTCCTCCAAAGAATTCCGCCCAGTATTCGAACCAAGCAGCGAGAGAAGGCAGAGGACCGGTAGGCGGCGATGGTGCGTTGAGCAATGCCCCCTCGCGCCTGCGCCGCAAGCGGTGGAAGGCGCAGCGGGGGAAAAGGATGCATTTGCGGCACCCTTCTCGTTTCTCACGCTGTAGAGGATAAGGAAAAAACCAGCGCACCGCCTTCGTATAGGTCCCGCGGAAGCACGCCTGACAGATAGAGCGACCTTTGTGGTCAACACCTTCGGGGGGATGACGCTGAAAGAGGCTAGAACCGATTTGAAAAAAAGCCTCCAAGACGTAGGTGGCAGCAGCGCTGGTCATTTTTTTCCCGAAGCGATAACTCGGCTCTTCCATTTTAAAGGCAAAGGCGCTTTACTAAGGTTTTACATCTTTAGAAGGAAGGAGCAAGGGGCATTTTTAGGTGACTACGATACATGACCAAGGCTGCGCGTGGCCCCAGGAGCTTGGCCGTGTTGGTATTGCGATACCTTCTTTGAGCGGTTGATGCGAGGCCGTTTCATCTACGAGTCCTCTTGAGATGTTTGCTGGAATAATGATCACGGCATCCGCACAGGGGTAGGCTAGTGCTACGCCCGCTTCGTTGACCCCTTAATTTACTGTATGGCAACGTGCACGAGCTGTACCCCTTGCTTAGCTTCTTTCTTCTTGGTTCTTAACATGCTTAACATGTTTAGGCAACAAAGTAATGCCAGTCTTTCATTCGTCGAACACGCATTAGTTCAATCTACAGAAATTTCCCGCGTCGATTCATCCGGTAACAATTGACAGTGGAGTTTTTTCAGAAATGATCCACCACGCGTCGAGGGAAAATTGAGGGGGAAAGAAAAAATGTCGGGCGCCGGTTCCCACCGGGCTGTCACAGAGACGTCTCTCGGCCGGTGGACAATATTTTGCGTGTTTTCTTTTTACTACGGTGTGGGGGGCAGTTACGATCTGGGTGCGGTAACCGCGTGTTTGCCGCTGATTGTGGCAGACCTCGATCTTCACAACCTCACGCTCAGTGGATTTCTTGGGAGCGTCGGCTATTACGGGATGTTCACTACAATGCCGGTCTTCGGCGTCTTCTTTTCGCGTCTCCATCTCTGGCAGAGCCGGACTTTGGCACCTGGGTCGATGGCTCACGAGTTTGTCCGTCGCGGGCAGTGGTTGTTCTTCATCGTGAACTGGTCATTCCTCGGACTTATGGTGACACGGAAAAGCATGCTCATACTCGGACGCACCATGGGCAAAAATCAAACAAACCAAGTACAATACCACGGGGGCCCACAGGAATGAAGATTCTTTTTTGAGTATGAGTAAACTCTTCCCTGTCATAGAACTCACTTTGCTGTTGCCCATGTGCATGGCGACCAGCATCTCGCAGCTTATTATTGGAAGATGTACGCAGGGAGACTACTGGAATTGTTCTTCAGTAACAGAAACAAAATTCAAAATCCGAATCGACTAATTTTATCGTCAACAGAAACAAAATTCAGAGGTGAAAAGAAATTAGAACTACTTCGTAAACTCAACCTGAGAAAGAGAACTGCTACCTGAAGCAATTAGGACAAGACCCGTGCTGGTTAAAGCCTTGACTTTTTATACTTTCCCTACTCGTCAGTTGATTGTTTCGATATATCAAAATGTTGTTTTCTCGATATATCAAATGTTGCCCCACGCCTAGTTGCTGCCTCTTTCAGAATTTTTTTCTTGGGTGTTTTTCAGGGTGCTGCGGATGTGTATTACCCCGTCTGGATTGAGGAATACGCACCACCAGCACAGCGCACGACGTGGCAGGGAAGCCGCTTCGTTTGCATCATGCTCGGAGTGATGCTGGGTTACCTTTTATGGGCGAAAACGATCTTGTGAGTTCACAAGTACGTGTCTTTTCTCAATATCAATGCCCTTCGTTTGATGTTGCTAAAAGTAAGGAAAGAAGTAAGCGCAATAGTAATTCTTTTGCTTCTTCGTTGTACTGGTGGTAATTTCAGCATCAAACCTTCGTATCCTGTGTGAGAGCAATTTGTTTCACCGTCGTGGCAGCGTTTTATACAAATAGATGGAGATCATGGTTGAAGTCAAACGCAGCGGAAACTTTTCTGTGTATGTGTAATCTATCGTCGTTGAATGATCAAGAAGGACCTACCTCACACCGAAATCCTGAGACGTTCACACCTCGCATTGGCCTGCCTCTGAAGAGCCGCTCTGAAAGACTCATTTCAAAAACAGGAACAGCCCGCCGCCGTTTATTTAGTTTAGAGGAGTACTTGGCAGGTAAATAGAAGTTATTAATGAACGCGACCTTACCCCGAACTGGAGTTTTTTTTCCAAAAGTTGAATAGCGACGTCCTACGCGGGCGGTAAAACCTTTCCCCAAACGTCCTCCTTGGGGCGATATGCCGGAGCGGGGTTGTCATCTTGTGTGGCAGCGAAGCCGAGGTATCCTATCCTATCCTATCCTTTGACATTTTAAACTTTGATTTTCAGGAGCGCCGCGAATCAGCAGTGATGCTTGTCAAGCGACGCATTCTGATCTTGTCCGTTTCATGAGTTTTTCTATTTTCCTTTCATCGTTTGCAGGGGGACTCTTGGCAACCGGCTCAGGGCTGCTGTCGTGGCGTGCCGTGCTTGCTTTTCAGGGCATCGCTTCTCTCGCAGCTGCCGCGATGACCTTTTTTATAATCGACCCGGAGCTGATGGCTATCTTATGGAGAGAACGAGGAAAGGATTTCTCAATCAATCAATCAGTTTGCCGCCACAGGGCACCTTTTTTTTTGTATTCCGAGAACGCCGAAAGGGTGATCCCAGTGTTGTCCGGTGTACCTGCCGGCGACGGGTGGAGTGCATTAGCCTCCTTATATATACAACCACGCACTAATTGCCTACGAATCCGTCGACTATAAAATGAAGAAAAAACTAGGGGCAAATAAATGAAGAAAAAACAAGGGGCGCCGGCCTCCCCGCAGCTGCGACTGCCGCACCTCTACGTCCGGGGACGATATGAGGAGGCGACGTTGTCCACACTGCGTGGGCATAAGAGCCTCGAGCTTGTATAGTGTGCTAAGGACTATCTGCACGTACAGACACACAGTGCAAATTATATATTTGAGCTTTCTGCAAAGGCAACTAGGCTGTCCGTCAATCTGCTAAGCACACGCCAGCCAGAGGAGGCAGTGGCGAAGGGCGACGTAGAGGTCGCTGGACAGGCATTACAGCTTCGGGGCGCGAATAAGAATGAGCAGGCGGAAAAGCACAGCCTGCCATCTGGTAAAATCGATCTTCTTGTTGAAGATAAGGAAAGTGCCAATTATAAGGTGGACCAGATGTTGTTGCTTCAGGCCGCAGAGACCAGCACGGCGTGCGAGGATGGAGACCAACACAGCAGTGCTGGGGAAGTCGGGAGTGTGGTCACGGAAGAGAGTATCACAGACGACCGGGAAAACGTGTGTGTTTCTGAATCTTTCTGGATGTTGTTCGGGAACTACAACTATTTCATGCCGGTCTTCAACCTGTCGTGCATTTTTCTCATCGCGCAAGGCGTCCAGTTCTGGAGTCCGCAGTACCTAAAGCGCGTCTTCTCTCCGATTACCGAGGACCATGTCATTGCCACCACTTATGGCTCCTCTTCTGGCTCATTCATTTCTACAGGGAAATCTTAGGCAGATTGCCGAATAGATTCACGCTGTCAATTCATTTCCACAACAAGAGGAAACTTTTTTCTGGTTTTATCTCAGCTAAGGTGAGTTCTGAGAAAATGAGCTGAAGAAATGAATTCTCGCGAGCCCGTCTAAACCACAGTCGTCATCATCGCGACTGGACCAGCCGCAGGGATTTTCTTAGGCGGGAAGCTCATCGATTATTTCGGTAATGATAAAACTTCACTAAATCTCTATGGGATTGCCTTCATTTGCTTCATGCCGCCTACCAAGAATTATATCCCTCGGGCAGGCAACGCGAAGTGTTTGTTGTAGGATCAATATTCTGATCATATTTTCTGACGCATACATACCAAGCTGTACAGTTTCACTGGAGCTAGAAGTAGATCTGAAAGAACTTATATAAGAACGCCATCCACCACCACCACCCCCACCACCAGGTGGCTATCATAACGAAAGTGGGAGAATCCGTACATACACGATTCTCTGTGCCGGTGCACTGATAAGTAGTATATGCGGCATCATTGCGAACGGCCTCAGCGGAGAACCGTTGTACAACACGGCATGCTCGCTCCTGTGGGCCGTCCTTGCGGTATACTTAGACTAGATCAACTTGTCTAACTGAAGGTACTAGACTCTCAAAAGTAGATTTCGATGCCCTTTGCGGACGAGGTATGTAATAAAAAGATGTCGATTTCATCTTTTTTCTTATAATGTTCAAGGGTAAAAAGATTTACAAAAACTATGTAAGTCAGGTCGGTGCCGGCGCCGTCGGGCCATTGCAGGGAATCTCGATTAGCGCGATCCCCAACCATAGTGTGCGAACGTTAGGAAACTCGGTAGCCACCGTTGGATTCATGGTTGGCGCTTCCCTCGGACCCTTGATTCCTGGGTTTGCGCTACAGGAATTGTGCCCGAAAATTAGCGATGTTGATAGCTCGGGGGGAAACGCTGACTTGATGGTGTCTACAACAGGAACGGCGAGGACGAACAATTTTTCCGGGTCCAGCAAAGCCGCACATGAGTCCATGATAAATCTGGCCTCCCTACTACCACAAGTGCAAACGCCTTTCGCAGCCGGGCTTTCCTGGCTAGATCACCAAGTAAAATCCGGTATAGTAGCCACACCACCATCTTCATCGACAGTTATTAGTAAGCAGACTAGTGGTCTCCCGGAAATGAGCATAGTACTGACAGAGCAGGGTCGCGATGCATATACTAGCAGCATAACACCAGGTTCTAGTGCGTCGTCAATAATGACAAAAACATTAACAACGTTGAATTTAGATCAGTCTGACCCATCCACCACCGCTTTAGACGATGTTGCCATTCCCTGTGTGCAGGAAGCAGTAAGTCCCTTGCTTTGCGGCGGGGTCTTAATGGTGGTCACGCTGGGCCTCTGCCTGGTACTCGAATTGCGGTCTCGCGCGCGAAAACAAACACTTGCGCGGCTGCAGCAACCTTTGTTGCGCCGACTAGAGCCGTAGTGTTGCAGAATGAGCAGTGTTTCGCAGTACTGGAGACCCCGGCCTCTTCTTTAGTAGTATTAGCAGTCCGCCCACTGATGAATAACTAGTAGTGCTGCACCTGCACCAGACCAACAACACTGGCCATAACAAAAAAACGAGGTAGTCACTGAAGATGACTGCATCACAATATCAAAGGACCCTTTTCTATACCAAGAATTTCAAGGTGCACAGATATGCAAACATTCGTAGTCCATCCTGGAATTGATTGGTGTCCGTTTCTCTGTGCTGTATCACAGTCATCATGTCCTTGCTTTTTTCCATGTAAAAATCTTGAATAGAGGTAAGAACGTGGGTCAATTTTTATGTCAGCGTCCCTCTCTGCTTACCGCAGTGTCTGAAATTTCAAGAGTTCAATCATTCGGGTACGTAGTGTCTTCTGCGCAGGCGGTGCAATCATTCGACCATGAAATAAGTATTGGTTTCTAATCCCGTAGCTAATCCAAATCCATTACCGTCTGTGAGTGTAATGCGGTGACCGAGCGTTGTGGTGTCCTCACGTTGGAATCATGTGCATAACTTTCCTTTCTCTGACGCGAACATAGTGAAGGTACTTGGGCTAGACGGGCGATAGGTTTGCACATGATACATCATGGATCTACTTCACATAAATGTTTATAATTTACAGAGGCTTTAATGCTGCTCCTGATGTAGTTATCGGACTCGGATGCGGCTCGGCAAGTACGTGGAAAGTCTGTAGCTGTCTTCTTTATCCAGAAGGACCTACGATGAGACAAGAAGATGAACAATGCATTTAACGGAAGATAAGGAGAAGGCTTGACGTGATTGTGGCAGCAAGCTTCTATATCTCGCTTTGTACAGATCGATTACTGCAATACTGTATGCACGCAACGAAAAAAGATGAACATTCTTACGTAATCAGCATATGATTGAAGCGACGTCGAAGTGTCTTTATTTACAGCACGAACCTATAGCTATAACTTACTAGCTTGTTCGCGCAACTACTATTATTGATTGTTCACGATCCTCGGCTTGACCAAACAGCAAGTCCTGAACGACGGAAAATTTTTTCCTTCAAAAAACATTATCATGGTTCTTGTTCCAAGTAGGGTGACCACAGACACTCACAGTATGCCTCAAATGACCGTGACAAGGCTCTAAATAGGTGACACATATAAGCGACTGATCAGTATGAATTGGATCTACGTGGTCGTGAGGAGCAAGATCATTTCAATTTTGAGATCGACTACACTTTGAGAAAGTTTCGTGACAAGATGAAGGAGCGAAAAAAAATTGCATTCATCCACCTCGACCTTGGCATTGGGGGAGCAGAGCAGCTGATTGTGCATGCTGCGCGGGGTCTAAAGCGCGCGGGACACGACGTGGTGATCTACACGTCGTTCTTTGATCCAGGACGATGCTTCCCGGGACTAGAGCTTTACAACGGCAGCCTTGATGGTCTAGCATCAGAGGACAATCGAAGGAGCGTGGCTGCACAAGATGACAACGTGATAGTCCCAGTGGTTTTACGTGGCACTTGGATACCTCGGACGCTATTTGGCGCGTGCACCATTCTTTGCAGTGTGCTGCGCATGTTGTGGCTCTCATTCTGTCTGCCACGTGGCGAGTTCGACGTGATAGTAAACGATCAAGTGAGCAACATCAACCCCTGGCTGCGACCAAAAGCAAGGGAAAAGTTACTATTTTTTATGGCGATCAAAAACACTGCAACATTTTATTCATAGTAGGGAAGAGATCTTGGAGAAATGTAACTAAACTTGGCTAATTCTGATTCTCAGTGTCTAATTTTGTAGTTTGTTACTTTCTAATTCTGATTGCCACTTTCCGGATCTATTGCTGTGCGTCGCGCGGGGATCGCGGCTGAAAAGACTCTATCGAGCTATGTTTGATGCGTGGGAGCGACGCACGATGGCTCAGTGTGACGTATTGTGCGTGAATTCAGTTTTCACACGAGATGTATTTGCGCAGACTTTTCCAGAGGAGTTCGCAAAAACAAGCAATGACATCGTCGACAAAAGTATTGATGAGCCCGAACAGCCGCTACAGCTCCATGTTCTGTATCCACCCGTAGATCTCGCGGAAGTAGCTCAGCATCGACCTTCACCAGGGAGTACATTAAGGCATTGCCAGCGATAGTCCATCTCCGTGTTGTCGTTTCCCCGTTGAAGCAGTTCAATGCGACGGGAAAGCTTCTTTGACAATGGACTAGAAGAGGTAGCTACAAGCACAGCAGACGCGCAAGCACGACCGGGTAAAATTTCGCTCGACCTGCAGCCTGGACGCTTTCTGGTTTCCTTGAACCGTTTCGAGCGAAAAAAACAGGTCGAGCTTGCTCTTGACGCGTTTTCAATTCTCGTGAAAAAGAATCAGAATGAAACTTCTGCTGGCGCCGTGCGCCTTGTGATTGCTGGAGGCTACGACGTGCGGGTGCAGGAAAACGTGGACTACTTCCGTGAGCTCCAGGACCGTGCAGTAAAGCTTGGGATCCACAAAAAGGTGCTTTTTATGCGCAGTGTGTCGGCGGCTGTGCGATGGTGGCTTCTCGGGAACGCATCGGCCCTAGTCTACACACCGTTTAATGAACATTTTGGAATTGTGCCAGTAGAGGCGATGGCCCTGGGCACGTGCGTCGTGGCGAGTATGCAGCATTCTTATTTCTTCGATTAATGATTCTGAACAAGATAAAAGGTGACGAAGATAGAAACAAAAATACTTAGAAGTTGGGATGATTGAGACCACCCTCTTTTTCAGTTGCAACAAGTGTGATTCTAGTACTCCTTCTTGTTGCGTTGGTAGTGATCAGAATTTTCTGTGGACACAGGTGACTCGGGTGGTCCACGTGAAAGTGTTGCAGACGTAGGAGGATTTTTAGTTGACCACCATGCGGCAGGCTTTTATGAAGGCATGGAGCGTGCACTTTTTATGTCGGCTCCGGAACGCGAAGCTCTGGGTAAGCGTGCTATTCAGAGGGTGGAACAAAAATTTTCTCTAGAAGCTTTTGCGACTAATTTGGAACGCCTCGTGACAGAAAAAGTAGAGAACAAGCGGTGTACCCGGACAGTTGGTGCATCACATCAAATTTCTAAACAGACAGACAAAAAGCGAGATTGAGTTAATCAGACTTCTGCACTAGAAGTTTACCTTTTCCGCGCAACGTGGACTAGTCAGTGTGAATCACGCTCTTCACCATCAACGCAAACGCTTCTGCATGTTTTCTTCCTGGACGGAATCCTTTATTCGGATTTCGGATTCCAAACCGACGCTGCTGAAAGATTGGCTGGAAATTTGAGAGGCGAGAACAGGAGAGAGGGCCGCCGGATTCGAGGAAGTAGAGGATATGTGCAGAGTTGAATTTCCACAGGCAGGAAAGCAGTTTCGAGAATCAACTTCTGTGTTTTGCGCATGCAAGGACGTCGCATCTCATCTCATATTCCTACGCAGTTACAAGGAGGTTCTGTTGAATACTCAATCGGTCACGCGAGAGGTTGAGTGTCAATATTTAGATCCCTGCCTTCGGATTTTGTATGAACTTTTAACAAGCGCAGCTGTTTCAAAGGTAGTGTGCGTCATTTTCCCAAAAGTTTTCATTTTCTCTTTTTGAAAGTTTGTGATTATCACTGCAAACGTTTTTTCTTCAGGAGCCGTACCTTACCTAGAATATAGTCTTAGTCAATTCATTTTTCTTTTCAGAAATGAATGCTAGATGCAATGAGGAATTTCGACGCGCGGTGCTTCTTCTACTTAGGTTCAGAAAGATAGTTCTCCTTACAGAAAGATAGTTCTCCTTACAGAAAGATAGTTCTCCTTACGTACCGCAAAAGGGTGTTGCTTATGTGCTACAGAAAAGTGCCCCTCAAGTGCCGCAGAAAGATGACCCGTCAGTGCCGCAAAAAGATAACCCTCAAGCGCTGCAGAAAGATGCCCCTTCGGTGCTGCAGAAAGGTGCCCCTTGAGTGCTGTAGAACGCCCCTTAGATGCTGCAGAAAGGTGCCCCTCAAGTGCTGCAGAAAGGTGCCCCTTAAGTGCTGCAAAAAGGTGGCCCTTGAGTGCTTCAGAAAGGTGCCCCTCAAGTGCTGCAGAAAGGTCCCCCTTAAGTGCTACAGAAAGGCGCCCCTTAAGTGCTGCAGAAAGATGCACCTTAAGTGCTGCAGAAAGGTGCCCCTTAAGTGCTACAGAAAGGCGCCCCCTAAGTGCTACAGAAAGGCGCCCCCTAAGTGCTGCAAAAAGGTGCCCCTTAAGTGCTACAGAAAGGCGCCCCTTAAGTGCTGCAAAATGGTGCCCCTTAACTAAGTGCCTGAGAGACAAGGCGCACTCGTTTACTACTCGGGCCATGGAGGGTTCTCTGTCACCACGTAATCGACACCGGCGGTCACTGCGTAAGCGACACATCCGAGCGTCACCGCTTAAGCGACACCGCGGCTCGCCATCTACGCGACACCGATTGTCACTACTGATGCGAACACTCTAGTCACTATTTTAGCGAAGACTCTGGTCACAACTGAAGAAAAGGTCTAGTCACCGCTTAAGCGAAGACTCTGGCCACTACTTAAGCGAAGACTCTAGTCACTACTTTAGCGAAGACTCTGGTCACTACTTAAGCGAAGGCTCTATTCACTGGTTAAGAAAAGGCTCTAGTCACTACTTAAGCGACCCCATCTACTTTTAGGTTGGATATAATTTGGTGCACGAAGAAATGGAACATGATATTGCGCTTCTCGAGTCTGTGGCGGATACCCTCTGCTCAGATACCTTCACGCATGGCGCGATCCCCGGGGGAAGTTCCGCGAGTAGCAGACGACGCTTCGATGAGCTCATTACGACGAACCCACCACGCGTGGCGAGCCCACCGGCACATCCCGGTGCTCTACTTGCGCAGGAGCTTGCACGCGCAATGTCCTCCACGGCACCGATTACTCTAGGAGGCGGTGGCACTAGCGCCACGCTGCGCGGCCTGTCGCCGACCGCGGGCACGCTTCTGTCCTCGGGGAATGCGCATCACAGTCCGACTGGGGGAGGCCTGCCCAAGTACAATCCTGCGAAGGAAACCTTACGAGGCGAGCTTGGCGCAGCGCTGAACCATCTGTACACGTCCGAATCAATGTTGATCGCGGTGCACTCGCGCCGCCGACAAGAGGTGCTGCGCGCGAACGTGGAGAGCCGTGAATTAGACTGCGCTAAGATTGCTTCGGAAATCACGGAATTCCGAAAGGCGCTGGGAAACATCAAGAGCAAAAACTTGCGCGACCGGGGGACCGCGGAACTCAAAACATACCGGGAATGGTATCTATAGAAGTTATACGTAGTACCTATTGGTGCATCTGGATATGCTGGAAAAGCTTCTTCATCACTCTGAGGTGGTACTAGGAGCAGCACCACATTCCAGTCATTGGTTACACAAGTATCTTCATCAGGTTGCAGCGTCAGATAACACGGATACGGGAGATTTTGGACACTCGCTCCTCGAACCTCGAAGAGCAATCACTTTGCTGTACTCTTCTTCCTAATCCCTCTGCAAAATGTAATTACTTATGTCGGTGGCATCATACGCATTAGAATTAGATCAAAGACTTCGTTGATGTCGTAATCGTAATGAAAAGACCTACGAGGAGAATTAATTACTGGACATCACAATGTCCTATTCATTCTACCCAGCCCTTGTGCTTATCAACGAATGATAAAAATGAAAATCATCCACCTCCTACCTGATGCTAAACAGGTGTCTGCTTCGAAGCTGATAGGAGTGTATTGCTACGGCCGTGCTCGCATCTTGCTCTTTGCGAGAAGTGCTCCAAGAAGGTGGAGACTTGTCCGATCTGCAGATCGCGCATCACATCACGCATAACAGTTAAAATCAGCTAGCACTTTCACGCATCACATGAGTACCTTTAATAGCCTCTCCAGTCACGACATATTTCTAGCATCTTTTGGTGTCTTCTGAAGCAGACCACATACTTAGCTTCACATCTGTTACTTACAACACTCCAACTACCTATAATTCCTTTGCACCCGCTGCACCCGAGCGGACTCTATGGACTATCGACCCAAAAGATTCCTTCTTAACAACGGTCCCGGAAAAGAAGCTTCACCCCCATTCCGAAAATCGAAAAATACAAAATGTTTTCTTGATGAAAAAAGGCTTTTATCAAACTGGCGGGCACGTGTTCCGTTAAGATAGTCGGCGCCAGCAGCATCAGAGCTTTTTCCACTGCCCGATCGAAAAGAGGATATTACGAAAAGTCAGGAGACTAGTTTTTTGCTATCACATCAAAAGTTTTGCAAGCGTGATTTCATCCACTCTGCAAGAAAGAAAGCAGTGTCTTTTTCCTAGAACATTTTCGTCTAGATGAACCAGTTGAAGCAATATGAGAGGGTCGAATGGATGCGAGGAAAGTCGGCCGCGGAGTCCTAGATAGGGCGGCTGACAGAGCGAGGCTGCATTCATTTTTGCTGACGATTTGATATATGCCGAACGTCGTGCAGCGGCGCGATTAAGTATTTTGGTTTGCTACAATTATGCAGCGCGCACCTCGACAACTACCAGGATGGTGGCTCGTGGACGGATCACTCCTAGCTCGGCGGATATTGCATGCAAAGCCGAACTCTTTCATTTCCTCTTTCTGTCAACGCGCTCACAATTTCCGACTGATTTCGGAATCGGTATTATGAAACTAAACTATGATCAAGAACTTCTAGTGTCTCAACTTCCTTTTAATGTATCACGATGAAGCAGTCGAACAGCAGCTTGACCATAGTCGAGATGAACGTAGTTTGTCAATTTCTGTCCCCAAAGCGACCTGCTTCCATCTCCGTGTTTCACAGAAAAAAGTATGAGAGACAGTATTACATCAAGCACTACTCAATTGTCTACAAACCTGCAGGTCAATGCGCGTACCGTTTTTGTGTTCGATAACGACCCTTCTTCCCAAGAAAGCGACACTAGCACGCGATGTTGGCGACATGAGTTTCTTCCTGGTTGCAAAACAAGGTCTGCGGCAGACCGTCTTGGCAGCCGCAGCTTGCAGGGAAAGTACGTAGAGGGAATGGAGCTGCTGCAGCGGCGGTTTTTCCCGGCTGCTGGTATTCCATTCTTGAGGGCGCCTCGAGGAGTGGAAGCGGACGATGCACTGGCGGAACTAGCCGATAGGGAGATAGCAAAGAACCGCCATGTCACACTGCTGTCGACAGACAAGGACTTGTTTCAGCTGCTGCGCGCGTGGCCGCACCTCGAAGTGCTCGATCCATTTTTTATGAATTCGAAACAAGAAAAATCTTGACACCAAAGACAAAGAGGGAGTAAAATGTGAGGGTGACTGCACGGCGAGCTTAATGAAATTATCCCAATTTTTGCGAATTCGAGTTGCACGCCGCATCCTAGTGTGTTCTTGTAGATCGCACCACTAATTGCTTCCGCTAATGCTGCGCTAGACTTCGTCACACCACACTGTGTGAAAGACAAGTACGGCGTTTTCCCGCATCGGCTAGCGGAGTTTTTCGCGATCAATGGAGATAGGTCAGACCGCATTCCGGGGGTGAGCTCAGTGGGACCTAAACGCATCGCGACGCTCTTCGATCCAAAAAGCATACCTCTCGAGTTACCATTGAATGAAGTTTTGGCTCGTGGGTACGTGCTCAAGTCGAACCTGCCCAAGAAATTCGCGTATCCAATATCATGAGCCATTTATCCTCCTCTGTTGGCGAGTCTGCTGTGTGTTACCTAAAAGATAGGCTGCATATCACACTTTGCTTGACGGACTTCAGATTTTTCTTTCCCATAGAACGCTCTACGAACACAATAGGGATATTCTTGTGGCAGATACGGCCAAAATAGAGAGGAATTACGCGCTGACGGTGCTTCCCTCTCCGCGACGGTCTGCAGAAAATGGGGTTGGCATTAGTTCTGACCTTGTGAGACAACTGGACGCCATCGATCTCTTAGAATTAGCGTGCGAAACAGAACAGAAAAGGAATGAAGAGCTCCGGGAATTCGCAGGGCGGCATGCTTTTAAACTGCATCCCGATATCGAATCGCTTTATCGTGCGGGCAAGCAGTGGAGAAGGCTACTTTTCAGGCAGTTTGGACAACAGTACACTGGAACGCCATCTTCACAGCACACGCGAATGCAGACCGACGATGGACAGAAAAAGAGTAGGCGTCAGTTAGCGGATTTCAGCGTCACGTGACAAATCGACTTGTAATTATGTCATCAGAGAACGGGAAGCCTGGAGGCCATACTACGTCCGCGATGGAGGAATGACAACGTACAAGTATCAGTTGGAACTCTGATAGAACCTTAGATCGTTTCATAAATAGTGGGTCAACTTGAACAGAAAAGACGACGACGTTCGTTGGTCCATTCTATTGAATACGATTGTCGGCCACGGCAGCAAGAGTGGGCACCCAGTATGAACAGGAAATAGAAGATCGCAGTATGTGGATAAAATGAACAAAGACGTCTGCACTCCCTGTGAGAGTATCGTGAACGGCGCGCATAAGGATACTATTGGTTTGAATGGAACTTTTTCCCTTATATTATGAAACGCAGCGAAGTTTATCGTTTAAATACATAAAATGCCTAGAAGAAATTCATCTTCAAACGTACTGACTTACACAAGGAAAAAGATAGTGTAACCAAAGAAGTAAAAAGGTTTTGTGCAACAGGACATTGAGACGCTAGTCGGCGAGTTTCCAATGTCTCTGGTGTTCCTCGGTTTTTTCAGTACCTTGATGTCTTGAATTGCAATCGTATTAATCGTTGGGTTTTCGAATATCATCGAACGAGAGACGAGAGCAGTACTTGTACAGAACGATATCTTCAAATTGACTTGGGACTGTGCAAAAAAAATTTATTCATAAACATGGCTTTTTGAGGGAAGAGGTGTGATGAGAAAACGTCATTCGCGCTGCATTTTTTCTCCATAACGCAGGACATGGCCTCTTTGTCGATGTACACAAGATTTCCCTCACTATCCCCCTTTTTGTTTCCTTGGTCGACTTCGTATTATAAATCTGTGCTCGGTCGTATCGAAATGGTTTGGGTCGATGATGGAGTACTAGTTAAAGTGAGTATGCCGAAGAGGATTCGAAGCAGATGATCATTTTGCTTTTCTTTCGGCATCATCTTCAAAAACGACTAGTGTATACATGCATCCATGTAAGCAGAGAACACGGATGGCTCTGAAAGCGAGATAAGTAGGTTTTTTTGAGATCAATAAATACCGCTACGAACAAGAGACGACCGCAGACGCGCAGTCGGCCCAGGGCAAGGCTTAGAAGCACGATAGTATCCACGACGCTGTGAGGATTTCCGAGGAATATTGGCTCGAAAAGTAGTTAGTAGCCACGGAAAAATGGAGGGAGATAAGGTAGTCATTATTGTTGACGCAATTGTTGTTAGCCTTGGTTCATGATAGAATCCAACGGCAATACTTGAAGCAAGCAAGGGCACACTGACCATTGCTTCCTGAATTACCAACATATCTTTGTATTTGTATGCGGAACGTGCATTGGTGATCATGTGATAGTCCCCACATTTTTGAACACGAACAACTAGCGCACAACCCACACCGTCCACCACACAGACGCAAGACCAGTTTGCCATGGGCAAGCAGCAGAAGATGCAGCTTCCCGGCTATTTGAGTGGCCATGCGGACATGTACGACAGGCGGCTACAAAGCAAGTTCCACGATAAGGATTTGGATTACAGTACCAAGAAACAGAAAACAGCTCTGATGCACGAGCTCAATGAGATCAAGCCAACAAGTGCGTTTCCAGGGCCGACTCCATCTATGTTCGGCGGCAACAAGATGATATATAATGTACTTCTACAGTTATTTGCTTTTGTAACCAAATGCTCTGTTGTAGACTCGTGATGAAGGCGGGTTAGAATCACCTGCATGATGTTTTTGTGGTCCACTTTTTGTGGCCTATTTTGCATTTTTGACATCGTAAAAATACAACAAACTAACCACAGCAACAAATGATGGGAAGCAAGCTGGGTTCGACCTATCAGCTTCAAGCCGATGATGACGAAAGGGGTAGAGCGAACCTTCATAAAATCATGGAAGGAATTAGCAAACCCGCGATACGAAGAATGGCAAGACGCGGTGGTGTAAAACGAATCTCAGGCAAGATGCACTTCGAAGCTCGTAATTACTACGTATTTGTTACAACTCTAATATGAAAGTGCGGTAGCAAAGACGAACTGACATCTAAATCTTCGAGAGCGACAAAGCTACGATATATTTTCTAGGAATTCTTGTGCTGGCGTCCTAGCGAGGAGAAATGATCTCACTGTTACTATTTGTCTCGTCACGACGACAACAAGACCCGAGCCTCTTGAACCTGGTAAATTCAGGTCACGCCATGGGGAAGTTTATGACAAAAGTATTGCGCGACTGCATGGTCTATATGGCTCACGGCAAGAGAAATACGGTTCGACCACGCGATATCGTAAACTCGTTGAAACGCCATGGAAGAACAATGTACTAGATCCCCTATCTCACTTTTCTATCCTCGCTAGGTGAAGACAAAATGCTAGAAACAAAAACTAGAGTTTACTCTGACGATCGATCATGCCTGCCCGAATCCGAGCATCAGTTACATCTAGATTTTTCAGTCTTCAAGAGTAATTGCGAACAGTCATCATTCTCTTGAGCGAATTATAAACCACCTCCCCCACAGTTATGGTTACGGCAACTAATCGGCGTAACCACAATTTTGGCTGTGTGTGTTTTTTTGAGGGGGAAGGATCCCGAATTTTCAATTTGAGCTAAAATGCGAAGGAAAATGCAGAGCTATACTGGCAGCAACGGCTATTGGATCTCGACTGGCGCCGTGTGAGTAAACGCGGACCACTGGTGAATACCATCCGAACTTTCTTTCTCGCTGTGGTAAACGAAGAATAACAACCGGATAACTTCTTAGGGCTAGTCACGATTTTGGTCTCGTGTTGTACGTGTAGTAGGATGATGAACTTTACATGTTGGTAGTTCCTCGGGTGCCTCTGATGGATAAGAACGTGGCCAATCGGTGTGTCTCTCAAGGCAGCGGTAAGAGGCGCACGTGCTGCAGGAGGACAGACAGGAAGAAATGGCACCGGTGCAGAGGAAGAGGGGGATTATCGTTTTTGACGAGAAAGAAGGGAGAAGCATTGAACGGAAGGCAAATGATTTCTCATCACGATGATAGAACAACAACTACAGACAGACTGGAGCGGCCCCCTGTGTAGAGTACTTCTACTGGCCGACGCCGGTTTCGAACATCTAAGAGGGCTGGCGCTGCCATATTTTCGTCACAGAACTCTCTTTCATAGTACTCGACAAGTAACGGCTTTCATTCCCGTTGCGCACTCTACCGATACGCACAACTACAACGAAACCTCGCGATCTGTCTCGAGGAGAACAGATGAAATTAACTTCACAAAACAACGCTAATTTTTCTGGGTCACAATTATCAACAAATACTGAGTCAATCTCATCCTAAGCAACGACAGTTTTTTGCCGATGAGTGAGTCCACATTGTTGCGAAAGCAAGTGCGAATTTTCGATTTTTTGGATACTTCTTCGAACCCATACCAGTAAGATTTAAAACGTCTTCGCTACTCAAGATGGCCAATGATTTACCATTTAATGCCAGTGTCCAGACAAAGACGCCCATGGGGCTCTCTTCTTCATGAAAATGAGTAGGTAGAAACACCTGTTACAGTAGTTCTGAATTTCTAGTTTGCGACTTCGATAAATTTGTAAGGGCAAAGATCCACTCCCTAAATTTGGTCATGCTTAAAAGTTACGCTTACGCACTCACAATAAACCCCAAACGATACAGATTCGATACATTGTTGGAAATAGCGCTGTTCTTGAAGACCAGATCTTTTTTTCAAAGGCGGAGAAAAGACGACGGCTCCGTGACCGCCTTTTATTACAAAGAGCAGGGACAGTTTTTTTCGTGTGCGGAAGAGGATAATAGCGAACTCGAATTTGGATTAAGAGTCACCACACGGATATCATTCGGTCATAGCTGCTGAAGTTTCTTGTGGTCTTTTCAAGGCGATCCGTTTCTTGATGAAAAGGTCAAGTTGAGCAATTCGGTGAATCTGTGTGACAAAGATTCATGTTGTAAATTTCTGAGTAGATCGGGAAGTTGCTGAATAGGTCGGTGAAGGTCATCCAGACCTGTTCTATGTTTTTTTCTGGATAGAGAAACAGAGATGAGTTTTAGAGCTGAGCTTGAGAGACCCTATATTTTTTTCTCTGTGCGCCACTCTTTTTCTGACATAGTTAGGTCGCCATCGGTTTGTGATCGATGCTTTTTTCATTCTTTTCTTTGTTTTCTTATAGGTTGGTCCGATGGTTTTATTTACGGCTCTACCCACCAACGGATGCTCTAAAAGCAAGTGGACTGAATATCCATATGAATCCCTCGTCCGCTTATTGATACAGTTGTATTGAAACCGAGAAAGGGAATCTCCTGCTTAATACATATCCCCGGACCCTAGCTTAGAGGCGCGTCAAGACTCTGTACTTGTGCAGTCAATTTTTTTGAGTTGAATAAAGCAGGAGTTGTCAAAAAAATAAGAAAATGGCAACCGCGTCTGCTCAAATCAGTCGCCGACGTTCGTCGTGCACTGCCGATAGCTGGGCCAAATTTCGTCTGCTCTACTCTCAAGACCAGCTGGACAGGCTCTCTTTCGTCTTCGGGGAGCTCGAAAACGACGACAAGCTCGGCGAAAACATGTGCGTCGTGGACAAACGGTAAGGTTCCTCGCCAGGTTTTTTTCTGATTAAGATGTGATTGGGGCCGCTTTATTTGGTAGCATCACTAAAGAATACTGAGCTGGTGGCAGGTGGAAACGTTTGACTCCACGAAGTATATCTAGTGCCAAGTCAATCGCAGAGGCAGCAATCGCCGCTGTTTTGCCCCTCGCAAGCCCCCTGAATCAATAGACCATTTGCATATACTTAGGTTGCAGGCCGTTGGAGAGCGCTGTTTTGGTGCGGATCTGGTGCGTGACATGACTCGTGATCTTGTCGATGCCGTCTACCAGAAGACCTTGCAGAAATTTTTGACCAAAGAGGTATTGGTTTTGAAGGCTGAAAAAATCCTAGTAAGTGAGCATACTCTCTAAAGTTGCAAATAATATGAAATCTTCACTTTTTAATAGACGCCTACTTCCACGCTCTCATCATTATCATGCGCTTGTTTTGCAAATGAATATTCAGGGCGAATCGATGACTTTCGAGCAGTACTTGAACTTTATTCACACGTTCGGGGTGCTGATGCAGGAGCATCATCCGTGGCGTGGATACCCCCAGACCTTTGCTATGAGGGTGCAGACGGCGATGAAAGTACTGCTAGATAGTTTAGAAAGTATGCAGCAGTAGCCAATTTGGAAGCAAGGAGAGAGTCTACTAGTTTCAATGTCGTGTGCTGCAGAGACTTGTTTTTGCCGTCATTGTGTCATGCCTTCACCTTCCCTTCCGTCTCCGTTTCACAGGAGCGTGGTGCGCAGCGGGTCGTTGACATTCCCGATCTGCAGAAGATCAAAAAAGAGGAGAGTGACGATGAGGAGGACGACGACAAGGTCGCGGAGCTGATTTCGAAGTCTATGGCCGTGCGGAACAAGGATAAAAAAGAGGAAATCGCCATTAAGACAAATGCTCTCTTCAAAGTCCTGAAGGACCTGGGAATTGAAACTGGTGAGGGCGATGACCAAAAGAGAATCCTCCGCGAAATGCAGAAATTGGATGCCGAAGAAACTGGTAGAAATGGATATATTCTGCATTTAACACACTATTCAGAGTGACAGAATCAGAGGCAGATTGGAGAAAATGAATTTGAGTACAGTTATTATCAAAAGCAACATATTCTCTCCCTGTTGAGCATATCAATCAGCTCCATCCTCGCGAAATGGATCGGGTTCCCTCGTCTGTCAACAAAAGCCTGTCGTCGTTTACTGTCCTTCCTTTTTCTCAAAAGTTTCTACTACTCCTTCCTTACTCACACGCCTAAATTTTTTGATTCGTTGTGCAGGTTGGTTCACGTCAGATCAGATGCTTTCGTTATTTCGTGAGTTGGATCAGCACTGGGAGTCGATAGAGCGAAAGCAGCAGATTGCCATTATCGACGAAACCAATTACATGGAGCGCGATGTCGATAACCTGAAGGCAATCTTCAACGAGTACGCCAAGCCAGATGAGACCGCACGAGGACCCACATTGGGCGTCAGTACTTTTTGGTTATCAAATTTTAGATCTAATAACCTTAATATAGATGCATGTGGTTTTTTTGACTGGCGAAAACGCCATTTTGAATTGTTTTCGGGAATCTGTCTTCCGTCGTCACGATGCAGTCTCTTTGAGTAGTGAGGAGCGGGTCTGCGCGAAAAAGAAATTTAGTCGGGACTCTCCGCTGAAAACAAGAAGTGTACTCGGTTAAAATCTCTGAACGGTCGTGCTGAATTGATTCTTTAGGTGAGTTCCGGGACTTTTTTCGCGCCTTGCAGATGAATTTGAACAAGAAAGACACTATTCGTCTGAAGGACTGTATGATGGGAACGAAAAGCGCCGACCACGCAGCAGAGCGCATTGACTTCACGGGCTTTTGTAGTGCGATGAAGAAGCTCGAGAATGAAGACTTCTGCGGTCTGAAGGCCATTATGGGACGCAAGGACGAGGTCGATGTCGACCTGGACCTGTCAGCTGCAACCCGACATCGCAGTTTCTTCGAACGGAAGGCCGCAAGCACGCGCGCAAGAAACAGTCAGGCAGCTAGTGCGATGCAGGCAGCTAAAAACGAGTAATGCTCAAAGATCGAAAGATAACGAAGAGAAGAAGACAACCAGAGACCAGCGCTGGCTGTTGGTTGCATGTCTACTTGTTTTGAGACGCATGTCTAAAAAATATCGAAATTAGTAGCGTAGCACTAGCAGGGGGCGTACGAGTCAGGAAAGTAGCGTAGACGAACGTAAGACGAAGTTTGTCAATTGCAATTCTAATTCCGTAGGGTCAGATGCACATCTCAAGCGGCACATCTGAAGCATATTGATCGATAGCGAACGCACGCATATTCAACTATAGCTACTTTTAAGTGACACCACTTTGCACAGTTCGTGGTTCAACAATTTCCGGCCAGCGAAGGTGGGGAGATTATTTGGCAGTCCTGCAGCGTGGCAAAAGATTCTTTTTTCTCGGGAACAAAAAACCAAACCTAGAGTTTCCGTCACATATAGATTTCGCGCAACGTCGGTATTTCTAAATGTACAAATCGTAGAAAGCGCATACTTCAATGTTATCCATTCCATATCCGCATACCACATCCGGGAGCATACATGAGCATGAGTTTTAGATACACAATTTTTTTACTCGATTCAGATGATGTACGGTACCTTTTTTTGTTAATTTTACTGATAACCAGTAGGTCGGTTCAATATGCTGAGTATGGCATTAGCGTATGGAAACAGTCTTTTTCAGTCGAAACCTTTGTTAAACCGACCCTCGATGACTATCTGCAATTATACTGTTTTAGGCATGTTGTAAAGGATCACACATATTCTAAACTTGCAAATAATCAGACGCAATTACAGGGAAAACAGATCATTGTCCGTTCGAAGACGGACACCTTTAGAAAATATCTTGTGAGATCTACGGCTCTACGAACGCGTTGAGAAGATAATTCTTTGTGTATTGGAAAGGTGACGCTCAGCAGACAAGACATATGTTCAATTTAAAAGTCCAAAGATCTTCCAGGGATATTTTTGAACTTCTGTTGTCTATATTATTGAAAAAGAAGACGGTTTTGCAAAGAAAGAGCTTTGGATCGATCACAGTTCAGGTTCCACTAGAGGTTCTCAGAAACAGCTCAATTGAAGATCCCTTCCCAACCTCTCGAGTTTCAAGATCAAATGAAAATAGGGTCATCAGAGCTCGGTGGAAAAAAAGCTCGGAATCCTCAATGAATCAAAAGAATTTTTATCCAAAACGTTCGCATGTGCAATAATCCAAATCTAAAGATGAAAGGAAGATCAGATGAAGAAGTGTTAGTGTTGACGATCTTCCGAAAGTTGTGTTCACGATCTTCCGAAAGTTTTGTTCCAAATACCATAGGCGGCGATTACACCGGTTCGTAGTTTGGTTTTGTGATCTCTTCCTTAATGTTGAAAATGTGCCTCGCCTAATGGTATTCAAAAGAGCGGTTTTTTATCCTCTCAAATGCCTCTTATTTTCTTACAGGGAAAGGAGAAGGAAAGGGTATAACCTTTTCTCATTTTTTAATCGCTTCGGCTTCGCAAACCTAAAAAATGGGCGCCTACAAGTACCTCGAGGAACTGTGGAAGAAGAAGCAGTCCGATGTGATGCGCTTCTTGAGCCGTGTCCGGACGTGGGAGTTCCGTCAGCTGCCGGCCGTCCATCGTGCCAGCCGCCCGACTCGCCCGGACAAAGCCCGCCGATTGGGATACAAGGCCAAGCAGGGATACGTCATCTACCGTGTCCGTGTCAAGCGTGGTGGACGCAAGCGCAAGGTAATATAAATTCTCGGTCTTACATACTGACGCAGGTATTCCTACGTGTTTCTGTCATAGCTATAAGCTGGCCACTTCGAAATCTAAATTATCCTACTGCACGAATTCCCGTTGAAGCCACTTTCCGATTAGTTCCTTTAAAACCATGTGAAGTTAGCAGCCTGAAATCTAAATTTCTCCATTGTGAGTACTCGACACTCGAAACTAAAGGACCTTACACCACCTTCCATTGACAGGTCAGCAAGGGTATCTGCTACGGTAAGCCGTCCACCTCTGGTGTGACGAAGATCAAGGCTTCCCGTAACTTGAAGTCTGTCGCTGAGGAGCGTGTCGGCCGTAAGTTGGGATCTCTGCGTCTGTTGAACACCTACTGGGTGACGCACGACGCTATGCACAAGTGGTACTGAGACTATGTTTCCGTAATTGCGTGGCGTCTAAATCTTTGTACTTTCATCTCAAGGACTAGCTGATCGATTTATTCCAAACGAGATTTAGATGGCTTGATACCTAGCTCGATGCCTGTTTCTGTGTAGAACCATAAAACATCTTCCTTTGGAGGATACTCGGTCAGTTACTCGTGGATGATAACCGATATGGCATCTTAACCCTTCAATCCAAATTTCTTTTTAGGTACGAGTGCGTTATGGTTGACCCGATGCACAAGACGATCCGTAACGATCCGCGCATCAATTGGATCTGCAACCCGACTCACAAGCACCGCGAGCTTCGCGGCCTCACGTCCGCCGGACGCAAAGCTCGTTCCCTTCACCGCCGCGGAAAGGCTGCCCTCAAGGTCCGCCCGTCCGTGCGTGCTTCCTGGAAGCGCCGCCAGATGCTCCAGCTCCGCCGTTACCGTTAAGTGGTTTGAACCTCATAGGAAGGTTTGTACTACTACAGAAAACAGTAGAGGCGTTCTTGCGGGTCCAATCGATGGCGATGCGCCGGCAGCGGTGCTGTTTCGAGCCTGTCGTTTACCAACCAAACTTTTGCTGAGGAGACTCGGATCACTTCTTCGTATTTCGATGCGTTGGGGAACACGACGATGCGCTGTTTGAGTAAAGGATGGCTAGGTACAATGTCAGACTGACTCGTCAAAAAGCACTGACGAAGGATGAGTCATAGAGGCGAAAGTGACGAGTTTGTAGTCGGATTATCAGGTTCTGCCGAACAAGCGATGAAAAAAACAGAGTTGGAGACTGACCAGAAGTCTCCGCCACGCACGCAGTGGAAGTTTGTATTGTGTTCATCTTTGACAACAACTTGCGTCCCTATGAGAAAGATTGGAAGCGTGATCGAATGCTGTCAAACAGAGCGAATTCGGACACTGAAATTTTAGAGTGACTTATCGAGCGGCGTGGAAAAGGACATAGCTTTTTCGCATTGCACATGAGATTAGGTTCGCTTCGAGAAGGGAACGCCAAAGTGATCGTGGAATATCGAGAGGGTGCCAGTGATAGGGAAAAAATCGATACTGAGAAAACGAATGCCTTGTTGGGTCTCGTTCTATCGATAAAAAAAGGCTATCAGACTCCAAAAAATAGCGCTTGATCCTGATGCTGACTTTTCCCACGATAGGCGTCCCACTTTCTAGCGTGAGGACTAGATGTAGAATTAATTTTCGTTGGTAAGATCAAGAGAGTCAGAAAAATGGGCGGAGGAGCATCTAAGGCGAAAACGGCGCCGGCACCGTCACCGCCTCCACCAGCCGTGCCCGTACAGAAGGCACCTAAAGCAGAAGCGCCGAAACCAAAGCCACCCGCCGAAGATCCACCTGAGCGAAAATCTACTGTCGGAGGCAGTGGAGATGTAATTCATCACTGTTGAGTCTGAGAATCCATAAATATTATGTACAAAGACTCTGATAGAAATTGATCATGTAGAAGCAGGGAGTGGCTTGTCAGCGAGTGAAAGAGTCTCTCGGTCTCCTCGAAGTGATTCGCCTCGACAGACTGAGACGCGAGTAGGATTTGAAAGATGACATCGAATTTCTCTGGTGTCCCTTTAACAACAATACAGGCCGGCGCCGAGGGCATCTTCGGTTCGGCGCGCGAGCTGAACACGCTGCTGCTCGGTGGCGAGAACAGTATCTATCAGCACAGCTTCACAGTCGAGATGGATCGTCGAGCCTTTATCACATACCTGACAGAACCGCGGAGCTTCTATATGCCAAACGTGTACAAGGACGGAGAGAGTGATAGTGAGGAAGAAGAGAGCGCATTTCAGCGGCCGTTGGATCCACGAGATGCACTGTTGAAGCAGCCACATCAGCCGCCAGGACGACAGAAGTTACAGCAGATGCAAATCAAGGGTGCAGTTGGTATCCATGCAGTAACTACTAAAAATGATGCCTCTTCCATTGACATTGCGCCAATCAAAGAGAAAGAAGAGAGACGCTAAGAATTCGATTCCAAGATGATCCATCCAAATTGTTGCTGGAGATGCTTCGACAGTAGTTCCAGAGTTTTGACAAAAAAATCTACTTCAGCTGCTGTAAAGAACAAAGGGCGAAGTAAAAAGAAGGAGAAAAAGAGACCGGTCAAGGGATGGCGACAGACGGCGCAGCGTGTAACCTTCAAGCCGGATTCGGCACTTCTGCCCGGTGGAGAGTTCTACCTCGGTGAAGACGGAAAGTTTACAAAATCTTACGAGCCATGGGGCATCGAGTTCGATATCGGCAAGTTTCCGCTACAAGTGAAAAAGGTAATCTCTCTCTTTCTCGTCTTTATTTTTACTTCTTAATCGATTTCTTTATTTGTGTGGCTCAGCCAATCAATGAGGAGAAAAGTGAGTTGTAGAGGTCAAGATCACACTCATAACGACTGTGACCGGGTTCCGAATTTCTACGAGCGTAGTTGTGTTTTGAGTCACGAGGATTACCTCTCTCGCTGATTCAGATAACGACGGGATCTGTTGCGGATGAGCACGCAGCAAGGCATCCGGAGGATCTGATTGAAGCGGGCGATCTCCTAGTCGAGATTAATGACATCCCAGTCTGCCCCGACTCCACACTGCTGCACCAGCGTCGGCGTATGAAGATGAGCGCAAAAGAAATTAAGCAGGAGGAAGACCTTCTAAAAATGTCAGAGGCGAAATTGAAGGCCCGAGAAGAGCAGGCAGTGGCTCGCAAAGTGCAGACGAGCACGATCACTGATGCCGACGGAAATGCAGTAGATGCCGCTGCTGAAAACGGCGAAGAAAATAAAGACGGTGAGGAAACGAATGCAAACGGCGAAACAACAAATAGTCAACAGTTAGAAGTCGTCACTCCTGAACAAAAGCGGCGCAGTTCCATTGCCGGAATCGTGGGAGACAGCATCGCGTGGCATGGCTACGACCTCTCTTGCGTGAGCCGCATGGGCGGGCCCGCAGGGAACCGATTCGGCTACCGCCACAAGGAGGGCGATGTAGTGAAGCCGGTCGACAACTTAGCTTTTGAGGCAGAGGAGTTGTACACGAGACTGGACGTGATCAACAAGGAGTTGTTTGATCAGTACTATCATGCACCGACGATAAAACTACGCTTCGTGCGAATGGAGCAGCCGCAAATAGACGAGGGCCTTGGTTTCTGCTACACGCTTAATCTCGCGCGACAGAGGCAACGCGCGGGGATGCAGAAAACGCCATGGGGCATAGTACTCACGATGGAACTACTTCAGCTGAAAATAGATCTTAACTTTTCCATGTGCACGTTCTGTTGTGAACTCCTTTTGCAGCTGACGCCGCCAGACTAAGGTGCGAACTCGTTCTTACCTCTGACTTCCTGAAGATGCCATAAGCATGAAAAAGTGTACTATAAACTTTTCTAGACCAAAAAAAAATATGTTTTGATTATGAAAGAAGAGCAAGTACACACACACACACATTTTTATACCAGGTGTTTCATTTGGACTGGGAGGAGATTCCGAAGGAAGAACTGATGGCCGAAACATGGTACACGAACACCTCCGGCACGAGCTTTACAACCCATACGGAGTCGGCCTCGGTGTTTGAGTCGGACGAGGAGGAGGAGGGCGGTGGAGGCTATCGAGGAGGCGGCGACGACTACCGTGAGGAAGACTTGAAGATGAAAACGACATCAGACACTGCTTTTTCCGAAGTCCAGAAGGAGGGACAGCACAATCGCAGTAGCCCTCGTTTTTCGACGTCACGAAATGTTGTTGCGTCCTCAGGCTCATCTGCAAAGCAAGCACAATTCAGCATTCGCAACGGCGGCAGACGAGGGCAACAGTTGATGCTCGAAAACCAGCACTACTTCGACGAAGGAATGCACAACAGTGTCGCGCCAGGCACTCCACCGAGCAGCAACAGTGAGTACGCTTCGTCGGTCTGCTCCTCAACGCCGCAAATGACCGACCTAACGGGCGACGAGCCGCAGATTCTTGGGGGTCATGTCGAACCCTTAGCGTTGCCGATATCAGGTACCAGCAAAGCGTCCTCGAGTTCTTCCTGGCGACATCGAGACGTTTCGCCGCCACGACAGGCGTGGGGCTCTTCTAGTAGTCTCGGCTCTAGACGAGGACAACAGACGGGGCGTTACTGGCGACGCGGCAACAAGAGTGCTGTAGAGGGCCGTCACCAATCGATGCAGCCGCAGCGCGGGGTGTACGATGACGATGAGGAGGAGCCCTCTGACGTCGATCCAGAGCCGGGGATGCCGCCAGAGGGTCACTATCCGTATCCTCCGCTCACCGGGTCCTCCGCCTACGGTATGGAGGAAGAGGAGGAGGAGGGTGGCCGGCGACGTCGGCGGACTCGATCCCAAAGTCGGTCAACGACAAACGTGCAGTCAAGCAGCACGCTTAGCGCACAGCAGCCGGGCAGCAGCTCCGGGCAATCACTATCGCGAAGCCGCGCTCCGCGCGAGGAAAGCAGTCTGCTGGAGGAGGTGGACACTTTGGGCAACACGTTAGACGTGACGGCGCCGTTGACAGCAACGAGCATGGATATCGAAGATGACGGCCTCGGCGAGCGCGACCTTCGACCCTCGATGGCCCTCGAAGAGGAGGAAGAGGAAGAGATGGTGTTGTCAAGGAGAGCAGCAGGGCAGCGGGGCGAGTATCTAGAAGAGAAGGGTGGCGAACTAGATCCTAGTCTCGCGACGCCACCAGAGGTGACACAGATGAGCGCGTGGATGACAAAGGAGAAACAAATCGCGGCCACGGAAGCAGCAGGACCGCGCGCTGACGAATTCTATAGTCGTGCGGCCCTGGAGAACCTCGGCTTCGGTCGTAACATGCGCATGCGCCGCGTAGTGAAAGTGCACAGCATCGAAAACGGAACTGTTGCCTCCACTTGGAACGAGGATGACCCAGACATGAGCATTCTGCCGGGAGACAAGCTGGTTAGCGTCCAGGGCATTGACGTGAGCAAGATCGCCTGGGACTTCTTGCTGCTTCCGCCTTACCCGGACGAGGAGGAAGTACTCGCGGGGATCGAGGAGGAGTCGCAGCAGACGGTGCAGGCTGGCGACGACAGCACTCTCCTGCCCGCCCGCCCATCGCAGGAACGCTTTCAAAAGCGCATGGAGCACTGGAAGAATGAGGTGATGGAGCGTTTCCGCGAACACAAAGTTCTTAGTGCGATCTTCGAACTCGTGATTGAGTCGTATCAGGAGCCTGAGTACGTGACCCAGTACGGTCGAACGGCTGCGGTGATGCGCCGGAAGTTTCGGACTTACTTGAAGTGCAAACAGAACTACTTTCCTCGTGACCTGGAGCTGGAGCTAGAATTCTACAGGTACGACCCAGACGCCGCAGCGAGGAAAGCAAAGACGGGTCTGCGCTCGCCAAGAAGAGTGCTGAATTTCATGCAAACATCTGAAGGAATGCCGCTCACAAAGACGCAGAGTCCACAGTCTCCGATGCACCGACCGAGCCCGCCTGGCTCTCCAGATGCGAAAAAGGAAGATGCTTTGCGCGTACTGAGATTTGTCTCCTTTATTTAGCCAAGATAGTTTTTTACACAAAAGAAATAATAGTCTTCTACCTGAAGTAGAAGTGAGGAAGTTTGAGGTAAATTCGAATGAGTTGTCTGATGTAGCAACATCGCTTTACAGGAAATGGAGGAGGAAGTGTATAACTACGAAGCGCCGCCAGCACTCGAGGTGCCCAACTCACTTGCGAAAAGTCGATTTCGGGTGTTTCTGAATCGCGCTAGCGTCCATGTGCCATGGGGTATTTACCTCGACGAGCGGTTCGCAACCTTGAATGTGTACATCGTGCAAGAGCTCGAGGGAGCGGCGGAGGCTCCAGTATCCGTATGGAACGAGTACGTCCAGGACGTGGGCGCTTTCGGTTGCCAATTGCAAACCGGTGATTTGGTCGTTGCGTTCAACGAGAAGAACACGTGGCATGAGGCAGAGCAAGAAATTCAGCACGCGTTGAAATTGGTTCTGGAGTGCTACAGACCGCCGTACAAGCCGTGCGCGATGACTAGTCCGCCTTTTTTGCAGACGAATGAAAAGTGCTTGGATATTTGCTGGGCGCGTAGTCGCTTTTTGACAACCGTGTACGACGACGAAGAGGCCTTAGCAAACACACCGGACGGTGGTCTTCGGGACACGCACTACTGCGTAGTGTTGCACTCTCTCTCCCCAGACCGATGGTACGTGGTGGACGGTGTCACACGCGAAGCCAAAGATATTAGTCAGGTGGCGAACGCCATCCCTGCACCGATTCAGAGCATTGCAGTGGTCAATCTGCCGTCACTCCGGTCGTATCGACAGACTTGATTGTTGTTCCACAGTGTATCCTTATCCTATCAGAAACAACTACTTCAGTCCATCTCGGTTCATTTCGTACGAGTTGTTCACTCGCAAATGCTAACTGACTGTCTCTATCTCACTACTTGTTCATCAGGTATGAAGCATATGTTGCGATCCGGAACTCTCAGGGTTGGTCCCCCTTTTCGAAAGTGTCGAATCGAGAAAGGTTGGAAAAGTTTATCCAGCTAAAGATCGTCCAGAAGAAGAACGATGGAATCGCGGCACAGCAGCGCTATGTTTGCTGCATCGAGGACGGAGCGCGTTCATCAGTCTACGAAGTGCCGGCGAAGGACAAGCCTCTGAAGGAATCTGGTGTGCCGGCTGGCGACGTCGTCAGCGGAACGGATGTCGGAAACGGATGGCTCAGGATGGAGAAAAGGTTCTTACTTTTCACGTGCAAAAGAAAATTTGCAGAGTTGTTGGCTTACTGGAGAAATCATACTACGTTTTTGTTTGTCTAGAATTGTCGCTACTAAAATCAGCCGCGGTGGACAGCTTTGGCGACGTTTCGCGCGTATTCAAGACTTTCGTTTAGAGACTGAACTCTATAAAGAGAATCGTCTCTTGTGTTTGGCGCCGACGTCTTTTGAGAGCCTCGGTGGGCGATTTCCATGCGACGCGCCGCGATCTCTTGAGGCACAGCCATTACCGATTTCTCTCTCGGGTCTCGACAAACAACTCGTCATGGAGCACTATCAGACGATGCAAGGTAATGATAAAAATTTTGAGGCATTTTAGTCCGGACTCGTTACTTTCAACAAGAACAACCCAAACGTGTCAATTGATCCAGCAATTAGTAAACAATCCCAACCGTACTCACAAGCATTCCGAGCCACAATAAAATTCACAAAAGTTGTACAAGCTCCTCTATCACTTTACCACCTGCGACAATTCATTACCACGACAGAATGGAAAGAGTATTACAAGCGGCGCGAGCGGGAAAGGATTGCGCAGGCAGACGCGAAGAAAGTCGCGGCGCTCCTTGGCGAGAAGAAAGAACAACGAACGTTGGAGAACGAACGCGCGCACAAGAAGGCCTCTTTGGACTTCTTCCGAGTATCCAACGTCATGGAATCTGTGGAAGACGGCGTCAAACAGAAGACCAGAGATATGTTCAAAAAGGTATTTCAATTAGGTTTTTGTGGATATTTTTGAATGGTGCCTCTCGAGCGAGTTCTTCTCTACAGAATGCTTGCGTGCGTGGTAATCCGCACGTGGAAGCAATAACATGAACATCCAGCGAGGACTGTCTGGACTTTAGATGTGGCACTGGGCACGCATCGATCGGCGTCACTGTATGATTTTCATACATGAATGTGGGGTGTTTATCATCATCACGAAAGTTTCTTTTACACTTTTCAAAATCAGCGTGTCGAAGCGACCGCGAGTGTAGCAGGCAACGTGGATAATGTGACGACGTTCAAAGTCGTTCTGATCCGCAAGATGGCAGAGGAAGAGTGGGGTCTGCGGTTTGATAAGAGGTTGGAGCAGGCTGGGCAAAAGGTTGTCCGTGGCGTGATTCTGAATTTTATGGCAACACACCGTTGCGGCGTGAACGGTGTTTCAAATGCACGGAGCACCGTAGAACTACAATTGAAGTAAAGGGAAATGAGTCACTGAGAACCGCCCCAGCTGGGGTACTGACAAACTGCTTGGATTGAGGGGGCACGACAGTGGCAGGCACGTCAGGAACAGACTAGTGAGAGTGTGTATTTTCTAAGGATTACAAGATCCCGAACGTGGTCACGCGTTGGAACCGGATGCAAGGGGAAAAGAGAACGCAATACCTCGAAGTTCGCGTTGGTGATCGCTTACTGAAGGTGAACGGGAAGACCAGCATCTACGGTATCGACGACGAACTCGCGAGCGCTAGGGAGTTGCGGTGCGAGTTCTGCCGTACTGGAGATGCAACGCGACCACTGCCAGATCGAAGACACAAGGGCATCGAAGACGACGCATTGATGCGCCAGACCTTGACAGACTTCAACCGAGACGTCAATGTACTAGAAGATGTAATTCTAGACTTGCGCTTTCTAGTAAGCATTCGCATAGCATGATCGCAAAGTAAGTTCTTCAGGTCGCACCAGCATTCGTACATCAAAGATATTGGCATTCGAATATTAGCTGTTCCAGTCAACAAACCCAGTCGTTTGATTTATTCTTCAAAGTTTTTTCGAAGTGAAAGTTGCGCATTCATCTCAACCTTATCATTCCTCATAAAAAAGAAGTCGAATAAAGACAATGAATCCTCGTTTCAACACACCAGCTGTTCAACTCGGAGACGATGCGCGAGCCCAAGCGCGTGATGTTCAAGAACCATGAGCCATTGGGCTTCTCGATCGATTGGCGTAGCGGCTACCCGCTGAAGGTGAAGTACGTGTCCAAGGGCTCTTATGCGCTCAAACTAGGCGTGGAAGAGGGAGACATCGTGTTCGCGATCAATGGCACCGAGGTGCAGAAGCGGCACTTCGAAGGGCCTGAGGGAAAAGACGGCTGCCGGAAAATGGTGGAGCCAGCACTGCGGGAGCGTCCACTGGAGATCATTTTCCATCGCGCACTCAAATTTGCGTTGCGCAAGAGCTACCCACCAAGACCGCGGACGCAGATCAAGATGTTCGTGCCGGAAGGAATCCGTTTGGGTTTCACGTTTGATGTCGACCAGCTGCCCTGCCCGATTCGACATGTCAAGCCCTTCTCGAAAGCGCAAAAGTTAGGGCATGCTATTCAGTTTTTCATGTTCCTCGAGAAGATAATCAATTATATCGAAATCAGGAGCTACAACCGGAAGAAAAGTAGTAGAAATCTTCGTTGTTGTAATCGATTTTTTTATGAGATGTTGTAGATGACTTCTGAACAACAAAAGAGTAGTTCTGAGCATCAAAGGCATCTTCTGAAAAAATCGCATACAACGAGAAATGAAAAAGAGAGAAGAGCAAAATTAGACCCTGCAAAGCAGGAGGCTAAATTTGAAAGAACGGATTGGTAGCAATAATAGCTTCGAATTAAGTAATATTTCATCACTGTTATTCTAGAAAGCTACAGCACCCTCCCAAACCCTTGCGAAAAGGTCGTTGAGTAACGAAAAGGAAGGTGTCTTGATAATCACAAATTTTTGAGTAAATGTGCTGCCACTTGATGTAGAAATTTAATGATATAGTTGAGAATTTCACTGAAAAGGATGTAGCTGATTAGGCAAGATGGATGTGCTCGTCTAACGACGACGGGCATTCACGTAGCCGACGCGCTCGTATCGATCAACGGGCAGAAGGTGGCACCGTACATGCTCCAGAGTTACGCGGGACTGAGCGGAGAAGGACACACGATCTTAGACCAGCTTTTGGCCGAGAGGCCCCTCAATTTATTCTTCGAACGCGGACACTACGACGCGCCGTACCCGGAAAACTTCATCATCTCGGACTGCGGATTTGCGTACAGTGATTTCTATCTTTTGCCCAGTTAGCGAACGAGTACTATGTGTTTCACTTCCTTTCAGGACCACGAATTTGTTCTAGCAAAAGACATTGGTGCCTTGGTCGTGTTCCCAGCACAATGTCACACCTTCAAAGTCGAAATGGCTCTCCTCCAAAGAAATACTTAAATATGATAACTAACATTCAAATTTATGTTTCTAGCAGGTACGACCCAGAGCTCGTCGTCACGTTCACACTGAACGAGGTCACGCCAGCGGAATTTGTGTACGAATACAATCCGTTGCGCGATATTCTTCCGCGTTTGAAATCGCCGCTCCCCAGGAACCTGGAACTGAAGGGTTTGCGAGAAGGAGACGCAATCCTGGCGATCAACGACTGCCTCTTCTACGACTTTGTGGACTGGGAGCACGACTTCCCGCTCCACCTCTACACGGCGGACAAGAAGTCGATCAAATTCTACCTCTCCGAGGAAGAACGGCTGTGGGGCATTGGAGCTTTGAAACTACAATCCAGGTGGAGGGGTCACCATGTCCGCAACAACGTCTACGGCGACCGCAAAGCCAAGGCGATAGAGCAGAAGTATTTACTATTGATAACAGAATAATAAATTATCAAAGATGAATCAAGAACAACCTTGGTAGTTGTTGAGGTGGCGTCTATGATTGCGAAGTTCGTTGTCGTGTAGTAAAACTGAATTGATGTCAGGGATGAATACTAACATCAACAAGAAAAAAATATTGTCTTGAATTCCTCAACAACCATACTTGCTTCCACACAATTTCTTTTGCAGGTTTCTAAAGATGATGATGAGCCATGTCGAAAATGCAGTTTTTACCGAAGAACAAGAACAAGAAATCAAAGAAAAGAACGTACGAAGAATTCAGAGGTCTTGGCGCAGAAAGCAGATGATCAGGAAAGCCCAGCAAGACGCGTAGCTCATTTTTCTCAATAATTCAGAAATAGAAGTACAAGTCGCGGACAGTCTCTTTTTGTTGATTCACAGAGGTCCTCCTCTGGGGACTCTTACAATGTAAATCCTGCAGAATAGAACATCCATGTTAAACAATTCCACGTTTAACTACGACCCTTACAGTTTACACGCACCTCTGTTTCTACTCTGTTTTTCCATTACACCTACTCAGACGGGAACAAGAATTATCGCAAGCTATTATGGGTGGTCCAGGCATGATGTTGGACGAGCACGGCGATGTCGTACCAGTCCCGGTGTCCGCTCGTTCGCGGGCCGCCTTCGGAAAACACACCTTTAAGAAGGCTCCAACAGCGGAAGTGCCTTCCAGCGAAGGCTTCTCCTCCAGTGCTCCGGATGCCTGGGATGATAGGAGGATTGTGCCGTTTGGAGGTACTTGTAACTAAAAAGTTTAGGAGGGAGTATGAAGATGCTTCGTAAACGTGGTTGAAACGTAGAAGATTCTTCCCTTGAAGACCTGTTCTTGTGAAGGACCGTGCTGTTCTGCAACAATTTGTTTGCTGTTTGTCTTTTATGAAGTTGATATTCGTACTAGTGGGTTTATTCTGGTTTCTTTGTTCTCGCATTTCAGGTATTCCGGCCTCCAGCACGGATAAGTTGAAAGTGCTGCCCGACTCAGCCTTCATGGCATACACCGTCAAGACGAAGAGGAAAGAGGGGCAGAGGTGGGGTATTGCCTTCGACATTGATCGCGGAGTTTTGATTAATGTGACCCCTGATGGTGCTTTTGGCAACTGGCGAGACCAGCGTGTCTCAGTGGGTGACGTAATCTATTCCGTTAACGGACAGGTGGAGCCGCGCAAGTTTTATGAGGTACTGGCAACAGCGGAAAAGGTGGACGTCGAGTTTAGGCGGTTGAACCCGAATCATGGACAGCGACCGCCATTCGAAGCGCAAATCACGCGCAAGAGCAACGAGAAGTGGGGCCTGCAGCTAGATCTGGGTACAGGAGTAATAGACGGGCTGGTAAAGGGCGGACCGTGTGACCGCTACAACACGGAGGCGAAGCGCATCAGCGGCAGCGACAACGCAACGCTGATGGCCGGCGACAAAGTGTTGGCGGTGAACCGCGTGCCGCTAGGAGGGCAGAACCAGGAGATCTTCGAAGGGCAGGACATCGTCTTTTTCATTCTCCCACAAGGTTTCGAGACTTGTCTGCCAAGAAGACAGGCCGCGCTTTAATTCCAAAGCAGTACTAGTACAACTACAAACAGTAATCATACGAGAATACAACGGGACAAAACACATGCTAGTACTCATGAATTGCTTGAGTTGGAAGCTTTTGGTTTTGTGCATAGATACACAGAGTTTGCATTTGCAATGTTTGGCCCTAACTGTACTTGTGCTGGAATGATCATACGAAAAAAAGTGAAAAGTAAATATGTTTGGGAATAAGTTGCATTGCCTTGATAAACATGAAATATTAAACCACATTCATTCGCCTAGTACTATACCATTGAATAGAAATGTCATGGTGATTCGTGACGTAAGAAACTGTTGGTTGGAACATATGTTATGACGCGGAAACTACATTCGAACGAAAACGCACCCAGTTGCACAGATTTAATTTAATTGTATAGCTGAGATTTCGAAATTTTTGGAAATGCTACTACATACAAAACCGATACGGATTGCTTCTACAACTACTCGCTCTGGCGTGAAGTTTATCACAATGGAAACTATTTTCATATAGGGTGAACAATACGAAACTTGAAACCTAAGAAATCACAAAAACGTGCAAATAAACTTGTTGAGAATATCGATCAGATTCATCTACCAAGCTGCAATACGTGGTGATCATTTATATCTGCCTAACAGCCACAGTCATTACAGTACAGTACAGCATCAGCATGATACGACAGTCGTGAGGCCAAGTTTCATGGAACGACCGATTTTCACTTCCAACCTGTCCGTCGTTTTTCAGGTGTTTTTGTCGGCCAATAATAGCTCTTGCTCCAGCGTCACAAATCATGAACATCTTCCATATTCATGGACGTGCATGTGCAACTGCACCAACTACATCACAATACTGACATCACAGAAGTAATTTGTACTAAAACTACTAGTAAAATGTACGTTGTTTGGAACCAAAAGTTTTGCAGAGGAGGTGGAAAAGGAAGATAAATTCCGCCACAGAAAATCGTGGTTGTGAATCGTGTAATTCATTGAGAATAAATATAGTCAATATCGAATTCTTTCGGTCTATATATAAGAATAACAAATGTACCAAAAAAACGGCCACCGCAAGTTGTATCTTTGCTTAAATTTGAGGTCTTGTGTTCAATGATGACCCTGAGTGCGCATCGTTGTTATAACTTTCTACGAGTTCCATTAGACTCGAAGAACGAGGGACTTACGATTCACTTTCGAGTTGCCTGCTCTACTAGCCGCAGATGAAGTTGAACAGATTTATAAATCACTGTAGAACCACTACCACAAAGAGAGAAAGAGTTCGATGATGAGCATTTAGATAGTTAGTTGGCTCATGGAGTAGATTCTGCTTTGACTCTCACCGGACCAAGCAAACAGGCCCCACCCATCTACCTCATAGTTCTTGCATCCAGTCAGCACATGTGTTAAGCAAGTCAAATGCATGACGCCGTTCTACCTAAGCTGAGTCTCTTTAGGGAACTGTAAGCAATGACAATGACTCCTGTCGACCAGTTCAAAATGACTGAAGAGGTCGCCCGAAACCCACTGATCCCACGCGTGCATTTTTTTATAGAGCTCTCCTTTTTAGAGACGAAATGAGTTGAGTAGAAGTTAGTGGACATCAAGAGCCTTATCTGGATGCAGCTGTATTGAGAATATTTATTTGAAGGTGAGCGTCGTGTCTGGTACTATTTTGAAATCATACAACATGCAGGTCTTTGACTTATCCATGTATTGTCGAGCACGAGCCTGTAACTACACATAGCTTCGGTAACTAGTACTTGCAACGAGTGATTCCCACAACAGTTTTCTCGTGGCTCTTCTCTTTAATTTTTTTATAACGACCTTGAACACATCTTAGATTTAGTGTCGCAGAGCAAGTGTCACATGTTTTTATCAATTTGTTGTTTTTTCCATGAAATTGGAAACCATGAGCCTAACCAGCGTAAACCATGATTTGCATCTAAATTGAACAAAATCAACATCCACTCTTCATTTTATTGATGACGATTATCATGTTAGGCACCATAAGCTTGGTTTTTTTCTGGTGATCGATGGACCGAAAGCGCGTGCCCTTTGGGCTCTTCGGATGTAATTGTGGAGAGGAAGACTGCGAGGAAGAACTGTTTGAGTGTCCTGAGATTGAGTTGCCGGAGGCGGACGACTTTGGAGGCGCTTCGCGCTTTGATCGTGGGAAGGAAGGCGGCGGAAGGAATTTCGTGCTGGATCTCGGAGAACAGGACGGCTTTTCGGCGGATCCCGTTTTTAAAGGCTTTGCTGGTGGTGCCCTAGGGCAGTCTTCCTCGCGAAGGGACGACAGGCGGCTAGCACGAAACAGCGCCAATCCGCTGGTTGGATCAGCATTGCTCGCAACAGCAGAGGAGTCAAATCCCCCAAATCCTATTCCAGAGCAAGGAAAAACATCAAACGGTTTTGGTTTTGGAGGTGTCGTGGGTACTCCAGGAGCGTCGGTCGTGTTATCCGAAGAGCCCTCTGGACCGATCTTTAGAAATGTGAAAACACAGGAGAAGGAGAAGGAGGTGCTATCAGAATCAGCGAAAGACAAGACAGAGCTATCAGTTGATGTAGGTGATTCGCCAGAGTCCTCATCGGCAGTTCTCTCTGGTGAAGGCAAAAGGGATACAAAAGTTGCGAGTTCCTCCTCTTCTACTGCTGAGAGTGACGAGACTATAGACAGAGGAACTGCTGAAAAGACAGCAACAAGCGCGGCCTCAACATCTTCCTCGTCAAGCTCCACCTCTTCATCGGAAAAAGCAGAGGTCAACATGGGTAGCACAGAAACCGCCGAAGAGACTCAAGCAAGGAGCGCTGCCGATCGCACAGCAGTACCTTCGAAGGACTCTTTGGGTAGCACACCTCCGTCTGCAAGAGAAGGCATTCTTATGGACCGGGTGTTAGATCAGGATCACTCTGTTTCTAATCAATAGATCCAGCGCTCTTATAATGAGGTCCAGATTTAGGTAGGTCTAGGTCTGAATTCTCGGACTCTCACTGTGAACAAGTACAACAGCCGGGCCTGTTGTTATATCAAATACTGTTATTCTAATGAGAAGAAGGGGTTTCTTTTTTTCAGTACTTGGTGTACTAGGAACATCAATAAAAAATAGTTTTTTATGTTACACAGTTATAGTACTGGTTACACAGAAACAAGTCCTACTTTGTAAGGTCTAATTTCTCTACCGGCGATGCAGACCGGAGTATATTAAGTTCGTCACCGCCGGAATCGCCTGAGGCGGCACCCTCTCCTCTGGCGTCCTCGTTGCTGAGTCCGAAAGGGGAGTCGCTCAATACGTGGGTGGCGGAACACTTGTCCGACGATGACTACATGATATCCCCGCGAACGGCAAAGAACCTGCAGAACAACGCAAAAGTAAGGCATCTCTCCAAGAACCGGCCAGCATCAGCCGAAGGCCTGTCCAGTTTTGGGGCCTCGAGCTCCACAAGCTTGAGGAGGGAAGAGACGTCGAATAAAGCGGGTCTTCAACAGGAGGCTTCAACACAAGATGAGTCTGTTGCATTGTCCTCTGTTTCGGCCGGTGCCGCGTCGCCTGTCGGAGCCTACAAGTTGGCGAACGGGGGTCCTGCGCTACCAGCGCTTGCTCTCGGCGCCACCGCAGTATCGAAACTGCCGCTTGCGATAAATACGGGCTATGCGACGCCTGCGTTCGAGGCGGAGCCAAACGGAAGCCCAACGCCTGGCAGTCCGACCTTTGGACGACCCGGCTACAGCAAGAGCAGCGCGAGCAGCACTACCATTAGCACTTCGCAGGCTTCACCACCGCCCGGTTCTGCGGAAAAGCAAATGAGACACCTTACGGGCAGCTTGCCCGACGGTACCGTGCTGACCAGTTCGAGACAGGGTCGCGATCGGCTGCCGCGAACTGGCATTTCAGGGAAGGTTTTTGTCCGCCGACGAAACTATTTTCACCAAGAGGACAATTTGTACGTTGCCGAGTACTTAGAGAACTGTCGCAAATACAACATTCGCATCGACCCAGGCGTGGTTTCCTGTTTGCAGACCGACGGACAAGATCTCTACATTCAGTGCGAAGGTCTGCTAACTGTTGCCTCTATTCTCTGCAACCCAGTGAATCCTCCTGTGACTCGGCTCCACGTGATGCCTCGGTACGAGAACCGGTCGAACCAGTACATCTGCCTAATTCTAGAACAGATCCTCCACGCAAACCGAACCCTGGAAGTCGTTGACTTGTGTGACATAGGAATAAACCCAGATGGCATGCAGTATCTGGTAGCAGGTCTTCACCAGCATGCGAGCGTGCGCCAGCTGCTACTCAGTCGGAATGACCTCGGTTCAAAGGGGTAAGAATTTGAGCTTATAAATTGTAATGTGGGCGGTGGGCTGGGAGGTGGGCGTCGGGGCGCCGTCAACGTCAACAGGAGTAGGTTTTTCGTTGTGTACAGAATGAATGCAGTTAGATGTGGTGTGCTGCAGACGTGATTATTCGTGAAGCCAGGTATTCAGGTGGCCATGCTCTCTTTTTTTTTTTGAAGATATCTCTTTTTTTAACTTTTCATGCAGGTGCAAGCTTGTAATCAAGGGATGCGCTACGATGCCGGTTATTGAGAAAGTTGACGTGACTTTTTGCGGAATTGGGGCAACGTACACTCATATACTCACTCAGCTTGGAAAAAAGCATCCTAAAAAGCCTGAAGTCCGGACTGAAGGGAATACCGCAACGGAGGAGATATGGAGTGCGATAACGCACGGGTACAAGAACTCGTCTAAGATGAACTAATTGTAATTTAGGATATTCGTGGGTGATGGAGATACGAATCTACGATTATCCACTTCGTGAATGGAAGTCTTGTCTAAATCCTAGTCTGCTACCCTGTCCAATTTTATCGCTACACAATCTTTCTGAGCGGTCAACTTTTCTTGTAACAAACGACTGCAGGTTGGGACTGTTGTGGTCTATTATCGCCGGTATCTACATGACGATTCATGTTAGAGACAACCCCACCCACCACGTCCTTGGTTGCCTCACATACAGCGTCTGCAAGTTCCTCCTCTTTCTCTTCTCCACGCTATACCACTCGTTTTTCCTGAAGGTACGGATATTTTCAGCATTGACGGTACCACTTCGCTTGAGTATATAATAGTCCTCAGCAGCCTTGTCGAACCTTTCGTTTTACTACCCTTTTAAGAAGACATCTTCAACTTCTCATTAAATGTCTGGAAATACTTTCCACAGGTGTCGACCCACCAAGTGTTTCAGATTTTGGATCACTGTGGTATTTTCTTATTCATCGCGGCTAGCTACACCCCCGTTATTCAATTGTCGGAGATGTCGAAGGAGGCTGCCACGACGATTTTAGTCGCGCAGTGGATTCTGGCGGTTGTCGGCGTGGTCGCGTTTATTATGGCTTATTATTACGAGGGCTTTAAGCGCTGGTACGGTCTGATCGAGCCCTTCATATGCATAGCTATGGGCTGGATGATTTCATTGCGCTACGAAGAAACGGTCGGATCAATGCCCGCGGATTCGGCCAATTTGCTGCTCGTAGGAGGGATTCTGTACACCTTCGGGGTTGTGTTTCTGTTGGCGGACCGGCACTTTCCGTTTCTGCACGTCATCTGGCACCTCTTCGTACTGGCGGCTTCGGTACATCTGTTACGACATGAATTTTGTTCGTTGCAATATGTGCGGTTTCTGTCTTATCAATATCAACAACAGATTTTGTCGGTATATAAAAAGTAATCTGAGCAGTTGTTGTTTTGTATAAGTTCTGATATGCTACTCCTTTCATGCTCATCTTACTTTTTACTGCAGGTGTGTCACTGGTTTTCGATTTTGCATTATGCTGAGTTTTCCAAACAACGTTGGGAGATATTGCATGGCAAAAGTCGAGAATGGGAAGCGGGTTTGCTGATCCAACATTACAGTCAGCATTTTGACATGCTGAAGGAGTCCATCTCAGTCCTAGTGGCGGGGGTTGCCACAGGCACTGTTACTGCGGCGCTTCCCGGCATATCAAACACGGTCGGTGGCTACGTGAATTCCCGAAGTGCTGCTCCTGGGACGCTCAACGACCCGCTTTCTTCGAAGGGGCGGGTTAATGCTGATCCATTGAAACAAGGTGCAAGCAGCGCCAAGACGGTGACAGATGATTACGAGTCGGAGGACGAGGCACCCCGTTCAAGTAACCGAGACTTTGAGCTATAAGTGGGGCCAAGAAGAAGTAGAAGTTACGTTTCTCTCTTTTTACTTTTTGAATCAAAACAGAAAAACGACCGGCAACTGCAGTAGCCTCGTGATCAAACTTCGCGATGTCGCTGAAGCCCCTGACAAAGCGATCTTTATTTGCTTATGACCCATGCCGGCAACCCCCGTCCGACCTCCCTATGAGCAAATTTTTATTTTCTGCGCGCGTCATCAGTGGCATCGTTCTTTTGATCCGGGTGACAGGTTTTCTTCCTGAATAAATGCAGTAGCATTGCAATCCTGTACTTTCGTCTTCAGTTCACATCATAAATTCTATGAGTTTTTCACGTTCCCCCAGCATAATGGCATAATCTTATGTACATAGTTCTCCCCTAAACCCATCGTGGTTGTTCCACTTTCTCCATTGCTTAGAGGATGACGCAGTTTGCTCCTGTCATGATGTTTTCATAGGAAGCAATCATTTTTTCCATAAAGTTTTTTCTTTACTGATCCACCTTTTACTTGTGGATTTTTACGACGCGCTTGTGTATAGCCTCCTAAGCGACGGCGCCCACCGCATTCTTTGACTTGCGCTACAGTTGTTTGTGATTCCATGAATACTTCTTGTTTTAAGAAAGTCTTCCGGAGTCGTTGACTGTGAAATTTTTCGCATATGCAATTCCAAGCAACCTGGACACTTATGGGAAATTCGGCTACTGCGTATTCGCAGTCGTTTGATCCGTGTTGACGCCACAATGATCATCAAACGAGTTCTCCGTTTGATGCACCATGACACTGACTGGATGCAAACCACGTGGAAGTACAGGACCCGTTTGAATAGGTTTTAAAGTCTGGTCGGAAAACTTCTGTATCTTGGATTCTTGGCTAGTAAAAGATCGGTGCGCATTTGGGATCTTTGGGTGCTGATTCGCTATTTGCTGATTTTATTCGAAGAGATCTTATGAGCTCCTATTAGTTTCGAGCGACTATTGGTTAAAGGTGAGTTCCGATAAGTAGCTAAACAATTGATGTTGGAACTATTGCTTGGAAATTTTTCCTGAGTGATCATTATTTAATCCTACTTCATTTGTAACATCAATTTTCCTATTCCTTAATAAAGCTGTTAGATGGAGGCTGCGATGGGTGGTTTTGCTAGTGACGTTTTCTTGGGCCAGGTGCAACAACCAGGCGCGTCCGGGTCCGACATGAAATCGAATGTTGGCTCATTTTTTCAAGACCTCAGCGCTGCTCCAGGGTTCGCCGTTGCTTCGCTCAGCGACCACATTAGGCAGTTCTCGTCCATGTCCAGTATGAAGAGCACAGCTGTGTCCGTAGTTCCGCAAGCAGCAGTATCAGGCGCATCTTCATCCGTTGGTGTGCCACAGCTTTTAGTCTCTGCAGCAGGCCCAAGTGGAGAGTTGGACCTTGCTACGCCAGCGGCGGTGGACGACACCAAGCCTCCAACATCCCCGCCGCTAACCCCCGAAAGCATTGCCGCATACACGAATTTAGCCCTAACGCTCGTTGGAGGGCTCATAATTGTGTCTTACCGTTTGTTGGCGCGATTCTCGTCGAAGTACCGGAGTAATATTTTGTTGCTAACCAAATGCTCCATCGGCTGGGTCATCGGAAATATATTTCTACATGGGATAGGAGTGACCAACGAGCTGATAATGTTGGTTGGGAACATTTGTTTCCTAGTCCTAGCCGGGGGCCCAGATTGCGTCGCTATCACCTTGACTTTCGCGTGGCTCTGTGGCAGGTTTCAAATTCAATATTTTTACAGGTCCCAGAATCTTTTCACACGGTCTTTTTTGATATTTTTGTACAAAACTTCAGAAACGACCTGGAAGCAAATTTCAATCCGCACCTGTTCTTCTACATCGAATCAGACAACTAGGATGTCTTTTACTTATAATCCTCAGCCTAGCGAAGCATTGTACCCACTCTTAAAAACGCAGCATTAGCGCTCTGATCTGTTTGCCGAAATTAGCAGAGGATCCTTCGTGGGAACGACATTTGGCGACTACCGCATTGGCCTCCGTTTTGACATTGCTGTGCTTGGGCGTTCGCGTTGTCTTCCAGAACTGGGAAGTAGTCACCCTGCCTCCGCTCGCTGCGACAGCCTTGCTCGTTTGTTTCGGCATGCCGATCGTCGTTCTAGATGGTATCACTCGAAGAGGTTGGACTAGTCCTAGTGTCTGTCGTGAAAAGCAAGATCCTTTGGATTCGGGCCTCGTTTCTGCGTGACATCGATAATACGAAGCGACATAATTTTTACGCAAAGTAGTAGAATGATCGACGTACGGGTACACAAAGGTTTTCCTAGATAATCGATCCAATCCCAACTAACTGAGGAGATATACTGCCGTACAACATGTCGGCGTACGCTTCGCTACCTGAGAAGTCTTTGCGTCTTGCCTGGTGTGGCGTATATATTGTGGGTGTTATCAGCCAAGTAGTGTCGCAGAGCAGTTCTGGAAAGAGCGGCAATCCGATCGATGTCGGAAATCCATATGGTACTGTTTCTTTCAGGGGGTCTCCTGTAGTATTATTTTTTTTTTGTAGTCCGAGAACGCCGAAAGGGTGATGCCACTGTTGTCCGGTGTACCTGCCGGCGACGGGTGGAGTACATTAGCCTCCTTCTACTACCGCGCACTAATTGCCTACGAACCCGTCGATTTTAAAATGGAGAAAAAACTAGGGGCAAAGGAGGTGATTAATTAATTAGTATAAACCTCCACCGGCTGCCAACCGTCCCACTCTTTTGCGCCGGCCTACAAGGCACGAGGGCAGGGCCGCCAGCCCTGCTTCTTAATGTTTATGGTAGCCGTGTGCCGAGCATCTACGACGCCCCTATGGCAGTCTGCACTGAACTTTGTGCGAGATATATTGCAAATTTCTTTGCATTGTATGCCTTGTCATGTAGAGAACTGAATGCTTTTGCTTCCCCATGCGCGTCTCTACAAGGAGTTAAGCAAGCTATAGTATTATAGTATTCAGTTCGGACTTTTTCACAAGTGCTGTAGGTGGGCAGAACGACTTGATGCGACGGCTCCTGGAAGAGCAAGGCAATAACGTGAGCCGCAACGAGCTGTTCGAGAGTCGGTTTCCCATTCTGCAAGGCATGGGTGGCGGTCAGGAAAACCAGAGTGACCCTTTCCGACAGGCGATCAACCAGGCACCGGAGCCGAGTGGCAGCGGGGGCATTTTAGAACGCGCTCAGAGGACCGGAGAACCTCTGACCGAAAACGAAATGAAAATCCTCGAAATTTGTCGTGAGGACGAAGAGCAACGCAACCGGCTGCTTTTCGGAGGAGGACTGTGGTAAAAAGCACTTCATTTCTTTTCTGCTTCGCGGCGGGCTGAAAGCGATGCCATGCGTCGTATTGGCTCTGAACAGAAAGCTTTTGCGCACAATTGCGGCGCATCAGTGGGGTGGGCACCAGCGCATTGTAGTTGTAGCAGTGAAGGTTGCTGTTGCAACTCGTATTTTCCATCTTGGCGCAACAAATAGAGCGTCTTGTGTAACGATAAAAGCAGAAGGTTCGAACACTCACTGTGCGCTGGTAATATCTAACGAAATAAGTACAGGTGCTTGTCCATGGTCTGTTGATGCAGGTGTGCCATGTTTTCGAAGAGATAGCGTCAGCGATGGTTAGAGGAACCACCTGGCGAAAATCACTGTTAGTTTTAGTACGACTGTGGTTTGTGTTCAACGAGGCTAAAAAAACAGTTATATGATCTCAAGAAATATGGAGATGAGTGTAGATCACGAGCGCGTTGTGGTATCTGGAGTGACGAGGATCTTCACCTCTCTGTGTTCAATGGATGCTCTGACTGTGAGCTGTTTTCTGACCTAGCAGGAGAGAGGTCTCTGTTTCTGAGTGCGTACCATTGTTCGGTTTTTATTGGCATGCTCATGTTGAGATTGAGTGTCTTAATTAGAAAATTTGGAGCGTGCGAGATCGAAGCAGATCCTCTGTGTCGCAAGTGACGCTTGATCAGTTTTGTTCTGTATGTTTCCTTTTTTGTGCGGTTTGTGCGTATATCCTTATTGGTCTTCCAGACTTTTGTGTGGAGTCGTTTGCTAGTGAAGTATACTCAAATATTGAACCATTAATACTTTGATTCATTTCGAATTACAGGAACAGTTTTAGGGAAATCTTAGGCAGATTGCCGAATAGGTTCACATAAAAATCAGGAACAGTCTCAAGAGGTTGCGAGTCGATCGCTGGAGTCCCCCCCCGTTGCGTGTCCTGGGCTAAGGGCTATTGCGGGTTGTTTCCGGGTCGTTTCAAACTTTGCTACTATACAGTAGACACTGGTCATTTAAGTCTAGCAAAACTTGTATGATGTTCCACCCTTAAACGTAAATTGGAGTTCTAGTTAAACGGACCCTTTCTGAATCAATTGTTATGTTGACTATCTTCCAGTCGTCGATCCCATGAGGATTATTAAGATGGAATGACCTAAGTGCTTGGTAGAGCCAACTAGTGCATCTACGTGACCTCTACTTCTGCACTGGCTGGTTTCAAATTCTACGTCGTTAAAGATATGTGCAAGTAGTCAGCTTCGCTTCGGGCAGCGTGGTTATATTAATTATGGTGATGCCTGGTGGACATTGATTAATTTTTCGTTTTGAAGGTGTAGTGTTTGTCTGCCTGGTGTTTGGTGAGTCGCTGCACCTCAAAATCGAAAGGAAGAGAATCGTTTTCTGGTTTCAGTAGAAGGAGAGGTTCTAGTTGTGTTGGTAGCGTGAGCACGTAATCGTGTGGAGTTTCACTCTAGTCCCAGTCTCTTGATTCATTACCGTTTATGAGCAACAAGCTCGTTTTTTGATTGTGGGATGTTAAATCACGTATACCTTCTACACAGTAAAGATTGATTGGATACCAAGCTAAGTAAGTAAAGTTGTGCTGTTGAATGAACAAACCACAACCACTTGAGAAGTGGTAGCAGCGAATAAGATGTTGTGTCTTCGTTGACGCTGTGCGGCATCTTTGTCCACACTAAGTCGTTGCTGTGTGTTTCATTTTGTTGGCACTCTTTTTGCTTGCATAACTGCGGTGGGGCTTAACATTGTGACTGATCCTCGAGAGGGGAGAAGAAGATGCCGCGGAAACAGGGGCGACCCCAAGGTGGCTCTTGGAGAGAAAAGTCTGCTCCGAAAGAGAAGCAGTCGACGCAGCAGCCAAAGGGAAGAATAGCTTCTGCAGTTGATCATGCTGCAGCATCGGAGCATGCTGCTACAACTAGTGTGGAAGCCGTTACAGAGGCTTCGATTAAGTTGATTCCGAAGCAAAAAGAGGACGTTGTGCTAGGCAGCATGGTGCGAACCGCTACCCCGGAAAGTCCTGCTGAAGACCAGACTTCATCGAGCTCTTCGAGTTCCAGCGACCATGCAGAAAAAGCGAAAAAGGACTTGCAAGAGCTTGATGTTGGAGATGAACAAGACAAAGATTCAGTGACGACGATAATGAAATCGAAAGAGAACAATGTTGAACCAGATAAACTAGAAAGTACCACTGACGAGCAATCCTCGAAAAGCAACTCTAAGAAGGGGTCCGATGGCACTAACTCGGAAATACTGCCAGGTGCGAATTCTGACGCATTGCCAACGCTGCCAACTTTGCCTTTCCTTCGACCCGAAGATGCAACGGGCAGCAAGTCAACAGTCACGAGCTCCTCTTCATCCAAGATTTCCCATCTCACGGTAGTGTCTGCGTCACCCCGAATGACCGCTCGACAACAGGAAGACGCGAAACGACACGATGGAAAGGGCGGTGCTGGAAGCACCACACGACGTCGCAATCATGATGGAATGACGACTACTTCTCTCCTTTCGGTGCCGCGAGAGGAAAGTCAGCTGCTGGAGCGCGGACTGGATGGCTCAGCGCTCGAGGAGGAACCACCGTCGCCGGCCATGTCAGAGCGGACGGACGGGGGCTTGGCGAGGAAGCTGCAGAAGCAGATCTGCACCAGCTTGGTGGCGAGTGTGAGCGCAGAGCTGGCGACGTATCCCCTGGAGACCATAAAGCTGATGCAGCAAGTCCACGGCGGATCAGCACTCAGCATCTGCCGACACATTGTGAAAACGAAGGGCCTTCGAGGCTTTTTTCACGGTACAGCTGCGAGAATGGTGCAAACGGTACTGCGAGTTAAACCTTACTTGGTGTCCAGTCTTTTCTTCATGGTGGAAACGAAGTAAGTGATTGCTAGTTGCTACAACTATGATCTACATACCTATTTTTGTTATCAGAGACGATGTGTGAAGATGACTTGCTCCATGTGGAACCGTTTTCACAGGACTTTATTGCATCTATCATATCATATTGAAAGATGAAGTTGAAGTTTACAAATTTGCACATTTACAACAACAGATCGCTTCCAACGTTGGCTTCTTCATCTGGCAAGCGGTGCTTTCGAACTATCTCTTGGAGAACAAGGAGAGCAACTGGGTGAGGACGCTAATGGTGAATATGTTTTCGCAGCAGGTGACACGAATTTTCACTTCGCCGATCGAAGTCGTCGCAAATCGTAACCAGGCTGATCCGAACAGCGGGGGCGCTTTGCGCGTGTTTCGCAAAGTCTTATCCCAGGACGGCATTCAAGGCTTTTACAAGGGTCTTGGCGTAAGTCTGATTCTGTCGCTGAACCCTGCGTTAATGTTCACGCTGGTGGACAAATTGACCATCGTTCTGAAGCGCCTACTCGAGCGGGATGCTATCACTGCGGGTCAGATGTTCCAGGTCTCCGCTGTGGCCAAAATGATCGCTACGGTGGTCACTTACCCCCTCATTCGCGCGAAAACCGTGATGCAAACAACCGGCGCTGCGGGGTTGGGCGCAGCAGCAAGCAATGGCAGCCTCGCGGCCGTGATGCGCGCCTTGTTGCAGAAAGAAGGAGTTTGGGGGCTCTACCAGGGCGTGTGGGTACTCAGCTACAAAACGGTGCTTTTCAACGCATTGATGATGAGCTTTAAGGCGAGAGCGGAACGACTCTACAATGAGGTCCTAGTACAGCGCGCGGTATCGAAGCTAACCGAAAGCGGTGACACGGTTCCACCGGCATGGGAAGTATCTTCTCCTGACAGGAACCCGCAAGAAGAGGCACCAATGAGTCAGGTAACTGCTTGTTCTTACAGCTTGAATTTGTTACATGCACGATGACGAGAAGGACTCCTAATTTCCAATCTCGCCTTGCTTCATCAAACCTGTACTGTATCAACATTATGAAGTATGTTACAGTTACTGTAGTCAAACCAACTGCTTTCTTTCAACAAGAGTAGTTCTGACTTGTGGCACCCTTTTCGTTTCGTCAGGTGGAAGCGCTGCTCGGGGAGTACCCATGGGAGGCGGCCGCTGGAGGGAAGAGCGTGGTGTATTGTGCAGGTGCCTGGGCATTTTTGCATCCGTCGCACCAGAACTTGCTGTTTGAGGCGCGTCAGCGTGGTGATCACGTAGTCGTGGGGGTCCACGACAGCTACACCCGCACAACGAACTACGCCAGGGCCCCGGAAGAACGCTACGAGGTGCGCGTCGAGCGTGTGCGCACAGTGAAAGGCGTGCACAGCATAGTGAAACACGCTCCGTGGAAAATCGACGAACACTTCATGAAGCGCATGGGCATTTCGAAGGTGCTCGCGGGACGACGGTGCAGCGCAGACCCTCGGGATCCGTACTACATTGCGGAAAGACTCGGAAAGTTTCAATTCGTGGAGGATCCCTACGACGGAATGTGGCGTAACATGATCAAAGTCATGTTTTCGAATGTCGACGCGGGGAATGAGCCTCCTCTTATCAGCAGCCCAACGCACAGAGCCCACAGCAAAGCCAGGTAGTTCTTAAATTACCTACTTTCATTATAAGTGGATTTTTAGAGAAATAATGGCATTATTTGTTGAAGATCGCAATATCCTATTACAATGAACTTTTCGTCAGTCATTTGTTTGTGTCCTCAGACATCGACTATTCTCTTGATTTTCAGGCATATGCCGCTGTTTCGAAGGGATAGCCGTGGCGAACTCCGGATTTCTGGAGAGCAGAAAGGCAAGCTGCGAAAAGGTAGTTGGTACTTTCTGTACCAGGCTGACCAAACCGAGCGTCCAAATCCTAATACCAAACGCGCGCGGCATCTTCGTGAGACTGAGGCCAGACGGGACAAGAACTGGAGCAAGGAATCCAGTCCAAAGGCTTCACCGGGTGCAGTCTCACCGCGTTTTAACGGCTTAGTGCCGGTGAAGACTGAGGCTCTTTGTGAAGAAGAAGTGGAAATGGCCTTGACGGGGGCAGACGACTTGTCCCAGGACGATTCCCGGCCACCGTCAAGGCGATATGTAGGCTCGCTGAAACTAGATTACGCCCCAGCAACACGACAACAGCTCTCCTTGACGTCGTCTATGGCAAGAGATGACTCACCGACTCGGAGTCGGAACCTCGGACACCCTGACTCGGTGCCCTCGCGCATGTCCTCCGTTGTTAAAGAAATGAGCCCCAAAGCCACGAATTCCTGAGGTAGTATTTTAGGCCACGACCACGACGTACGAGAAGGTTTTGTATTGTGCTTGGCGTCGTGGCTTCCTTGCCCCCTGAAGGATCACCCCCCTCACTTTTTATTTTTGGAAACATTGATCATACGCATGCAACGACCTGAGGTGAGGTAAAAACCCACCCCGTCATGTCAAGGAAGTTTACTGTTTTCTCGCTTTGTGCAGTAGCTTGTCCCTTTTGGTTTGCAAGATCACAAGGTAAGATAGAAGTACCCAACTGCCATGAGATAATAAAAATGTCCCCTGTCATCTGCAGTCATTGTTGGTAGAAGAAACTCTAGGTACGAATCTCTCCTATGGAGGAACGCAGCTTCCACCTTTCGCAGATTGCATCACTCCTAATGCACTTTGTTGCAGTTGGTTTTTTGTTCATGGTTTGAGGTCTAGGTTGCGTTTGTTGCGTCTTCATAGTCAAGCAGACCCTAACGTCATCGGCATTGCATAAAATGAAACGGTACTGACACAAATCGTGACCCTAATATGTGCACTCCAACCTCAGAGACTGTCCTTGAAATGTACGATACAATACTAATTTTCCTCCTTCTTAAATGTATGTTACCCTGTTAAAGGCTTGATTGTCGCTTATGCCATGCATATACGAGAAAAGAGTCCGCGGGAAAAGCCATGAGTGTGGGCAACGCTCATAAGTGCTAAAGAGTGAGCGCTGCTCACATCAGCCTGCTAAACTGTGCAGACGCTGAAGTTGTTTTGGCTGTTTTCGCTTTTCGGGTCTGGCGGACCTTTTGAGTGATGAAAAAGATTACCTGCTTATGCAAGTGAAAGACATCGCTTTGCGTAAGCGCAATTTGAGTTCCAGTCCATGCGTGACGTGTGTGAGCGGCTAGCAGAGGGAGTGTGGATTTCAACGAGTGGTGGGCTGAAACAGAGGGACAGCGAGAGCATGAAGAGTGATCTTGATTGAGGGTGAGGGGGCAGACCAACAGCTATCGAGAGAGTAACGAGAGCAACAAGCACAGCGTTTCTTTTGTGATTTCTGAAAATAGAAGGTTGATAAGGAATTTGAATTTTTATCAATATTCGTGATTGACATGAGGCTCCTAATGTACTTAGCCCTTCTTCAATACGGCTTATATTAGAAACAGTACCGACCGGGACCAACGCATGAATGCCTGCTTCAAACTACACTTTGAACGATTCAGAATGGAGTTCAGTTGCAGGAAAAGTAGTCGTAGCAACAGTAGGTAGACAAATCACGGCCTGTAAGAAGACTCGGAATCTCAACTAAGTAGGACTGAATCATATGCAAACATATGCATAAGAAGCTTCCTAGAGCTTATGGAAGCATTCGGAAAATCACACTCACCTATCTGACGTATCATCGAGCTATCACTAACATGCCGGTAAAAGTACTGCTGCGTCCCCATTATCTTTCAGAAAAGCAGACGCTCCCAGTGAACGCAGTTGCGAGGATGATTTTGGGTGTGTCGCGCGGCAACGTGACTGGCTGACCTGTAATCTCGCATTTTAATATATCGAGATAGGGCCAACTGGACCTGGACGGAAAACGTTGTTACTACGTCAATTTTCCGCAAGCACGGGATCATCTACTTGAGTACCCTGAAAGAACGACTTGACCTGGAAAGACGACGCGCCGAAGGTGCTTTTTCCTAGGAAACGCGTGACGCTTGTGACGGTGATACGCTAATGTCTCAGAAGTTGTCTTAGCGGGCTTCCATGGTGCGGGACTTCTAGTTGCTATTTTGGTGCTGGTGCTGGTGTGTGCTAGCGACTGAGGTCGATAATAATCATTGAGGATATTGGAGATCTACGTCGCCGCGATCGCTGATCACTACTGCATCGTGCTGCTTCTTCCTATCTCATGGATTCAGACTTTACCTATTCCTGCCTGTCCTCCGATTACGTCGCCTTTTCGTAGAAGCTTGCCATCCCGCCGCCGGAAAGGTGCAATTTAGTAAGCGACCGACAGCAGATACCTGCAACGAACTGTACCGTACGAATTCACGGGGTAGTATATCAATGTCCGTAGGGTCAGGGCTACCGACGCCAGCACGAGAAGAAAAGCTAGTCATTGAGAGTTTTTTCTGCATCAAGTGACAGAACTGCGTGTATCGTCTTCTTGAATCACCGAAAAAGACGCAGCGCCTACGCATCTACAGGCACTGACGCTATCGACAGGCTTGATGCGCAGCATCCGATTCAGCGAAGTCTTTACAACGTCAACGTCTTTACAACGTCAACCTCGTGTAGTCGTGTACCATCAACTGGAAGCATATGAAAATTTTGTCTGTGGCGTGATTTCAAAAACGAAGAGAAGCAGGCTGCTCCTGTCTTTTGGTGTGACCCTGAGCACGGCACGGGACGACACGAGACAAGTTTCTCTGACTACAGCGTCCTCGTTGAATAGTACCCCGAACACCCGTTTCGGCTCCGAGGCCTCCTGGGAGTAAGTACGACCACCAGTTTTGCAAGAATGCCGGAAGTACAACAAGGACGGAAGCCGGACCTTGTTCCGGGGGCTCGTCGTGATAATTGGAACGTACCCCATCGCTACGAGCTCGGTCGCTGTATCGGCAACGGAAGCTACGGATCCGTCTATCAAGCGTAAGAAATTTGAGGATGCTTTTATTTGCTAGAGTTATCATAACTCTGCGATGTATCATAACTCTGCGATGGTGTGTTAGCTAGAGTTATCATGCGATGTATCAATTTGTGTATTTCAGAGGAAGCATGATAGTAGCCCATTTTGTCGGGTTTTCATAACCAGCGCGCCTCTTTCTACTCACTGTATTGTTAGCGTTTCTCTGTGAAAAATACTATGAGGTATGATCGGGTAGAGAAGAGGTCAGTGGCGGTAAAAAAAGTGAAAAGGGTATTCGAGGATCTCATAGATTGCAAGCGAATTTTACGCGAGATTGCGATACTCTCACGGATCGACGATCCGAGAATAGTCAAGGTACCTTGTGTAGTTACTACTGTTCTATCTTTCTTTGTTTAGTTTACTTGATCTCTGTTCTTGCGTGGCTGTGCGTGGTTGTGGTTGAAATAGGAAACCGAATAAGACTATGCAAAAAAATTACTGTTGACTAATATATAAATATGCAAGGCCACTAAAACGGTCATCATTATCTTTGTATCCTCTTCTACGACCACGAAGAATTGATCCGCTACCGAAAACCAAACTGTCAATACAGCTTTATGACATCTGCGTCCCTTCGGATCTAAGCAACTTCACGGATATTTATCTGGTGCTAGAGCTATGCGATAGCGACTTCAAGAAGCTTTTTCACTTGCGAGAATTCCTCACTGAGTGCCACACAACCACGCTTCTTTACAACACGATATGCGGGCTCAGGTATCATAGTTCGTTGAAAGCACGAAGACATTTTCATTAGTATAAAAGTAATAAATTGCTCTACAAAATTTTTTATATGACGCCTGTAGCAGGCATGCATAAAGCGTCTGCGTATGGTGTCGCGTCGTGTTGGAAAGGGCGGCCGCTTTTCGTCGGGTTCTTCATGAAAAGTTGTCTGCGTATGGTATCGCGTCTTGTTCGTTGGGTGTCGTGTCTTGTTCGTTGGGTGTCGCGTCTTGTTCGTTGGGTGTCGCGTCTTATTCGTTGGGTGTCGCGTCTTGTTCGTTGGAAAGGGCGGCCGTTTTTCGGGAGGTTCTTCACGAAAAGCGGTCTGCGTATGTATGGCGTCGTGTCGTGTTGGAGAGGGCGACCGCTTCTCGTGGGGTTTGGTCTGCGTATTGTGTCGTGTCGTTTTGGACACAGCGGCCGCGTGTTGTCGGGTTCTCCACGAAAAGCGGTCTGTGTACTATAGTCCGTGTCGCGTCTTGTTGGACAGGGCGACCGCTTTGTTTTCGTGGGCTTCTCCACGAAAAGTGGTCTGTGTATGGTGTCGTGTCTTGTTGGATGAAAGGGCGGCCGCTTTTCGTGGGCCGCCTATGAGATGGAAGGAAAAGGATACCTGGAAGTGGAACGTAGTTAGCTGCTAGATAAAGGTAGGTCGACTAGACATTTCACGTCAATGACCGTCTACTCTTGGTTATTTGGACGATAGTTCACTACGACCAGGTACTTGCACTCTGCTGGAATATATCACCGAGACATGAAGCCCGCTAACTGCCTAGTAAACACCGACTGTGGTGTCAAAATATGCGATTTTGGGCTTTCACGAGCGCTCGGAGAAGAGGCGCAAACACTTCCTGGGATGCAAGACAGGCAAAACCGTGTGCTTCGGAGGCAGCTGACTGGGCATGTCGTCACTAGATGGTACAAAACAGGGAAGCTTACTGGCTATGAAAATTTTTATGCAGGCTTGCGAAAATGAATAGATAAGAGTCCCTCCATTTGCCTGGAGTCCTAGATATTCAAGTTGAGATGAATTTCTTCCTATCGACTCAGGTATAGAGCACCGGAACTGATACTCCTGCAGGAAAATTACACCGAGCAAATTGACGTCTGGTCGCTAGGGTGTATATTTGCAGAGCTCCTCGGTACTATTCATTAAGGAATGTTCTCATGTACTTGAAGCTCAACATCATCAAGACATTGAGGGAAGGTGCTCCTTAGATTGGCATTTATTTGTTTCGTGTATATTGAATCTGGAGAAAAATGCGGAACAAAAGCTATCTATTTGCAAACATGAATATGTGAATCATCATGCAGGTATGGTCAAGGAGAACATACCCTACCCGGGGAGCCGTGGACCTTTGTTCCAAGGCGGTTCATGTTTTCCTCTCTCGCCTGATCGAAAGCAGCAACAGGACAAGTAGGCGCCTCGTTGATCAACTTCCTTTTGATCACCTTTTTACATAACCTCACTTAGATGACTTAATGCAAAATTTGACCTTGGAGTGGACGGTACACTGCTGGTTTTCTCTGAACAGCCACTTTGTTTGCTTAGGTTTTTTCTTCGAGTTTGCTTTCGCATCATACATCGATCAAGCAGGTATAAGTCGTCAAGTAACCGGGATCAGTTAAACATGATATTCAACATTCTTGGGACACCCGATGAGCGTGCGATACAAAACTTAGAAAAGGAGGACACCCGTCGCTACGTGCGCTGCTTCAAGCAGCGGAAAGCCGTGCCTTTGAACGAAATCGACCGATTTAAGGTAGCAGCATTGTGCGAATGGTCGTGTGTAACCTCCACTACTGTCAGTCTTGTTCTCGTCTATCACTGTCTGTGAATTTCGACTCGCAAGGCGCGTCATTTCAATGAAAGATTGCCCTTCGTTGTCTCCATTTTAATAGAGCTAGAAATGCCCCGCTCGAGAAATCCAAGTCCAACATCTTTCTTTCCAACCTTCTTGATTTTCCAACAGAACGCATCACCGGAATGTTTGGATTTACTGCAGAAGATGCTAGTTTTCGAACCTTCTGAGCGCATTAGTGTGGACGAAGCGGTGCATCATCCGGTGTTTAAGGGTATCCGCAAGCCGGAAGAAGAGACGGTCGCACCGGCAAAAATCGTCTTGGACTTTGAATTAAGGCAGCTTGTTTCTCTATAATTACCCATTTTTAATACCAAGAAATACAGAACGTGTTCGTCTATAATTTGCCATCTTCATTAGGTATTAGATTCTGAAGGTGTTTCCCCATTTAGCAAGAGGAAAAGAAGTGGTTCCGAGGTGCTGGTCAAAATTTTGAGTTTGGGCGCTCTAATCGAAGCAGAACCGGAGTTGGACGAAGCACGACTCAGGAAATACTTCTTGCTCGAAATTCAGCGGTACCATCCAGACATCGAGATGCCTGCACATCTCAAAGCACTGTGAGACTGCATCTTGTGGCGAGGATTTATTTTGCTCGAGCTGCGTCGGCGCCAGGGAAATGTCCGACTGAGGGATTGTGTGTGCACCAGCATTCTTCTGGCGGATTGGGTCGCACTTCGCTTATGCATTTTGGGTAGAAGCGGAGGATGAGGTGGTACTATTTTTAGATGTCACAGTCAATTGGTTGATACTATTTTTAGCTTGTGGAAGATTACGGGCATGGAGATTTCGTTACAACTACGTACTGTGCATAGCAGATACATAGTCAACATCTTTTGTTTCCAGAGATCACATCGTAGACTCTGGTGCACTACGAAAATGTTCTTCTATCGTTTTTGATCGTAAGAGAGATTTATAGGAATAGCAGAGTTTTTGCCGTTCGTTCAGTTTTCCCGATAGAACCATAGTTCTAAGGGGCGGCAATACCCACTTTCAAATGTGATGTGGGAATTTAAGATATACTCTAGCACATCTCATGGTCGTGTCCACGATAATCAACCATAAATATGGGAAATCTCATCAGAGTTGCTAAATCATTTGTTTTTACTACATTTTTATCAGATGCTAGTAGACTTCAGTCGTGTAATGATTCCTTCTGTACTTTTTGTATCTTCAACATCACTAAGAAATAGCAATATGTCTATCCTTCCGATACAATTTGATCCTTGGCCTGTATAATCCTTCTTTGGCAATTGATGTTTACAATGGTCCATTTCCTTCGTCTCATTTATGCTTACTTTGGTTGTGTTAGCCAGTCACCGCCAGAAACGTGTTTATGATTTCTAAATGCCCGACCTTGCGGCCTAGCTGAGTGCGCACCTCTGCTGTCATCGCTTAGGTAACAACTAAATGAGGTTTTGGAATAATGTCTCCACAGAAGAACTTGTACGCGATTTTCTCATTGAAGCCTCCACGCTAATATGACATATCTTTCCTGTTCATAAGAAGTTTCCATCCACCCCAGCGCATATCGGGTGTCAGCCTTTGAAACATTCATGTAGCTGTTTATGCATACCTCTCGTCTGCCATCCGAATTCATTCAGAAGACCACGTAGGTTGGAGAATGAGCACCCACCTTTGAATATTCATCCATCGCCTAGTATCAACAGTGAACTCGTGACAGTCTGGTTGAGTTCTTTGTTAGATACATGGAACGCTTGCGTATGTTATTCTGTAGTTCGAACTGTTTTTTGGTTACATTTATTTCCGTCTCATCTGGGGGTTGGCTGGGAGCTACATTATCAGGGCCTGGCCGGCGGCGACAGGGATCGCTCTTCTCGGATCACACCAGAGGTCATCAATAAATCGAACGCTTTCAATCATTTCCAGTAGATTCTTCATCTTTCCATCCACCCACCGCGTTCTACATTTGCAAGTTGGTATCATCTACTCGTATTTTCGAAGTATATCGTGAAAGGCTTGTATTTGCTGAGTTCTCCGTAAGTAGCAAAGGGACCGGCTGCGACTCAGCGCTCCACCATGGGAGAGCAAGAACCAAAAGTTCAATTTATAGTTATTATGGGGTGGAGGCAGTATGTTTATGTAGCGTAAAGATACATAGCCAAACAAAAAAGTTTGTTTGTTGGCTGCAGTCCAAAGATTGACAAAAGAATTGCACAGCATGTCGAGTCTGTCCTGGCATATCACACCATCTCAGCATTCTATTTCTGTGAAACTTTTCAATTTCATGTTGTGGTTGTACTCACATTTATGATGTAAGTAATCTCCTGCAACATCCACGTTCGGTTGTTGTGGTACACGATAGAAATCAAGAAGGGTCACGGTGAATAAAAGAGATGTCTGCAGGTGGCTTGGCGCCGGCATGCATGACAGGAGAAAATACAGATTCAACATACAAGAAGAAGGCTTTGGCGATGCCTGTTGCGATAACCCATGAAAGTGGTGAAAGTGTTGCAGCTTGTCTACCCATACACGGAGCCGGAAGGACATTCGGCCACATTTGTTTTTTGAAATCTTGATGAAAAAGGAAAAAAATATGATTGTAACCGTCATCCAATTATTTGATATTCCCCACCAAACCGATATCTAGGATTAATCGTTTTTCGTTTGGGAAAAAATCATGCTTCTGTAGTTTTGTCGTTGTGACAGGCCGGTGGGTGTCACTCCTGGTGCCGTGCTCGCCGTGAGCGGACTCTTTACACGCGTGAGCTACCCCGTAGAATTATTACAGGCGACAAGGATCATGGCTACCGTTACCGAGCAGAAGGATGCGGGAAAAGGCGAATATTCTTCCACCCGAGGAGCTTCAGACAGAGGACCGCAGACTTCTGACAACACTGATAGCGACGAAAAGCATAATAGCGAAGATAGCAGCCCGCCAACTGAGCAGGTAGAGAAGAACAGGCGAGAAAAGATTGCCACACGGGATCCCTGGGAGAAAATCAGTCTTGTGATCTCCCGCTCACTGGACGTCGTAGCTTTGAGCCTTTTTACGAATGGTTTCATGACTAGGCTTTTTGTCCAGAAGATTTTCTTGTTGGGTAACTTACTACTTATCACCTAGGACTCACACACACACGAACAAACGACCCTTGAAGGGCGAAGGTTCATGGACACTCATGCACGTCAATGCTAGCTCTAATGTTTGGCTGCAGGTTTTATCTGGTCTGTGGGTGGGTGAAACGAGTCGAGCCGCTCTGTTTTCTTCGGCACTGTCGGATGTATTGGGCATAGCGTTTGTCGAGGTTCTGCTCTTTTCAGTGACTATCGGCTTACGGCAGCATCAGCGGGATGGTGCAGAAGATGAGAATATACAGAGAAAGGCTAAAACAACGGGCGGGCATTCAGCAGTGGACGATAGCGATCTGGAGAAACGCGCGGCGTTAAATGGCTTAGGATCCCTGCGCAGTGCTTCTGAGGAGAAGGAAGATAGGAGCAGCAAGAAACCAGTCTTGCGCATGCAGCGACCACTGTTCGCGACGGTCGTGTTCGCGTGGTCAGGCTTTTTCTGTCGCGCCGCCTTGAACATAATCGTCTTCGGGACCTTTTTAATGCGACCAGGTTCCTTCCGAGCAGGAGTGATGGGTTCCGCGGGGGCTGCCTTGGCAGATCGCTATTCTGCTGGAGGCTACTTTAGATTAGGTGCTATTCTGGGGAATGACCCCGAGACAATTCTGTTATGGGTCCTGTGTGCAGGTGCAGTCTTAACGCGGCTGCATCGCTGTGCGGCTATGCTGTTCCCTGCATTCTCGCGATCGCTGGTATGCGGGCGACTCAGCGTCGCTACACGTGTGGCCGACTGTTTTGCGTTTTTATACGTGGGAGTTTGCTTTCACTTCCGGGAACGGGCCCGAGCAGGTACTCTGGTTCTGTGTCTGAATACGCTGCTTTTGGTACTTGATGCGTTGCAGGTGCGTGAGCACAACGAGAGAGAACGCATAGCGCAAGTAGAACATCGCATTTTGCGCCAGCGGCAACTTCGGCGGGAACGGAAACAACAGCGTGAGGAAGAGCAGCGTGCGCGTGAGGAAGGGCAAGCAGCTCCTGGCGAAGCTAATACGGGTGAAACGGACAAGGATGTCATCAAGAAGAACATTTGCGAGATGAAGCGGCCAGCGAAGAAAACTGAAGTCGAAAACGGCAATGTTGAAGACAGTGGAAGGGATGTCTGTCAAGAAGACCACAACAAGCTCGCGACGACAGACGAGGAACAGAAGAACAATAGCAAGCACACGAAAACTGATGCAAACGAAGAGACCAAGAACAAGTCAACACATGGAATGTCTGAACAAAATGCTGTTGAGAGACAAGTTTTAGTTTCCGAAGGATCGGGGGGGGTTTCGGCAGTATGGTCGGCGTAAAGCTGAGTCGCCCGTCTCGTTTCACGAGGCGAACACCAAAGAAAATGCATCTGGTGCCAACCACGTGAGAGACGGGGAGACATCGTGTGCAGCAAAGCAAACGACATCTTCAAGCAGTGCTCTATCTCCTGGTGCCACGTTCTGTACGACACGTCGTTTACAGAAGGACTCTGCGAATACTCCGTGCCCAGAGCAGCAGAACAAGAATGAGATTACCATTAGTGCAACACTGCTGAACGATCGCACGATTGGAGCCCATGAGGCTGGTGCTGGAGGTATTCTATTGTCAAATTCAAGGAAAGAAAGACTTCTCCCTCCGAATTGACTGGCACTGGCTGTCAACAGCTGCGGGGGGGTGCAGCCTCATTTCCCCGCATCTTCAAGAAACACCACCACTGCTGATGCAACGTAGCGCGTCGCTACCTGCGTGTTATTGTTCTGCAAGTTGCAACTTCTATTGCAGGGCTGGAGCATTTTGCAGCAGGACACGGCATGCAGAGTCGAACTTTTGTACGAAGCTCGGTAGACGTCAGAGCATCTCTACGAGTTCAATATCTGTAACGATCTTCGAGGTAGGTCTCAGGGAAGATTTCAGGTATTTATTATGGAAGGAAAAAACACTGACCCAAGACAATGCTGGTCCTACTGCAAAAGATCTCAAGCTGGGTGTTGCACGAGGCCCAGTTCATTTGTCTGTAGAGTCTTCTTAGGACTACCATGATGAAGTGCGGAAAGCGTTGACATCTTTGAAGGCTTCATCGTAAAGAATAAAAACCTAGGCTATCTGTGCATCGTGTGTGACAGGTACTCTCTCGTTTGGAGCGTCATTTATTACTGAAAACAAAAGCAAACAATCAATCTATCAGCTTTCCTCGGGCAGGTTGACACTTCGTGTGAGCTTCTTTTCTTCATGCGTGTTTTGGTAGAGTGCTTGAACCTTCTTGATTATGGCATCCATGCAAGAGGTAATACAATGAATGTCGTTAAAAACTTTACATTTTTCTGTAATTGAAACGAGCTGTTGAAAACATGAAGGAATTGGCATCCACAAGTACATCGCCAGAGGCCATTACGTTGCCTGAGCCTTTTGCCAAAGAGGAACAGCAGCGCATCTTGGCAGAGTTGCGTGCCGTCGCTTGGGCAGAACGGTTGCGTGGGGAGCGCGATCGCGACGCTGAATTCGAGGCACGGTTGGAGAAGTTGGAGGGGAAAGAAACAAATCCACAAGACTACCTAATGGCCCAGCGTATGGAAGTGGACCCGTTTGTGGAAGGTGAGCGCACTCGCCTGTTGCGACAGCTAAGGGCGGCGGCGGTGTTCGCAGAAAAAACGCTTTACGAAACAAACGGAGTAGAAGTATGTGGTGCAGTTTTATCAGAAACGAAAGAGCTAAAGACTGAGAATGGAAGCCAACCGCCGGCCGGAATGAAGATTAACGATCCGGGCATTGCCGAGAAGCCTTCGTCCGGAGGTGGGTCCACCTCGTCGTCCCCTCGTATGACTTTCTCCGGTTTCGAAGAGCCTTACAGGTTGTGCGTGGTCCTGGATATGGACTGCTTCTTTGCGGCAGCAGAGCTTAGAGACCGGGAACCAGCACTGAAGGAGCAACCAGTAGCAATCGTGGACCTCGGCGCAGTGTGCACCGCAAACTACGTAGCCAGACGCTATGGTGTGGGGGTGATGCCTATGGCTAGTCTGAAATTCGACAAACGATGATGGAAAAGAGAATGCCTAGAATTTTACTGTAAACGTCGTAGATGGAGAGAGTGACGTCGTTGACTGTTGCTAGAATTTTTAGTGTACCGCTAATATGTGGGTTCAATACGCGCGTGCATTATGCCAGAGACAGCGGGTGAATCTAGTGGAACTCAGATGTGACTACGCAAAGTATGGTGAGGCTAGCAAGGACGTCCAGCGGGTTTTGCGTCGAGACTTCGGCATTCCTAAAGCGGCTGTGGCGGTACCTTCGATGGACGAGATGTTCTTAGACCTCACTGACGTGGTTCGGCTATGGCTAATTTTTCAATGTCATCATACTAATTGAAAGTTATTACTCACTTAATTTGTTTCGCGCGCTTCCTACGACTGCAAATTGACACTGTATGTGAGCATCGATGATGCGAAGTAAAGTTGCAGTTGTGCGTAAGATGTAATACCTGTTCAGTTGTGCCTCTTTCAATGAAAAACAAGGTTGTTCTAAGTAAAGGTGGAATCCTGAAATCCGTTCGCGATGGGTCTGCTTCGAGGATCGACCAGGATGATCTGGAGGAGGTTGAGTGGCGTACTGTTTCGGCATTGGTGGCCCAGATTCGTGCTAAGGTGCTGGAGAAAACAGGAATGTCTTGCAGTGCAGGCATTGGGCCGAATTTTTCGATGGCCAAAATGGCTAGCAATGTGAACAAACCGAATGGGCAATTCTGTTCTTGCCTTTTTAACGATGTGGCGAAGAATTTATTGGCTTCCTCGGGGGCATCATCCCAAAGCAGCTCGAATTGGCACATGCGGCGCTTCCTTAGCAGCAAGGCACAAGAGAGTGAAAAATTCTTCAAGGTCGATCACTTCGACGACCGGGAAGGGATCGGAAAGGGAGAAAATACCACGGTCAACATGTTGCGGACCGGGGGTCATACCTCTATTTCCGAGCAAGAAAGAGGAACTAATGCCAGCATGGCCAAAACGGGTGCCTCTTTTAAAACGCCAGAGGCGTTTGCGGAGAAACTGCGGCAGGAATATACTCCTGCCGGCGTGGCGAAAAGTGTGTGGCTCTTGACACTGCCTGCAAGGGCATGGCCTGGCGTAGGACCGGTTGCGACGCGGCTTTTGGAGCGCTATCGCATTCAAACAATCGGGGACGTGCACGCGCATCGTGGCATGCTTTGGCGTCTCTTCTCACCTGCCATTGCGCAGTTGCTAGTGCTAGCTGCTTCAGGTCTCGAGAAGCGCAAGAATACTGGACCGGGAGGCACAGGTGGCCGCAATTTCTCAGCTTCAACCGCTGCTTTGGGAGCAAGCAACAAGGATCAGCCTTACAATCCATTCGCAGAGGTTTCGGTTGGTGGGATCAATTTAGCGAACACGGCGCGCCACAAGCAGTCGCTTAGCCAAGAGCGATCCTTCGGGCGCGAGGTGTCTGATCTGGCCACTGTGCAGCAGCGGGTGAAGCAGTTGAGTGCCCGTGTGGCCGAAGAACTCCGAGACGCAAAGCTCGTTGGTCGCACGGTGACTTTGCGACTCAAACGTGCAAAGACCTTCGACTACAAGGCCTGGTCACAGCCTATGGTTGCGCCACTCGCTTCTACAACTCAGCATGGTGGCAACACTGGAAATAAGAGTGGCACTTCTACGGCCACGTCTTCCAATCTGTCCTCTCTGTATTCAGGAGCTTGTGCACAAATAAATGAGGCAGCAAATGCGATACTGCTAAAGAGTGCGTGGCCAACCTGCCCTCATGGGGTGTGGCTTGTGGGAGTCACGGTGTCGAATTGTCGCCTTGTGGCGGACCTTGCGATTGAGGAAGAGGCAGCGCGGCCTAAGCAGATTCAGCCTAGTATCAAAGACATCTTTGGCATCACTGCAAATAGCAAAAAAGAGCCTGTTGTTCAGACTCCAAGAAAAAACAATGGTAAAGAACAGCAAGTGATTGTGCTGGATGACAGTGACGAGGAGGAGAAACCTAGTCCTGCTCCCACGTCATCTGGTGAGGAAGGACGACGAGAGAAAACAAGCATAGCTCTCGAGAAAGATGTCGTTTCAGGTGCACGGCCAACTGGTGAGTCACCTATGATCAATAGAGAAGGCTCAGATGAAGTACGCGACGACAGCATGCAAAAGGTGGGAGAGCAAGACGAGAACGCGGATTTCGCAGAGTCACGGGAGGAGCTCGGTCGGGGTAACTCGTCTCTCTGTTCTCGGCTCTGGCAATTAGATTCCGACGACGAGGAGGAACTCAAAAAGAGGACCGGAGCGGATCAAAGCACGGCAGAACGCGGGACACCGTACATAAGCGGGGCCAAAGCTACTTTTGCTAGTTCGTTTGATCTACAAGCTTTTGTGAAAACTATTATTGATTTCAGACGTAGAACAGGGAAATCTCCTGGGGCTGAGGAGAAGAGGGCCGCGTCTGAGACCAACGCGTCCTCAAGAGCAGCATATATAAGGGAAAACCCGGCGACAGCAAATGTTGAGGGGAATGAACTCAAAAAGCATCGGACAGACCATGACCTTGATGAGGAAGTATGCGAGTTTGAACATGACGATAGCGCTTTTGGCGGCGAACTTGTCAGTGGTTTCGACTGCGATGATCTATTTTGATTGTTGCAGATCCTTCGCTCAATGGATGACAGACACACAGTAATCAACCGCACACTTTTCCGACGTTGTTCTCGACCACCATGGAAAAGAGTATTCTTCTCCTGCGAAGAAGTGGTCTTATCTCCAGAAGATATATGTCATGATCTTGCTGAGCTCCATCCAGTTTCCGGTATCTGTGTCAAAGTTCGTACATAACTCCGATCACAACGTGCTACTGAAGGCTTACTGTAATCAATATGAATATTTCGTCAAGAGTTGCATCCGTGTGTCGGCGTTCTAAATGTGAAGTAGTTGAGTGAAAAGAGATGCTTCTGTAGTTGACTCCCACCTACAACCCTCGATGGTCTAATCCTGCATTTTTTGTCGAAGATAGGACGGAACAAGTTCTATGTCTATTGATTGAATTTCGCAATTTTGCAGCGTTTGCATTGTCTTCGTCTAGATTATTGATTTTTTACTTAGTGGTTAAGTAAAGTCGTAACCTAGTTTACTAAGAAGTCACTGAAGTTTGCTTCACGCATTTTTATTCACTGTCATTCTTTGATCAGCAACCCAGCATATTAAATAGAAAAGAGAATGCTTGACGGCTTTTCGTCGTTTTTTGGCTCGTCATGGTTCATAACCATTATTGCTGTGTGGATATCCGTATCAGCACTAGGCATGTTGAGCCTTACGTCAAGCGCAAAGAATCTTGGCTTCCTGTGGCACATACGAGGTGTAGTGGTACTTATACATCGGATGTGTTTACGATCCCACATCGTCATGATTTGATGAGAACTGCTGCTCTTCGGAGGAATTTTTTGACTATCGCAATTTTTTGTCAGTGCTATGCTATACTCGAATCGTGATAAAAGATTGATAGAAGAGACTAGTACACGAGTCGCATAGCCTCCTGCGCAAATATCTATGTATACAACCATACAGCTTGCGCTTGTGGAGCCGTTTCTGGATTTTCTTTTGACGCAGATTGGTCTGCCACCGATTTGGTTTGACAGTGTACCTGCGGCTGTAGGCCGAATGAAGGCAATAGCGGTCTCGGAAACCGAAGTGCGTGTGACTTATGCGCTTCGATGTCATGTAAAAAGCCCCTACTGAGCTACGTTGCCATGAGGAAACTACTTTCGCTTTCAATCGAAGACCTGAGCACATGTTCACTTGTTTATGTAGGAATGAGATAAGGATAGCACTTTGGAACTATGATAAAAGAAAGATAATGCCGAATCTTTCGACACATTACTTCGTGCAATCTTCGACACATTGGGAAAGATAAAACAGAGATGGGTAGAACAATATTATTATGGCTGTTTTCTCTAATCGCAATTCGAAGCTGGGACATCAGTCGAGGAAGTGGGCCCGCTTCATCGCGAACGATATCTAGTGCAGATGCGGGATATCGGGAGACGAACTGGCACGAAATCGCCCTGGCGTCGCATCAGTACCTTTTGAGATGGTGTCGCTTTTTTAGATACACTTTGCTTCATTTTCCACAAGGTTGCAACAGATGAGGGGCATGCGCCTGGAAGTGTGTCTCGGTTTTCACAGGGTCCGCCCCACAAAAGGCGCACGCGCCAGCGTGGGGGGGCGTCCGCTTGTCTCTTGCGACTATCTCCGCACACGAAGCTGCGGGGAGGCCCTCAGGGCTTGCGCGGGGGTCGCTGTGTTCGGGTGGTGGAGCTAAAGCAAAGCACGCGGCAGATAGGGCGCCAGATGTTCTCCGCCCTCCGTTAATCGTTGGAGCTCGCGGGTGCGACCAGGAGAAAGGGCGACGCAGATGGGGCGCGAGACCTGTGAGGGAAGTCCTTGCGGCACATACATGCGCAAGAAATTCCTGGGGGTGCTGTACGTAGCAAATCGGGCGCGCGGCTTCTGCCTTCGACGTGTGCGCGGCGCATAATGTGGACGACGACCGCCGGGAGGATGTCTTAGAAGACTGCCCCCAGCGTTTCACCGTTTTCCATCCAGCCGGAAGCGGGTAAAAAGATGCAGCCGCCTGAAATTGCTACGGCGTAAGGGAAGGGGAGCGCGCACGGAGGGACGTCCAGCGCCATGTTCCATTGGGGCGGCGCGCTCGCCGGCGTTCGTGTCTTACGTACAGGCCCGCGCTGTAGGTGCGGCAGGGCACTGGGGTCGGGCCCCCGGTTTTCTTTGTGAGTTTTCGACAAGGGTGGGAGCCTTCTCAGCCGGCGGGGGAAGCGCGTGGCGTCGCCCATTCATTGCCGCCGCCCCCCCGCAGTGGTGTGGCCCTCTGTTCCAAAATTTTTTTGTCCTCTCTGGCCTCGTCGTCTTCTTTCTTTGATGCTTGTGGGTCTTTGCAGTTGCAGACCCGCCAGGCCCGCCACGCGTCGAAAGTCGTAACTTGCTAGAACTAGCAAGCTGGCGACTGTTGTGGCTCGTCTGACTTTGGCCCACCTTCTTTGTGTGAGTGTGTGCAAGTGCATCTCGAGCAGCGAGGCAGTGCAAAGCTTTTTTTTGTTGTTGCTTGTGATTAAATAGCGACTCTGTTGAAGACGTCTCTGGCATTGATAGTTGAATGCTTAGGAATTCGTATTCATTCACCTGTGGTAAACTTTTTGCTCTTGCCATGAAAGATGCCCACTTCTTTTACTCGTCTTGAAGTGTCCCATCTCCATCATAATTTTACAGCTATCCTGGAATGGGACGAGGATAGGTTCTTGACTGTAGGCGAATTGCGACCAGGATCGAGAACAGAGTACCGCGTTTGCGCCTTCAACTCGACAGGGACTGGTAACTGGGGGAGAATTGCATCTGCCATGACATTTTATCAGATGAACCACCAGTCAGGCGGCGACGGCCCTCCTTGCAACGTCGCACCAGCAAAACTTTTACGCGCCGTCTTTTGAAATAGTCTTTTCGTTTGTTGCATAGGAAGGTAGTCTGAAGTACTTGAAGGAAGTCCCCAAATACTTACAACCGCTGTGTAGTTGTCATCCACGTTGATTTTCTTGAAGGAGAGGATGTAGGTAATTATGTCATGTTCTAACGAGATTGCGTATCTATTCTGGAAATGCAACGATCTGCTTTTAACACGAATATGCGACGCAGCTAGAGGGTGAAGAGACCCAATTCTAAGTCAAACCGAGGAAGCTCCGGCAGACACACTGGGCGACTCAGCTGATGACATCGCTCTCGCGCAACTAGTTGAGAGGGAGAATAGTGAGGTCAGCTCGCTACCACCGCTCTACATTAAGGACGGATTCATTTCACGGACCGGCTTGTTAGATTATAGAACGAAGCTACAGACTAAAACGCTGTAAACTAGTTAGTCGCAGCTTACTATGTGGTATTAGAGCTGTAGCTTGCATTTCCGCTGTATCTATCAGGGAAAAGGCCGTGATAAGCCAGAATCGCTAATCCCACTTGGGGCCAGACGGCAGAAGCTTTGACGCTCAACGTCCGGGTCGGCTCCGCTGTGAGGGCCAAAGGCGTGACAGTCCGACTAAAGCCCACAGAGCTGTCGATCACTGCGGATGACAACCCAATTTTGCATGGGTACTCTGATGTTTTGTTCGCCACTTTCCTAACCTCTTTCTGCTAGCGTATAATTCGCTCTCGAATTGTTGCAAATTAAGTCGAGCATTATCCGATATAACATCAGACATCACTAGTGCAACTGCTTTAATCTTCTTTGAAAGGATCAAGATAATGATTGCCCCACCAACTGATCACATCGTTTGCTGCAGGCCTCTGTTTTCTTTTGCTGTTCCGGACGAGTTGACATGGACATTGGAGGATGGAAACCTGTCAGTGGAGTTCGCAAAGCGCACAGCGAAAGAGAAGTGGCCTTGCATCATTAAAGACCATCCACGAATCGATCCGCGCAACGTCACTTTCGGCAATAACTCTCTTAGTGTCGGAGCAAGAGAGCAACTGCGCACGTTGGGTTTGGATTGACGACCTAGATGTAGTAGATTGGTCGTCTTATGAAAGGTTTCCGCTTGAAAGATACGATTTTTTTGAATGTATGAAGAATCGCTGGGAAGGGCAGCTTAATGGCACTCGATGGGTTTTTTCTTGCTCTTATGCACGTTTGCATGTGCTTACGTTGGATTCTTGAAAGCTCCTCCTAATTCCGTTTGAACAAAATGCTGAAGCACCTGAGCTTCAGTTCACTCAGGACCGCTGCCATGACTTCTGGTCGTGGAAGGGCATAAGCCTCGGGCCACGAAGCAGAAGAAAATCGTCAAGACGTAAGTGGGTGCTCTGCTCTCAAGGATGAGAGCATTCATCGGTAGTTTACTGCTCTTGCGAAGACAGGATCGGGGATCTGGAAGAGGGTAGCAGTATCACGGTGGTTAGAGCTCTGTCGGGCGTTTTCGTCGAGATCGGTCGTAGATCTCAGAGGAGACCGGGGCAAGACTAGCGTGTTGAGGAAAGGAAGATCCGCGAGAGACTTCATTTGATTTCCATGCAGATACCAATCTGTTATTTGTTGAGAGGCAGCCAGTCGGTACTGAGACTTGCGACACTAATTGCAGCACTGGCATGTCTGGGCCAAGAAAAAGATGAGGAACGAAAGAGTGATACTAAAGGAGGGTTTGTATGCTGATCCTAATGCGTTTGTCAGAGCCTTCAGGGAATAAGACTCAAGACGAGCTGATTACTAATGCTTCGCACTGAAACTCTTCAAACTAGTTGTAAGGTCTACTGAGTCGTCACAATTTTAGTTTCACCATGGCATGATAAATTTTGTTGTCGGCTCTTTAGCGGCTGACCACACAGGATTACTTTGTCATATTCATACTTTGCATGATTCAATATTTTTTTTTGTCATAACTACTTGTTGGCGTCTTTCTCTTCGACTAGCTACGATATGTTTCATGTGATCATGTTTGCATTTCCCACTTCTGAGCCGCGAAAGCTTTGCCGCTACAGACAGCGCTCTTGTGTGCAGCTTCGCCTTGCTTCTGTGTAGTGGCACACCGGGAAACGACGGCCTTTGGTTTGCTCTACCGCGACGTCTCACGGTATGTCTCTTTCGGATCACAACTAGCTAGCTTTACTTTGTGAGCCGCCCGCCAACTTCATTTTCGGACGACAGACAACATTGTGCTACGTAGAGGACCTCGATAATGTATACGATACGAGAAACAAACGGGTCGCCACTCTACCACAAAGACTGAGAGGACAAGCCTGACGGCAACATGCCGTCTCCACTGTACAACAATCCGCCAGAGCCTGGCAGCATTCAGAATAGTGGCGACGTTTTGCGCCGGATCATCACTTTGGGACGCAAGGACTACAACGAAGATGAGAAGCTCACCCAGGCCATATCCAGTGCGTCGGCAATACCGAGTGAAGGTACTTCTACAGGTTATGCTGTACAGCTTTTGGAGCTCTTTTTTCAAGCGGAGCTTCTTTCATTCTAGTCACTCTTAGAGGTTCCATGCCTCACACTTTTCTAGGCTCAACATTTAGAAAATCCTCAAGAAAATGTAAGGTTCGGCGGCGGGGGATAGCCCTCCAAAAAGGCGCTCTTCAGCAAATTATGGACGATGCAGTTTTTTTACATCCTCTTGACCATCCGGACTTTCAACCGACTTCCTTGAGGGTGGCAGGTCGCTAAAAGCGTTAGTTGATGTAGCATTACCCTTGAAGATTCTGAATATTGAAGGATGTAAAAAACGACGACATCAGAATTCTTTCATATGAAGGATCCAAAGCTAGAGGCGGATGCAGATCGGATGATGGAAAGGCTACTGTTGGAGAGAAAATCCCTGGAAGTGGCTAAGGATCGGATGGTGGAGAGGCTGGTTCTAGAATCCACCATGGAGGAGGAATTCATACGTTGCATTCTTTTCTTCGTGGGGTTTATGTCGTTCCTGATGATGATCTACACTGCCTATCCTGCAGACGCGCTCTTCCCGGTTCATCAGACAATTTCGAATGGATATTCCTTAGAGGATATGGATGTGTCAAATCTTGACGATTTGAAGGAATTTCTTGGGTCGATGGCGCAGCAGAGCCGCTACTTCTCGCCTGGTAGTTCGGATTACGTCACAGACCCTCTCGGCCGAGCTTATTTGCCAGAAGTAGTGCGAACGCCGCCTGTGTATCTAGTGCGCGCCGATAATCAGCCGAGGGTGACAAATGAGTTTACCATTACAGTCTGGATCAAGACCAGCGTACGCTACGAGACCGTGATAACGAAGAATGAGCAGAGCGACGATGCTGGCGGATTGAAGACATGTTATGACTTTTCCCTAGAAAAAGTCGTCTATGGGCAGCACGAAACGAAATTGCCGCAGACCGTGATCAACCCGAGCGCAGCGAGCATTTACGAGACGGTGGACCAACAGACAGCCTGGCGGCAATCAACGCTCAAAACACAGATGGAGGACGGGAGCTGGCACCACTTAGCAATAATTGTGAACGCGACACACCTCACGTATGCACACGATGCGGTATTCCAGAAACCGATTGTGTTGCCTAGGCCGATTACGGATTGCGTTGGCGGCTCTGTCCAGATTGGGAGTGCGAAAACAGCAGGAGAGTTGGTCTCTTTTCGGTGGTTTCCTCGCGTCTTATCATCGTCTGAACTTGGGGATGCCAAGTCTGCAGGGAAGCCATTGGATGACCTACTCGCGAGCGCAGGAGCACAGGCGATGACCCCAAGCGCTGTGGAGATGGTGATGAACCAGGTTTCGAATCTCGAAGCGCTGAACAGACGCGAGCGTGCAAAGCTTTTGCGGGAGCAACAGAGTGCGACCAGGCAGCTGTCTGGGTTGCTCATAACGACACATCCTACATCGCGCACAATGACTACCACCACGGCTGCAGCGACTAGTACTCCACGCCGACGACAGTTGAGCGCAAAAAAGAGTAAAAGCTACAACTTCCAGAAAACACGCGGCGGCAAGCATGGAGAGCGCGAGCTCGCGGAATTCAGAATACATCCAGAAACAATTCCAGGAAAACATTTGGAGAGAAAGTTTCCCCGACCTTATCATCGCGCAACGACGGCATTAGCAACTGCTGCTGCTACCTTTGCCAGCAATAGAAATTTTCCCGCAGGTAGTACGGGCTCAGTATGGTCTGCACCGCCTCATGGAATATCAGATAGACCGCCTGTTGCTCTTTCGAAGCCTCGCGAAAATGATGGCGCTAGTGCTGCTTCAGCAGCAACAAGGAGAAGGAGCAGCAATGATGCGATATTACAAAGACTGCTGCAAAAACGGAGGAAGAGCTGGAATCCGATACAATCATTCAGTGAGACCACTATTTCTCTGAATAGTGATGCCGAGGATGAGAAGCAGAAAGATGGCGATGAAGGAAGTGCTGAATCTCTGAGAAGGTCTGACAATTCTTGGGCACCACCTCTCGTTGGTCTTAGCAGTACTGAGGCTAGGAGCACCACTAGAGAGCTGCAGCCTGGTGCACCTGGGATTGGTCCTGGGGCGGGTGCGGCCGCGGGTGCAGGTGGTGGTCATGCGAAAGTCGAGGAAGACATCGTGCTCGCTGGAAACGTAGAAATGGCTTTTGCTAATGACCTTGCAGACTCGGACCTGGATGCCACTTCTCCGTTTGCGCTGGCAGTGTGCACGGCGGCCGTTGAAGCGTTGGTCCAGGGACAGGCGGACACTGCGGCTGCAGCTGCACAGCTTGTCTGCTCCGTCACGTCAGTGTACTACTTTTTTCCGTAAGCAATTTCATATTCAGATCTTCGCAGTGGAGCCTTTATAGTATTCAGAAGTGTTGGATTGAAGTATAATCGAGTTTCTGACTTCGTATGTACCAGGGTTCTTGTGTTGACGCATATTGTCGAAGTCTTATACTGACGCCCTTCTTAATCGACTTTACATCAAATTACACAGTGAAGCAGTCCCTGATATGCGACGTTTGGGGTCGCAGAAGAACCGTCATTATTCGAAAGGAGCAGAGGGTTCTACCACGAGTTCCTGCGACGCTGAGGCGCGGAGAGAAGTAACCAACGAGTGGGAAGCGCAGTATCGCAAGCTGCAAGAGTATCTTTCAGAGACGGTCGAACCGATGATTGCAGAAGCACGAGAATCGGGAAGACTACCTCCAGAGAGCACTGCGTTAGTCGAGTATGAAACTGCGACAACTACTGCTCAAAGTTCAAGGTCGGATAACACAGCAGAGCGACAAGAGCGACGAGGCGAGGAGCACAGGAATAAAGATTACAAAAAGGAGGCATCCCCCGAGCGGACGTTGGCGGGAGATTCAACTTCAACATATTCAATATCAGCAGATGCAGCGGCAGCGCCTACACGACGACTCGCGAAAACCGTCACAGTCGATTATAGAATCAATGTTCCTGGTACACTAGTGAGCAGTGTGATGCCCAACACGGATCCCATGGTTTTTGACACTGCCTTTTCCTCGAGTCTAGCAACTGCAACCGGGAAGACTCCGACGTCGATTTTCTCCTCCAATTTTCCGGAGCAAAAGGATGCACCAAAGGAAATGCTCGATGTCGCAGCCTTTTTCTCCTCGCTCGACTTCTCGAAAGAAAGCACGTGCGGAAATCTGGATGGTTCTAATACTGTCAAGAAAGTCAACTGTAGTTCACTAACTGTTTTACCGCAGAAATAGGGGTTAGTAGCGTAAGTTTCTCGTATCTATTTGACCCAATTTTTTCAAATCAATGCATGCAGACTATCACTCAGCACAGCAACATCAGAGCTAGGGAGTTTCAGCATTGAAGGCATGCCATATTTACAATGGATTTGAACTAATAACATTCGTCAATTCAGCTAATTGGTGTTTGCTTCGTGTGGAGAGCTCGATGGGAGCGTTTATTATGGCGGACATCCAGACGGCCTCCACTACTCTGGCTGCAGCAGTCGCAGCTGGAACAGACCCGAGTTATTATCCTTTTTTACGGCTTACGCACTAACGATGCTTACAGGCTCACTTGAACACTTTTCTTAGTGCACGTGGATCAGTGTGATTTTCGTTTATGAATTGTCCTGCTAGTGTCTTCGAGCACTTGAAAACTAGTTTTTCCCAAAGTAGAAAGACCCAAAGTATAGTCCAAGAAAACCGGCTTACTGCAGATAATGCTGATGTGCTGAAAAAAGAAAATCGAAAAATCTTCTAATGTGATGTGATGACTTTATGACGAAGTGGTATGACGACGACCCTCCGAATGAAAACTGGCAGCTTAAACGCACGGTGGATTCGCCTCAGAAATGCATGGATATTTTGCTCAAGTATGTGAGTCCCCTCATGCAGTGCTACATCTCACGAGGTTAAGAATACTGTGAACCAATTTTTTCAGTCATCTTCTAGCCTCCAGTTTCTTCTTGTAAACTCCTACAAGAGGACGCTCCACCAGATGATGGGCCCTTGGTACCCCTTTCTAATGAGGAGTGACCATGGTCGTAGCAGACCCCGACGACCTGACGGCATGGATGGATTTTAGAGCGGACGTAGCAAACGACGAGTCAGCAAATCCGAAAGGTCCTGATACGAAAAATTGCAATCGAGATACCTATGTGGTACTTTTTATTTTAATTCAGTGTTATTCACTAGGGCTCTGATGTAATATGACCCCTTAGGTAGTCAAGCTAGGACTGCAATAAGGAGCAATCGCATGACATGGGTCAAAGTGCTACCCTAACGACTAAAGGAACCAGCCCTCATCTCATTGCTCAGGAAAGCGGTGTCTAGAACACTCAGGCAACTTTAATTTTTCTATTGATTTCATGGTTAGTACAGTTGTACATCAATTTACTTTTCTACAACAGACTGCGACGAGCGGTCCTGTGGGCAAAGCTTTGGCTCTCCCTCCGACGCTGACGGAGGACGATTTGTACTACAGCATCGACCGCTGGTTTATCGGCTCTTTTTATGGCTTCTCCCAATCGTCCATCTCGACACATACAGATCCTGCAGCCGCATGCACCCAAATACAAGGGAGACGCTGCGGCTTATTCTTGAGGGATCTTCACAGGGATGAATTGGGGAGAGGCTAATCCTTCCGACGTGGTGAAAGCAGTGCCTGTCGGCAGAACAGCGCGGACGCGGTTGCGGTGAACGGGACCACGAAAACGATGATGACCCACTGTAAGCGCTTCTGTGCTCAGTGTGGAGTAGAGTATTCGCCGGCTGTCACTTATGAAATAGAGAGTATCGTGGTAGAGATCACCTCCTTTTTTCTTGCTAGTTCTCTCAGGTAAACTCCACTGCGCATTTAGTTGTGCTACTTTTACTACAGTCGTTGGTCGTGCATTGTTTTTGAGAAGTTGTTGGTTCAGTTAGAGCATTTAGGGAGAAACACAAGATGAGGAATCTACTCCTTGCTATTCAATAATGGAAGTGATGAGTGACGTTGCGTTTTCTTTCTCTCCCTTTGGGCATTTCTTCTCTCCAATGAGAGCAGGTTTTGGATGCGGTCCAGGAGTGTGCCGACGAGGCAGGGTACGTGGACTGGCAAGGGAATGGGTGCTCCTGGTATTACACCAACGATCCGAAGTGTTCTATCTATGCCGACGCCAGTACGCTTGGCAACTGCAGCATGACATGCAACACTTGCGGAAAGTCGGGTTTGATGTTATGTTTGTGGAGCTAAACTTCTTGGGTTTTACAGCATGGTCTTAGTTCACCTTATATATGCGTGAAAAAGAACCTTATACGCTTAGTTACGTGAAAAGAAGCCGTCGCACAACTAGGGCTACATAAACTAGAATGATTCTCCCTCCAGTCTAATTTCTGTCTCGAAGTTTGATATTACGCAAGACAATGCGATTGAACCTAACGAGCTGAATGCTTTACTGGTATCCGCCAGGCAAGACTCTATGCGACTGAGCATTCACACGGCGCCGACTACTCTAGGATGGCTGTGCTGCTTCGAGAAGTTGCCGGCGGCTTTTGTGGCGCAATCGCAGGCGTGCCAAGGCCTGGCGGCTGGGCTCTTCGACGATCTGGTGGCGTATAAGCTGCTGCTTTCTCTAGAACTCAATAGCAATAATGCGCCATGGAATGACCAGACCCTTGGAAAACAGGCATGGGTCAACCTGGGTTTTTCTTAAGTCTGATCATCTTTCACAAGAAAAAGCTGTTCCGTTGCCTACAGATTGGAATTTCTCTCACAGCACCGAAAACTCCCTTTGATCATGTTTACTTACAATAACGTTTATTCCACATATAATTTGACTGCTGGATCTGGAGGTATCTCTAGGTTTTACAGGAGGACGCTTATTTACTCAGGTGTAACTGGAAAGCTAGTTTTATTAAGTCTCTTTTAATTTTGGGAGTTTGACAAGCGCAATGTGCCATCATGGTGGTTCGATGCGTCCTTCGCGGATTTCAAAATACCGATGTACGCACAGATCTTCTGGAAGCAGGAATGTTTAGATGCCTCCAGGATTTCGCAGAAATTCCCGATGATTAAGGCTGCCATGGACTTGGAATTCAACAACTTACACCCTCTTTGCGTCTTTAATGCAACCTTGCTCTTCTTTCTTCAAAAGTAGCATGTTCTCGTTTACTTAGTAGAATTATATGGACAGAAAATGTATTACTCAGCGGCCCTTAATTTTCAAATACTAAGAGAGAGACAAACAAACTGTGCTTTGCTAGCGAATGTTCTAAGCATACTTTGCTGACGAATCCAACAAGCCCTTTGACCCAGCCAATCCAGCAGTGCTTGCAAGTGTTCGAGTCCTCCATGACGCCGCGATCTGCGCTGGTGCGATCGCGCGCTAGCGAGAGTGAAGTCGTGCTGTCGTTTCCAGAGTCTCGAGCAACTTCAGGCATGAAGAACACGAATTTGGAGATGGAATGGATCAATTTCGCGACGTGTACCGATCACACTACCTGCGCCGACGTCTTTCCTTACGCGTGCCAGATGGTGCCAGATACACAAAGATTATGTCTCTCATGTTTGCCTAAGTCTATTCATGATTCTGTCAGTTATGGAAGTATGAAGAAGAGACTTTGTAGTTCAACGAGATGTGATTGCCGGTACACGACAGCAGTCACTTTCTAATTTTTCCATTCAGTTTGAAGCGTCCGTCCTTCGGCAACGGTGACGACCGATACGCGGTTGGGAGTACCTGTAGCCCTTACAGCTCGAAAGTGCGGCAGCCAATGTATTGCAGCAAGCGCTGCCTGACCGGTGGTTGTGGTGCGGGGGCTACGGTATTTTGGGGCACCGATGCCCCGTCGGGCTCCGGATATTGTCAGCCATGTAATGGTTGCTTGAGATCAACAACGTTCGATAGCGCGGTGTGTCCAGCACACTGCCGCACGGGAATCCCTTCCACGGTAGCCCTGGCAGCTGGGGACTACACAGTGGAGTCATTAAGGCTTCCCCTAATTCCTCTTGGGACACACCTTTCTTTCCTTTTTCAAGGGAAAAACACGGCAGAGGTGCCTTTTAAGATGAAGATGGGTAAGGTCTAAAATCTAGCCCGAATGCGATTGGTGGCTTCACCATCGATAGTTGGGTAAAGACCTTCGCGTACCAGTTTATCCTCAAAATTAAGCTCCTCGATGTTGCTCAACAGATTTCTACTTTTCCATTCAAGAGCACTTCCTCTAGGCTCAGTAATTTTGATTGCAGGACCGTGCATGCATGTTTGTTTAGAGAGCGCTAAGACGAAGACCTTGGCCGTAACGGGCGCTCATCCCAATCACAAATGGAATGGATACTACACGAAGTCGGTTCAGGTCGTGAATGTGGACAAATACTTCCCTGCGCACTGTCGTTCATACGATGGCGTTTACACAAGCACCAACGGCCCCTTTGATGCGCATAACATCCAGCTATTCCAGACCCTGAAACACGACAGCCAAGAACATCAGATAGTGCTGAGCGTCGAACACAGTATCACAAACGACCACAACCCGGTGTGGTCTTTGCTTGCTGGCGGAACCAACGCGAATGACCCAGCTTGTTCCGGCCGCTTTCCGCGCCTACCCAATGGCGCACCCGTTGCCTTTGTGTATCGCCTCTCTGCGACTGACGGGATCTACACGAATGGACTGTCAAAAACGCGACCTCCCAACGCACAGACAAATCTGTTCGTTCCCCCTCTGAAGACATCAGACAACTCCCAGAATTGGCTTGCGGGGTATACACTGAACGATATCCAAGTGATGCCCTACAAGGGAGAACTCTCGTGCTTCCGGCTCGATGTGAACCAATTCTGCTTCCGCACAAAATGGTGGGAACAAGCGTGGAAGTGCCTCACAAATCCCTTTGCCGGTGAACTTCTTTCCAATGACGATTGGCATCACTATGTTATCGTAAAACGAGGCGCAATGAGCTATCAGAAGGCGCTCTCCGACGGGTCACTGCACAACGTCGAGAGGACGGACACCCTCTCTATGTTTGTAGACGGCAAGGTGGCAGCAGTACGCACAGGTTTGGAAGCGGGTACCAATCCGGTACCACAATGGGGCGGCATCGATTGTGGTGGTGTCATGCACAGCACTAGTCTCATCACTATGATTGAATGACTGCGTTTTCGTTTATCTTTATCTGATAAGACGCGTGAATGAACTCGCAGGTAAACTACTTTGACGGGGATATAAAGAAAGTGTACTAGGTACTTGTAGCAGCAACACACGAACGTTTTTCTTGGATCGATTCTAGCCTTCCCCATCTAAGGAATGCTCGGAGCGCCAGGATCACTCGAACAGTTTGGTTTTCAACAATATCGGACCTAACGAGCCAGCAGTCGCAGTTGCCGCCACGGGCAACGCAACTGCCGGAACCGCTGCGGATGTCACCGTGCGGACTTTTCGGAATGATTTGACCAACTTGTTTCCCATGACAGGCACGCTCCCACTGGGTGGAAACAAGACTATCACCGCTTTCACGTTCTCAAATTAAGGCATGCTGCTGCGTGAATTCATTGTTTGTCTTACAGAGTATTGCGCTTTCTCGGTCGCTAGCGCTAGTGTCTAGCGCTTCTTGGTATCTTTCTCCTGAGACCACCGTGCTTTGTTTAGCTGTAATGAAACGAATCTGAGCCAACCGAGAGTTCATGAAGATCTAATCCAACGTGGAGATCCCAAAGGCGGGGAATGTTTGGGGTGCGAGACTCGTGCTTTGTGCCGCAGATCTTCTTGCGAATCTCAGGTTCGGTCAAATCGGGTGTACAGGAAGTACGGACTTGGTGTCGCCAAAAGCAACGGTAGAGATGGACATCTTCGCAGTTGCGGCGTCTGTCACCATCAACGACCTATCACTAGCGAGTGACAGCTGCTACCTGCACAACCTGCTGCGTGGTTCCAAGAAAGTGACGATGAGTGTCACCGGAAGCTCGTGGCGGCAAAGTGCGGTTTTTCATCAGGCCTCAGGGAGCACATCGCCCTTTCCAAGTCGACGCGACGCTTCAGCAGACTGTCAACAGTAGTTCTTCTATATAATGTAGATCTTCTACGAACAACAGCTAAATGATGATTATTTTTCGGAAGGCATGGAAACAAACATACGGATCTGATCTGAATTTAGTTGTAGATCATGGTGGTTGTTAGCTAGTAGTTGGTTTAGTTCGGTCAGCCTCAGCCTTTCTTACCATACTGCAGGTTTTCGGTTGATATAAAGTCGGTGGTAGAAGAGATCACATCAGATGCCAGCTGGAGTTGGGGGTCTTCGTTGACAATCTTGATTGCTGAAAAGGGGATGTATGAGAATTTCTCATGTACAGCAGCAGCCATGGCTGAAGAAGTTGTCACCGGTGCGCAGTTGGTTACCGCGTTGCAGAAAGCCTCAACTTCGCCGTGTGATACCATCGAAGACATCAAAAATTAAGGGTAGAATGAACCAAATGGACGTGTGAAGTAAATGGATTTATTAAATTTCGATTTCGTTCGCAAAGACGGCAGCTGCAATTGCTAAAAATCCGAAGGCTATGTAAAGCAGCTTCACATCCCCTGCGACTCTTCTTGTCCTTTCTAGCTAGAGTAAAACATCTAAGATTGTAAGCTAAATGCGCACTTTCCGCTTTGGGTTCATCCCTTCGAGGATGCTAGTAATCCGGACGGACAGCTGGCAATGCTCCAGGTAGACTGGTGCTTAAACGCACAGTGCACGAGTCCACACTTCTATGGTGCGGGAGCTGACGTCAAATATGGGGGTTCGTCAGAAACGGAGACAACTACCGTCCCGAGTGGGCCTTCTGGTGGCGGGGGAAGTTCTCCGGGCGGAGGAGGGAGTCCTCCCGCTCCCGGCGGCAACCCGCGCACACTTTTTGCTGAACGTGGCTCCAGTGCTGTTGCTAGTTCATCTGCAGCAGAGGAGGAACAGGATGGTACTGTTTCCGTCTTTGCGAGGCCAGAGGACGCGCATGCGGTTGCTCAAACGCGCCCTGCTGACGAGTGGCCACCGCGTTCGCGAGTTTACTTCGTAGCAGATGGTTTTGAGGATGACGAGGGGTCGGAGGAAGAAAGCCGTTCATCGAAAGGTGGCCAGTCAGCGTCCCAACGACAAACGACGGACACTAGTGGAGCATCAAGAATTGTGACGAGCTCTGGGGATGCTCTACTGGAGAATTCAGATCAAGACCCAGAAGCAGAACTTCTAGAGCGTCGTGCGCGGCAGATGAGTGCGCTTTCGCGCCAGAGGATACCGCGTCTCAAATCGCATGACCCCCTGTCGTTTTCCCCAGGACAAGACGAAGCAGCGCTTTCTCCAATGGCGCCACCCGCCAGACCCGTCAAACCCGCCAAGGAAGCGCGTGGTCTTCAAGCCACCAGCGCGTCCAGTGCGGCTACAACGGCGAGTAAGTTGTCCTCGGGAACCCTGCAGCTTGCCGGGCTACCCAAGGACGGCAAAATGTATGCGCTAAAATTTGTGGCGCGTGCAATGAAAAAGTCGGAAGTGCAGTCCAACTTCTACCTGGATCGCGACGTGGTTAACGCCCTCGCGGGTCCGGTGGATGTCATCTACCCTACGGCTGCCTTCGAGGATGCTAAACTAGAGGTCGACCAATTTCCTCAAGAAGTGGTGTCTGTAGTACCTCCAGTTTTGTTGCAGTCGCGCACGGAGTTCAAGCCATGCACTCAGCAGGTGCCTGGACTCGCCGCAAACTTGCTTTTATGAGACAGCTTTTGTAGGTTAAGTATAATGCTATTGAAAGAAAGGCTACCTAAAAGTCGCAATCTGGTGCAGAGTCTAAAGATTATATATGAGGCCTTTTCGTTACTATTTGCAACATCACTCCTTAGCCTTACACGCCTCAGAAGTCTTCTTTCATATTGCGGATACTTCGAGTCGCAGATCATGCAGAAGTGTACACGGACGTACAACTGCGAGTTTCCGAGTGCTGCGCCATCGCGGTCAGGCTTCGCTTGCATTGATCGGGAGGATGAAAATGTGAATACGGGGACGTGGTTTAGTCGGGAACCTTTGGAACCGAAAGGCATGCTCATCCAAGGCAGTGTCTTCCCGGAATTTTTGGACACGCTTACAATCCCAACTGTGTACAAGGACGGAGAGATTTTGTCTTCTGACTCTTACATCGACATGCGCACCAAAGAAGTCTCAGTGGTGAACGTTTTTATGAACACCAAGCTCCGAAGCGGGACGATTTTGGAAGTGAATTTCATGTACGGAGGCCCAGGGAGCATCGAGGGTCGCTACAGAATGATCTCTTTCACGCAGATGGACGCAGAAACCCAGAAAGCCTGGAGCGGGTGGGTAAACCTCGTCGTGGTACTCTGTATCATCGATCTCGGCTTGTTGCTGCTTTTATGATGCTCATAGTTATAATCATTGATCTCTCTCTACTGAGTGCGAGTAAACCTGATCATGCTTCTGCTTCTTTGTTGAAGAAGCGCTTGTTGTTGACGTTCACCATGCATTGGCGAATCATCTAATGTTTGGTTCGTTTTTCTCGTGGAGGGAGCGTCGGAAGTGGTATGATAACATTGAGATGGATGGAGCGATTCCTGTGAATACTCCTGGACGAAAGATGGTATGGAACCGTATCGAGTATGGGCTACGGAAAAACCTGCCATTGTGGTCTGGCTGGGACGTTTTTGACGTTGCTCTGCGAATATTGATGCTAATTTTCACGCAGAATCATTTCAATTATGGAAAAGTGACTGTATGGTTGCTCTTGCTGGTGATGACAAGGTGGGTTGAGCGAAGCAGAGGTGATTGCTAGTGATGATAGATAAGATTCTTTCTTGAGCGAAGACGAGGATAACACACTGACTCAGCTCAATCATTTCGTGTCTAATTCCGCCACTACAACTCACCGGATTTGGATACACCTGGAATCCGTCGTGGTCGCTTCGAGACAGAGATCAACAATATTTTGACGGTGCCTTGGGCGTCAGCAACGCTGCGGTACGAGGAGAAGGTGATGATATTTTTTCAAGCGATGCGAAAGTTATGACGAGGCGGGTTGTAGGTCTTTTATATCTTGCGGTTGAAGATGAACTCCGTATAGATTGAGACAGTTGCTAAAGCATCGAAATACAGGTTAGAAAAGTACTAGCAAGATGAAAGCACTCGGGATGAGCTGCTTGTATGAGAATCCACCTTGGACGAGAGCGTGACGCAGAAGGATGAGAGCGCTGTGTCTAAGAAAGCTTGCCACGCTTCTTGACGAGGACTCACAACTGCGGCAGGTGGGTTACGTACTTGTCTTGCTCATGTTCTTCCGGATCGTGGCATATTTGCGTGTGCATCCTCGAATTGCTGTTTTGTTAAGGATAGTTTTTCAATAATATTCAAATTTGTTACTGTGTGAAGCAAGGTTTTTTTTCATCCAAGAAATGACATGACTCTGTACTGAAAGCAATAGTATAAAGAAGAGTTCAGCACATCATGGGGAGTCCGCTAACAAGGCATCGTCACTGCATAGCCTCACCATATTTTATTTGCCTGGTAGTACAGGATTACCACTAGAGACGCGTTGATGATGATACGCAAAAACCATTGCTCTTCTAATGTTGTACAAAACAATTGAGGTAGCTTTGGACGACCTTTTCCATTTCTTCATCGTTTTGGGGCTGCTCTACGGTGTCCTCGCCTTCATCGGCGTCTGGATGTTCGGGGCGATAAATGGTACTTTTCTAGAAGGCCTCTGCCATACACCATAGTTTTCTTAGGTGACTACGTACAGTTCGTTGCACCAGGGGCTCTAAGGTAACCGTATGGGATATTGCCAATCCTTTACTACTTCTTAGGCTTTTTCAGTAATTCATCTCGGAGACCAACATAGTAGTTTCTTGCGTAGTAGTTTCTTGCGCTCGAATGATCATCACCAGGTGTACTTTCAGTCTAATATTGACACAAAAATGTGAGATCAAATTTTATCAGGAAAGTTTGCGTCGTTTTCGGATTCTGTGATCACGCAGTTCGAGATGCTGATGGGCGAGTATCCTTGGCCCGAAAGTCAGACCGATCAGGATTTTGGACTCTTTTTCAGCTACCTGAACATCTACTCGCTTGTCGTTTTCTTCATCTTGTTGAACTTTCTCTTGGCGATCATCGTGGATAGCTATGCATCCGTGAAGGAAGCAGTAAATACATGCGTGATTGAGTGCAACATCTTCACGGATCTTGTAGCGCTTACAGCATATCCGGTGATGCAAATGATCTACAAGTGGCCGGAGCGAGGGTACCTGATTCGGAAACTATTGTTATGGCTACAGTACAGCAACTCATTGAGGATCAGTTTCTTGTTTGGCAGCTTAAAAGTGAGGAACTAAGAGTTCCTTCATCACTTGAGTATGCACTCTTCAATAGTCATAGTCTACAGGAGTAGAACAGCGGCCACACGCATCTGAGGATGTTCGAAAAAACCACATCGATTCGCTAGAAGTTAGCATGACTCTGTCTAAGCGAGGCGTTGGATGTGAATTTTGATTTCGTGAATGACGAGGAGGAGGAAGGGGACTCGGTTGTGATCACCTCCCACGCTCTAGTAAAGGGGAAGGTTTTCGAGGATGAGGACGCCGCACAGAGATTCCTGAATTATTACCTTTTTTTTGCTCCGGCACTGGATGCGAATGCGGATGAGGAAGAAGGTAGTTTGGAACATCAGCGTAAGTTGAGGGCCTTGCGCAATCTTGACATTCTTCGGGAACGCCTGCTCGAGGCAGCATTAGAGAGTGGGTTGGTGCATGTAGAACGGCCACGACACGTCAAAGATCCGCTAGTGACGCAAATGGAAACCCTCCGTGATCACATCACCAACAGCATTGACGGCTTCACGAAAGAAGCCGTGTTGCTTGAAGCAAAACTCAAGAAACTCGAGGATGCGCGTCCCGCCGGTCACGATGGCGGGAAGAACGTCGCGGGAAGCAATAATTAAGGATCAATATTATCATGCTGATCTTCACACATATTGATAATGATGTGCAGTTCATTCTTATAAAAAACTAGTATGATTCCTCCGATATTAAGGCAGTATCGGAATCTGTATGCAAGAACTTGGGTCGCTTGCTTCCTCTGATTTTTGTGAGACTTACTTCATCTAAAATTGAGTCGGGATAGGGGATAAGTCGGCCAGTGCGATCTACGCTCTGACCGGCACAGAAGCTCCTGTCAGAGAGGATGAGACCAAAGTGACGGGAGTAGCGCAGTTGCATATTAGTGAGGAGGAGCATAAGGAGGCGGTGAACATGATCTTCGGACACTTCGTGCAGAAGAAGGCCTCCGCTTCCGCGGAAAAAATGGGGGAGAAATAGCCGTACTAGCGCAGCGCTGGAGGACTCGCCTACTGGCTAATAGACGAATGGTAGCTAGAATAAGAGAGTTCGTATATGGGTCTGCGGTGTTGTTTCTCTACATGTCTGTGCTGTGTCAGCGATGATTTTTTAGTTGGAGTACAACCCGCTCGCTTGCGACACACAGTATGTGACTTCTGCTGCTCCTCTACCTCAAGAAAGTCCTTGGACCGGTGCACAGAACTCCGGTACAAATGGCTCCTTTAGTACTGTTTTTTACAGCGCTGACTGGATGTATGCAAATTATGTCTTGTTTGAAGAATATCAAGAAAGATTCACAGGAAATTAACCATGGTCACAGTTACTCATATTTTTACAGATATTCTCTCTGTTTAATGATAGGATCAATTTTTAAGAAAGATTTACCTTTCTTTGTCGTGTACCCCTGGTAATATGCTGTAAACGTTACTGTTCGTAGTTCCCTTGGTATCGCCGTAAACGTCGTTGCTCGTAGTTCCATTGTAGTTGTGCGACTTGTGCTTGTAGATTGAATTTAGACTACCTACAGGATAGAATGAATACTTCCATGTATAGCAAGCTATAGAAAGAAGGATGAATTTGATGCCGATGTCTATCAGAGATGAGATTTGCCTTGCTGGCTCTTCTGAAATTGTCGAATTTTTTTTGTGTTAATAACAAGTACGAAAGTGACAACAAGATCAAGAAAGATTAGGACTCAATATCATCGTTCGAATCGAATACCTCCAGACGTCATGATCACAGATGTTCTCTCGCCCGTGTCGATTAAGTCCGTCGCCCGATTTTCGGAAGTGGTAATATCTTTTGATTTGTGTCGAAGTAGGATCGACTTTTCGGAGTTTCGAACTAATGTGCGGCCGGGGTGGTAGCTCAATCGGGCTTCTATATGTTTACAATCATGTTCTGAATGCATCAGATAATTTTTTCTAGTAAAAGTGAAAAGAGTGGTAATGAAGATACCCGGCACGGAGATCTCTTGCATGTCCTTGTGAGTCTTCTGCTTAAGTTCCTTGGCACTGACAACACTTTCCAAAAACGTAGCCCACTTGTTGGAGTCTGCAGATCTTTTGCGAGCAAGAATGAATGAACAAGTAAGACATAAACTACAAGCGTGATCATGATGCGACCAGCAGCAGTTGCTTCGTTCGTTCCGTTGACCAGAGCTGTTTCGTCTTCAACATCTGCCTCAAGTACCACCGGAGCCACCGCAATGGCAGGGGCACCAGGTTTTCAACCGCTCAAGGAGGAAACGAAGAAGTTCTATTTCCGCATACTCTACTCACCACAACCGTACCACCGGAAGCGCAAATGCTTTCAGGAGGGTCTTTTGGTAGCTATGTGCACTTGGAATGACGGCGAAAAGGGGATCATTCCGGAGGGCGACTTGGCCATCAAGAAAACGGAGTTGAGAAACGACCGTGGAGATTTGGTTCGCCATTTTCGAGGATTCCAGGACAGGCGTCATATCGTAGAGCTCCGCGAAGGTTCCGAGTTGGGTTATCATTCCGGAATGTTTTTGGAGATCGGAGAAGAGATAGCAGAGGAAGCATATTTGAGCGGACAAATGTTTCTTTCCTCGGCGGCAGGAAATGGCAATAGGATCGGGGGTAGTACTTCTTCTATAAGTGGTGCTGCACGAGGAGTATCTGCTTCCTCGTCATTGAGAAAACCTCCACTGTTGAACCTGAAGCGTGATGCATCTTCAGCGGGAGTTGTGTCTTCGCCTGTTTCAGATCCCGTTGTGGCGGTAGTTGCAACGGAGCAGGGGCAGTCCATTTCAGATCAGGCGCCGCGTCGTGTCCTTGTGCCGCTGAAGAAACGCAGACTTTTAGGGGCTGCCGCGGCGATGAAGAATGCTACAACTACAGTGTCGTCAAACAGCCATGCCAGCGAAACATCTTCGGTGCCGTCAGGTTCATCGTCGACTGCGCCAGTTCGCTCAGCCTCTTCCGATACAGGAGGGTCGGTAGCAGTTCCGGAAGAGGAAAGAACGAACAGCCATACGTCGAATATTACAGGCTCCTCAGCGGAAGTTCTGCAAGGGACTACTAGTACAGAAATTCGATTCAGCCCAGATATCTCCGTGGAACGCGCTTTAGCTTCGAAACTTCGACCGCATCAAGTCGAAGCACTCCATTTTCTCTACGACGCGTTGTTGGTGAAAAACTTTTCGGGCGCTTTACTGGCCGATGACATGGGTTTGGGGAAGTCGTTGTCAACTTTAGCGTTCCTCTACACATTGCTCGAGCACAAGATATTCAAGAAGTGTTGTATCGTGTGTCCAGCAAGCCTTTGCGGGAATTGGAAGAATGAAATCAAAAAATGGCTCGGCGAAAACAAGTTGCGACCAACGTGCATCATCGGAAATTCGCACGCAAAAACCCTGAAGTCGCAAACGGTGGCTGAAAAAATGAAGTTCGTGATGCGTGCATTTGCGCACGGAAGAACAGCGAGCGATAAATTGTTGATCCTCTCCTACGAGCAACTGCGGAATCACGCAGCGGAATTGTCTGCGTGTTTAGACTTTCTCATATTAGATGAGGGGCATCGTTTGGGTCACGGGAGCAGCCAGACCACGAAAACTCTGGGAGAGCAGTTTCGAAACGCAAAGAAACTCCTGTTGTCAGGCACGCCACTGCAGAACAATTTGGATGAGTTTTTCACGCTTTGCGAGTTTTTGAATCCTGGCTCACTCGGCGACTTTGACACCGTTTTTCGCAGGCCGATTTTGAAGGGCAGGGAGCCGAGCGCGACGGCGCAACAGCGCGCATTAGGTGTTGCCCGTTTTCAGCACCTGAACTCCTTGGCCCGGCAGTTCCTGCTCCGGCGAACGGCCAATGCGGTCCTACGAAAAATTCTACCGCCAATGCACACTGTAGTCGTTTTCTGCCCTTTGTTGGACGAAAACTTTCGCAAAATGTATCAGCAGAAACTGGACGGCGGAACTTCTACTGCGAGTGTGACTTCGGGTTTGGTGCAGCATGAGGAGCAAGCTCCGACTTCTGTTTTGGGTTTGATTCTCGAGTTGCGACGTGTCTGCTACGAAAGCAAGATGGTTTTTTTGAAGCAGTTTCTGAGGAATCTCGCCCAACAAAACATGAAATGCGTCTTGGTGTCAAACTTCACTCGCTGTCTCGACTTGCTGGAAGGAGTATTGGCGGAACTAACCTGTGCAGAAGGAGGCAGAAAGCGCGGTTCGAAATTCGGAGGAGGCATGATATCCTACTCTTACGAAAGGCTAGACGGATCCACGAATCAGAAAGCGAGGACCGAAATGGTCGACAGATTCAACGCAGGCGTTCTTGCGAGTACTGCGAGTAAAAACAGCAAAGACACTGCTGCAAGTCCGAAAAAGGCAACAGATGAGGACTCCGACTTCGAGGGAAGCAACAACGATTATAACGAACGGAAAAATACTAATTGTACAACAGCATCCAGTGGAGGTGCGCAATTTTTCCTTCTTTCTTCTAAAGCAGGTGGAGTCGGTCTGAATTTGATAGGGGCCTCAAAGTTGGTGATGATTGACCCCGACTGGAATCCGGCTGCTGATGCGCAAGCGATGAGAAGAGTATGGAGGGATGGACAAGAAAAAGAAGTCTTCTGCTACAGGCTTGTCGTTCCCGGATCCGTGGAGGAATGCATTTTCGCTCGACAAGAGAAGAAAACCGACTTGCTTCACAATGTTTTGCAGAAGGACATTCTCCAAAAGCAAAACAATTTGACGCTGGCGGAAGTTCGGCAGCTGTTTCAGCTCAGAGGTTATCCCGCTTCGAAGTCTGTAGTTGCCTCGTCTGTTTCTAGGTTGTTGGCGTCGAGTTCGACTTTTTTTTCCTCTTCTAGTACGACTGGGCAAGACGCTGAAATGCCGGCGGAACGAGGAACCGCCTCCAAAGGAGCACCATCTACGATGAAAAGACTACCTGCAGCTGCGAGACTTCTTGCTACTTCCTCCACGTCGCTTTCTACACAGATTGTAGAGCCTACAGAAAATCAGTCCAACGCGTCCTCATCGTCCACATTTACGAACGAACCTTCTGGTTGGCGCCCCAGTGGGTACGTACAACAGATGCGATCGCACAGTGCATTATCTAACGAGTTACTTGAGAAATCTTCGTTGGCAACCTCGCTTTCTCGTGGGTTCGTAGCCGTGCTTGGTTCGCAATTGGCAGACGAAGACGAAACTTCTTAAAAGTCGATAAACGTACTTGTAGTTGTACAGAACTTTTTGTAAAGCTGGAGGAAAGTATAATGAAGTGAGACTAAAGTTATTGCATGGTGTAAGTGAGGATATAAAATAACATAGAGAACAATAAAGTAAAGATAGGAGACTAGTCAACTGGTCAAGCAATGTGAAAATTAATCCTTTGCTTGTTTTGTGCGGTTTCGAACCGAAAGTAGATTTAGTGACTAAAGATGTCATGTAGTTTCAATATTGCAGTTTCAATATTGCAGAACTAGGCCTGATGATGCAACAAGAGTCCCTCATAAGTCTGATATGCGACGGCAATCATCACAAATGACAACACCGACAGAAGCGCATGAATACTTGCATGTATAGCTATAGGCCACTCAAGGGTAATTATCAGTCTGTCATCTAGTACTATATAAAGTCTCAGAAGTTCTTGTTGAAGTTGACATGAAATGTCTTTGCCTCTGTGAGGATCAGAGTGATTTCCTGCTGAAAAGACACGAAAATAAAATGAAATATGAGCAGTTGCAATTCAAGTATCTCTACACTCCCGCGTGATGACTTTGGACGGAGAGTTGCTGTATTGCGTGCTTCTCCGAGCGGCAGCTCTCACTTTTCCTCAGTCTGAATGTCTGCGCCTTCACAAATGAGGATAAAGGCTTCCTTGCAAGAATTGCAGTTTCAATCTGTTTTGACTGTTGTCTTTCACGTGCGTGCGACAAGCCATGAAGCAGATACCTTTTCGCTGCGTCAATGAAAGGGTCAAGCAGGGATAGAATCATGCAGCGCGCTACTCAACATTTACATCGGTACGTAGTTATTCAACACACTCTGTGAAAAGCCAAACTGATCGGATAAAGAAAAAAAACATTATGAAATGATCTGCTTGTAGTTACTACCCCTACTACCTGAGCCGAAAAGTCTCCAAGTGTTGCGTTTTTCGCATAATTAATGATGTTACAAAATGGAGAGGCTCGTGATACTTTTGGACTAAAACAACTAGTACAGCTGTTCTTTCTTTTTACCGCAACAAGATAAATTGAATTACAGCATCCGCTATTTGGATATTTTCTTCTCACCTTGAAGAAGACAGAGAACATACAGAAGTAAGTACGCCAAAAAAGCACATAGATAAAGGCAAAAAAGTGACTTTCATTCATTTATCAGAAAGATGGCGCGCCTACAATTAAGAGCAGGTCTTCTTTTGATATCCGGACTTGTCGCGGTGACGGTTACCGGAAAGAAACCGGGAGGAAAGAATGGGAATTTCCTGAACAAGATCGCGAGAGTGTCCGCTGCAACAACAGCTGCTTTAGCGTCCGCACCTTCATCTGTCCAAGCGCAAGAACAGGTGACTTCGAAAGGAGAATATTATGGAGAGCACGGAGAGGCAGCAGACGTGTATCGCGATAATGATGATATCTACAGCGTTCATGGCACTGTCGCCGTGAGTACCAAACCGTTCGCTTCCGCCCCGTTTGCAACAACATCACTGCCGCCTTCGTCATCGCATTCCGGTAGTAACTTAGGATTATCACAAACAAATGAATTGGAGTACCGCGAGTGGCATGACCCGGATGTGGGCCACCACGTTACAGATTTGTATGATGTACGTGAGTCCTCGCGTCATATAGTGAACGAAATACTCGAGATACCTGACCACGACGAACATGAATACAACCTTCACGGGGACGAACAAGATGAGCACTCGCTTGTGCACTTAGTGGCGGGCGATATTCAGAAGATAGTAGGGGGGTTCAACTTCATAACCGCAATTGGCAGCGCCGTTAGAGGGTATTCAATACTTGCTCCTCTTGAACAAGATCACAGTCTTGACAAGGACGAGGACTCTGTAAAAACTAGAACCAAAGGATCAGCGAGCTACGAATATGGTGCGACAGAAACTGGGTTTTCAGAGGAGCATTACCTTCCTCTCACTATGTATCCGGTGCCGTGGAGGGATGCGTACAAGAGAGGCGAAAATGTGTCTCTACATTATCCGCGGCTCAAGTACTGCATGCAAAGCAAACTCCAACGACAGGCGAAAGCCACTAGCGGAATATTTAACAACTTCGAGGATTTGAGAAGTTTCCTGCGTACGCTCTTCGATAGTATTTGCAACATCTTCCTTCTTGACGGCGAGCACAGAGACGTGGACAAAGCAGATGGAGAGCCGCTTTCTTCGTTCCTGGATGGGAGCGCCTCGGACTCCTACCCGTTCTGGTACTCGCCCACGGCGGATATCGAAAACGGAAGAATGAATGGCGGCGAATCTATCGCGAAGCCTTGCAGCGCCGACCTTGATTTTTCAGAGGAGAAAGAAGTAGTTGTTGGTGAAGAGAGAGAAGCACAGTTTGGATACTCTACGTCGACTAAATTGCGGTTGCTGGGTGCCTACGCTGTGTGTCAATTCGAGCTGCTTGAGCAGTTTGTGATTGAATTCGAGGACATTGTTGCGCCCTTACAGCCGGGGGAAGCGAAAAGTGACGCTTTTGGACAGAAAGTCGAAGTCAAGGAAGACCGAGAAAAAGTACTGGCTCTCATTACTGAGCCTGATGATTCGATGCCAGAAGGAGCTTTGTCATACCGTCCAGATGAGTTGGAGGCAACTGACGGAGCGATCGCAGGCGCACTTCAGTCATTTGCAAATTACCACGGACGTTTCCATAGCAAAGAGCGGGTCAGAGAGGAAATTATCGGGAGAGGCGCAGCGAGAAATATCTTGGAGCCGCTACGGTTTTGGGCTACGCTGTGTCCGACTGTGAAATACCACCTTCTGTCGAAACAGTTACAAGGAAAATTCAGCGAAGCAAGGTCGAGACTGGACTACCTGACGATCCGATACTTGTAAACTTCTGATGAATGCTTCTTGGATTAGAGGGGTTGTTCTTGTAGCTTTGTTTTCTATTACTTTTTCAACGTCAACAAGTCGTAATGTATTAGTTGTTATGTAATGCGCTAGTTTCTGAATTTACCTGAGTTGCTTCGGGACGGGCTCTGGTTCGCAAGGAAGAAGATGTTACCTGAATATCCAAAAGATTTTAGAAGCACTGGAAAACGGCTCTTTAGCTAGGATCATCACAGGAGCACGCACACGATAAGTGGAAAATAGCGCGCAACAAAGTGAATTACACTTGAAAAATGAAGACTTTTTTGATTCGCACAGACTCTACTAGGTTTGACATCCCCCCGATTTACTCCCACCACAAGTAAAGGTATCGATCTGGAAGTTGGGCCTTCCAACTGGATCAGCAGCGCTTGCGCCTCCTGCATCTTAGATGAACAAGTCGGTTATGATCGTTTTCTAAGCACATTCGCTTCGTATTTTGCGTGACTCAAGTTCACTCGAAAATCAGGAGTGCTGTATTTCTTTGAAAAATAAGACGGATCTGTTATGATCTACTTCAACACGAGAGGAGCATACTATGGATTTGCTGGCACCATGGACTATCACCTGCACATTTTGCGCTCTATGTATCCTACGAGAGTAAAATATGGACATGGCTGGCGTTACTTGGCTTCAAGTGTTTTATCAATTAAAGGCTGCGCCTGAATTGGCACACGTCCGCTTCCTCGGCTTGGGCGATGTCGACTTATTCTTTTCTAAAGAGGGGAAGAGATTCTCGGATGTCTTTCACGGTGCCGTCTGGTATCATCCATCCTCGACACTATCTAGTGATTGGATCCGGATACCGATAAAGTTCTGCGGAGGGAGCGTTTTGGCCGGGATGTTGTGACTTGCATCTCTCGAATTTTGGGTAGAACTATCTACAATACCTGAGAAGTGCAATAATAGACTACTCGAGTTTCTTCTGCTACAAATCGCGCTGTCGCTCTCCGCTTTGTTACCTTCTAAATTCAGGGTATCAGTAGTCTGGTGTCCTATGTATTTATTACCTTCTAATCACTGTTCCGTTGTTCGACGTGGTTGTTCTTGGACTTGCGGTTCCCGCGGCGGTCGGCTTGTCCATTTCTATGATCCGCATATACGCTAAGATTTTGGTCATCCACGGCGATCTCAGCAAATGTGGCGGATTTTGGAAGCAAGGCTCGTCAGCTTCACGTTCTCACTCGTCCCGACAAGCAAGTACTCAATCAACTGCGACAAAGACTGCACCTACTAGCGGAGTCGGTGTCGAACATCATGAGTTGTCGAAGTCGAACGCAAGACTTGAAGCGGCTTACGTTGACCAGCCTGTAGTTACGCCCTTCAAATTTCTGTACGCGCTCCGATGGGTGTGTGAGCAATCCTCCACTTTGGAGGTGAGTGGAGATGCGAAAAATGCACTCACGGAAAGAATCGAGAGGAGTTGGAAAAACGATAAGTACGATAATGGCGTGATTCATATTATCTTTGGCTTCATGGGCGACCAAATAGCCCTTTACATGTACATCTTCATGACCTTCCTCTACGACTGGCTTGCAGTTTGGAAATACGTGATGTTTCAAGTTCATCTTTTTCTCAGGGCTATCACCGAGAAGATAAGCCACGCTCCAATCGTGACCTTGTTTTTGTACCGTGCAGCGGATGTGGCGCGACGGGGGAATTGAGAATATTCGAATACCACAAAGAGACGAAAAGTAATGAGCGCCGAGGACCCTTCAGGAGAAACAGCACGGCCGTGATCGATATGACTCGAGAAGGAGAAAACAGCACGACTCACCATACGACCAGTGGAAATACTAATCACACTTCATCCGAAACAAAGGCCAGAAATGCTGGCGAGCTACAAAAAGGAGAACTACGAGCACTAGAAGTGCACGCCACGCAATGGGACGATGATGATACTAATCATGCGATGAAGATTGATTGGGATGCTACCTACGAGTGAGAATGTGGGCATTCTGCACGGTTTCGTCCAGCAATTTTCCAGGTGCTGGCGATTCTACTTTTTCATAGTCGAGTTCCCTCTAGTCATAGGTTCGATCAAGCAACTTTTCGGTATCTACTACGAAGCGCAATCGCTGTGGTATCTCGTCCGTGGCGATCCTGTAGGCTCAGTCGAGAATGGCGCGATGTTGCGGAGTTCGGAGTATGTGCAAGAATTGCTCTCGAGATCGACGACAACAACGACTGGCTCTTCTTTTGTTGCCAGTGAAGATCAAGGGAGATTCATGTTGCTCGCGAGTTTGAAGCTTCTCCTTGTATTTTCCGGTTGCGCGCTCTGTACGCACTTGTGGATTCAGCTTTTCGCGGCTGCAGCGGATATTTCAGAAGCCTGCTCGCGGGTACGAGCTGAATGCTTGCAGGTGAGTCTCAAGCTCGTGCGAGTGGGATCCAGAGATGAGAGCGAGAGGGCGAATAGATTGTACGAAACCGCTCTGAGACTAAACACGGCGGTTTCCGCCTACGGGTGGGTGATTGACTTTCACTTAGCGATGTCTATCTTCTACCCCGCCGCCACGATCATTACCGCCCTCTTGCCTCTGTTCTTCACAGGCTTCGGAGTGTAATAGATGAAAAACGTTGAAGGAAGTGACTGACAAGGTAGCTGGCATAGAGTGCTCGTTGAGACGGGGCAACCGACTTGCGTGTGGATTTTTGAGAAGGAAAGATGGAGTTTTTTATCTGATACGAGACTCCCTGATTTTGAATCCCCCCAAACAAAAAGAAATATGATGGCGATGCATTTTATTAAATGTAATCTGCTATTCTATATGTGGATTCTTGTATCACTGAATCCTCGAACATAAAGTTTGATATTTCTTACTTCATCCAAGAGTACTGAAGACAGCATTACGTACTAGTACACAAAACGCATGGGTTGTGCTGTCGCAGGAGGACTAATCCATCCGGGTCCAGCACCCGCCAACGCGATTGACATCGTGGCCGACTCGCCTGGCGAAGGATGGGATCCGAGTCACACAGTCTTCGATATCAAGGCCCGTGCATCTTTCATGGACCCTCGCTTGCGGACTTTAGTAGGCATCTCGGATCGGGAGTATGAATAAGGCACACGACGTTGAGACGTTGATTGGGTTGTTGCAATTTCTGACTAGAACTTTATTTGAGGATCAAAAACATTTTATCTCGCTAGTAATGCCTTGTGAATCAACGCGTATTGAATGTCGGTTGTTAAACCTGCTTTCACTACCATACTTAGATGTAAAATTAGTACTAGCACCTGTGCTATCGTCATCGCTAATGAGAAGAAGTTATGGCTGAGGTGAATAAAGTTATCGTGGATCGGACGAGGTCAGAGCAATGCTGTGTCTGCCCTCCAAATTGGAAGCTTTTCGCGATGTGGTGTGCGTTGGTCGTCACGATTTTCGCAATACTTTTATGACGAGGCGACCGCGTGGCAGCTAAGAGAACGACATAAGTAATTTACCTTTTGTTGACAGGACGACTCTTGATGATTTTCGTACTAATATGCTGATGGATGCACCATTCCTTGTTCAAATTGAAGTCGATGTCGAAGCACACTTCGTCCTCTTCTTCGATGCTGCACGTCGTAAGGAGTTTGTCTCTGGTACGTGAGGAGGTGGTTACCAGCCATAGCATCATCTCTAATACAAGATTGTCTTATTGCGCAGAGCTACAACAAGCTCGGGCCTTGCCACCAGGTGGTGAAGAAGTGGGAACGTAACGGCGTCGTGGTCCACTTCTACAAGGGCATGCCTGGAAAAAACTGCTTTAACAATACAATCAGAGTTTACCTGCCGAGCAACATGCTTCAGGATGCTGCTGTCTAAAATATATTGATGAAATGGTGATTCGCGACTACCGAAGATTGTGATAATTCGTCTTCATCTTCGAATTAGTAAGGACTGGCTTTGGGAAAGAATTTATTAAGTACATTTTTGTCTTTCAGCACACCAAAAGACGACGCTTAGTAGTCGCGATCATCGGTCATCACGTCTCCACGGCAGTGGCGAGGCCTCCTCCCAGATGTCAACATAATGGAATATCCAAGGCGATATTTTAGCCGGGTTTCAGTTTTGGACTGCTTTACAAAAAGAATTGTTGATCTGACATAAGCACAAATGTGAAGAAGTAGAAGTAGAACCTTCTGGTCTCGTTAATCTTTACGCGATGTAAGACCAGTGATTTCGCACACCGAAATGTTTGTGACCACGTGCGGTCTTTCATAGTGTACATCGAGATTTTTAAGCCGGGATCTTTATGTACCTTTCTTGTGGTGGGGAGAAAACAATAGGTCTCTCATTGCAAAATGGCAGGTGTCAATACTAATATGGCTGTTGCTGCTAGCGGACCCACGGAACATGTTGCATGTGAGAAGTCAGTCTTGTCAAGAAATCTGTCAATGCTGAGTGCGAGCAGAGATGTGCTCGTTTGAGGTTATATAGAGGGGATTCCTCTTCCGGTGCGCAGTAAAAGTCCTCCACCATGATGGGCATTATTGAAATTATCAACTCACAACAAAATCCATGGCGCATACCCTTGCGACGAACATTCCTGCTAGTTGTAATGCATGTTGTGCACAAATCGGTGCTACCTCGTCACCAGTAGTTCATGAATGCTTTGTCGAGAAATCTTTTCCATTTATTTCAGGCTCCACGAAAAATACCACGAAGAAAGAAGCAAATGTTTGTTGAACCCGAACATTGTGTGGCACGACCGCACATGAAGTTTGTTTTGGTTTGTAATGGTAGCTAGAGCAAAAATATCTTCTCCTTGATCTCGCGCTGAATATACCATTGAAATTGAAGCGCCTTTGGAGGAGTTAGGCAGACTGTTTTCCTGTGTATATATAATCATCATTTATGATGTCTATCCGTGTTTGTTTTGTTCGCAGTAGTGCCAAATATTTCCATTCCTTTCATGGTTTACTTACCCTTGTGATTGTACTATGAGTGTTTGTTTATCCAGTTCTTAACTTGGATTGAGTTGGTCATATTTGTAGATGTTACTAGGGAAATGTAGTTAATATGAGTATGTGCAGTACGGCTTTGTTAGTCTCATAAATTTGTAAAAATGGGAACAGATAACACAGTGCATGTCATCTTCGTTCGGAAGGGTGTCCAGGGACGGCCTCCGAACACGCTAACGGCGGAGTACGATGGGTGCACGCATAGGCTTGATCATTGGTTTTATCACCAGCCTTCCGGTCAAAGAAACAGATATCAAGTGTATCGCGGTCAGATTGAGTACCCCTCAGGAGTTGTTGACGCGATTTGGGACTATGGAAAGCAAGCGTGTGCGTGGGGGTACAGTGCGATAACCGCCGGCAACGTTGGAGGTGACGGGTGTTTATCTACGGCAGGCGCACGAAGCAGCCAGAAAAACGACTGTAAAGTCTTTCGATGCGGCGATGCGTGCGTGGACCTGCACTGCACAACGGACGTCCTCCAGTACTTTCGAGCGGAAGTGGTATTCTTTATCCGCGACGAAGCGGCAAGACACGATGACATTCGATTCGCGGACATTTTCCGTACCGCGAGGAGACGAAATGTCAACAGGATTCAGGGACACAGCCTTACGTCGATTCGTCAGGAAGTTGGCCATGTGTGCACATCGACTGGGAGAAGTATATTCGAGGAGGAGCAAACCTTCTTCAGGGAAGCCTGCGAAAGTTTGAGACTTTTTCCCCTATGGGTTTTGTTTCAGGGCCATCCGGACACGCTTAGGAAACTGAACACGTGGACGCCGCTCCAGGTGGTGATCCAGAATTGTACACAGACTTTGGACACGCTCGAGACAATCTCACTAAAACCTCATGGACGGAGCCAGCCACGCGGCTCTCTCGCAGTTGCTCGCTGCACTTTTCCGGAGCTTTTTGTGCCCTTCGCCGTGCTCGCTCTCGTGAGGAATGGTGGCGACGTTGCAATGGCAAAAGCGGATCTCGGGCTTGATGAAAAAAAGACACTTTTGGATGCCGTCGTCGCTGAAAAATCGATGCCAATAACGACATCGATGGCAAGCAGCGGCGCCGTAGGCGTGTCCAGTAGCAGCTCATCATCTTCTGCTGCGGCAGCACCTTTGCAGCTGCTGCCGCCACCACCCGCGGCCCCTTCACCTTCACACAATCCTTTGATTACACCGCCAACCTTTGTTTTTGATGACATCGTGCCGTTTCTCGTCGGCTGTGCCAGGTTGCGAGAGAACCTGCTTCGCAAGGTCAAAAACGCCGAGTTTTTCGAGGAGCTGTACAACGTGATACGTGGGGCCGGAAACCCCTTAGACGTCCAGGCCTTTTTGCGTGTCCGTTTCATTTGCGAAGTATTTTTTCCTTCAGTTTTGGCCGGTGCAAGTAGCTTCACCTCTGGGGCTGCTGTAACGAACGTAGGTGACGCCAGTGTGTATTTAGAGCAACTCGGAAATGTGTACGGCGAACTCATCTCGCTAGAGAAGAATCTAGCGCGAGATGGCATGTTTGGTGGAAGCAGCTCGTGGCGGAAGTACTCGTCTATTGCCGACTTTGTGGCGAAGGAGTTACGCGGTAAATTTCGTACACAACCTGGTCTCAACTTTGACTCAACAGACGTGTTGGACTTCGCATTTCGCGAGCCTTTTCGAACAGAAGAGGCATTGCTGGAACATCTACTGGACGACGTTATTATACCGCCAGTGGCTACTAACTCTTCTAGCTGGGTCTTAGTGTCGTCTAGGATAGTACCTTCTGCCGTATTCGCAACTTCAAGCGTTCCGAAAAGCTCACTTCGGAACCGACTGACAGACAGTGCAGAGAATTGCTGGTGTGATCGCTTGTGGAGACGGTTAGATGCCAACGCTCCGCCTCTGGAAACTGGACGTAGTACAAAGGCTCGAGAGCGATGCCATACCCTAGACGTTTTGCTAGCGAGAGCTTGTGAGAAGAAGAAATCGCGCGCGTCCCTAGGTGCAGAGACGCGTTCGAAGCTGGCTAATGACGCAGCGTTTCTTCGCTCCGTCGCGCACTGCATGCCCAATTCGCTTATGGTGGCTCTGGTACAGTGGTCTGCGGAGGTCCCATCACAACGTGTACAAAACTCACCGGAGGATGAAAAAATGTTGGCGCGTGCCGTGCAGCTTTTGGTGGAAGACCGCAGTCTTTCTGGAACAGATAGCCCCCTGTCACCAAAAAAGTTGTTGGAGCAGGTTATCTTTTCAGGTGACTTTCAACACGCTCTCCTGTACGATATGGCACTTCTATTTGAAAAAGTAGGATTCGACACCTGTTGGCAGCCTCTGGCGCAAGCAGTCGCCAAGCCGATCGAGGACACAAAAAAGAAGTTTGTCGCATTGGACGAGTTTGCCAAATCGTGGCTATGGAACCAGATAGAAACTGCAATCAACCATGGGCTAGAGTTTCGCTTTCGGGAAGATTCAACTTTGACGTCGTTCGCTCAATTTCCGTGGGGCAGCCACGCACAGCCGTCGTTGTGTCAGGAGAACAGTTTTCCACCTTGGCCGGCGAGGCTTCTGTTCCGATCTTATGCACAGGAGCGCAAGCCTAGGAGTCTTGCTGCAAGCCCGAAAAATGCGCGCTCCAGCGCCGGCAATCATGTCAGTATGAGAGATCGAGTTGCCGAAGACATCCGCAAGTTGACACACGCTTATTTGGCAACCCTTACCACCTGTGGAGTAGCACCGGTCCCGTTGCAATGGGCAGCACTCTTGCTGTTTCAAGAGGAGGCGTTGCCCTCGTTCTTTCGGCAGGAGTTGTCGGCGATGAGTGAGACGGGCGTATCAATGTCCACCGCATTTGCAGGAAATGCTGGAAACGAAGGTGCTACAAGTGTACCAAGAATTTCACTGACGCAGCGGAACGAGTATCGGAGCGAAATTCAGAGGTTCATTGATCGTAGTGTTCGCGAGTGGTCCCTCTTGACACCGTACCTGGAAATGGTGTTTCAGCATAACGCAAGCAAGGCGGACGAGATCACAACTCGTAGCACGCTACTAGCTGACCGCATTGCGTCACTGTGCGATGAAGGCTTTCCGTTTTCGAAAGCTGCTGGCAGATTGTCCGCCGGCAAGCGCGCAGCTGCGGTCTCTTCGACGTACGACGCCACATCAGCGGATCTGCGTAGCCTCGAGATCTTGAAGGATGGACAGAGCGACATACTTGATGTGTTTCTCCAGCAGCAGCTGCAGCTCGTCGATGGAGTGCTCGACACCGAGAAGAAGGTCGCCTCGGTGGTGCTTGCCGCCGTGCGCAAGGTTAGTGCCTTTACTAAAGTCTTGGCCGGCACGGTCTCATCGAATGAGCGCTCAACGGCTGCGAGCCAGGAGCAGTTGGACGCGGAATCGCATTCACTTGACAGAAAGAAGGTTCGGGAGTTGACAAGCTCGGTTGGCGGGCGCCTCAGAGGAAGAGTGAATCCGGATCGCGAGGCGCAACTGCTCTTTCGCCTTGTTGATGATAAACCCAATGCACGCGCAGACGCAAGCGAGTTTATTTTCTGTGCGGAGCATGCAGGGAGTCGCAGCAGTTCTTTTGCTGCCAGAGGTAGTTTTCTTGGCAATTGAATATAATTGACGCATCGAGACGGGTGGAACAAGTACATGAGATCGGAGGACGGAAGTTCTCTGGCAGTCAAATCAAAGAGATTTTTCCTACTTTTGAATAGGTCGAAATTAATCAGGTATCTGTGGGTTCGGAATTCAATAGATTTACGACGACGTCGATTCTTTTTTTTAAACGTCTTCCACGTTGGCCTCAAAATGAATGATAGGTCCTGCGCAGCCTGTGACTGTGGAGCAGCGGCGTGGCGTGAGCTCAGTTGCAGGGGGTGTGGAGATATTTCCTGCAAGCGGAGAGAAGGAGCTGAGGATTGCCACACGGCTGCGACTGTTGAGTGTCACGCCGCGCACCTGGGCCACCCGCATTCGCGATCTCGCTGCACTGATCGAGACTTTCTTGGAGTACAAGCGCGTTCCAGCCGCTGTTATAACCGAGTTTCTGATCCCGCTTCGAAATCTGGCTGACAGGATTGCAGTGACCACGGATTTGTTCAACGTTGATTCTTTGCCTTGCGGCGAAAGCACCAAAGGAGCTGCGTCTAACGCCGTCTCGAGCGAGTCGCGCGCCACAGGCCGTTTTCTCGAAGATGAGCTAAACCTTTTCGCAGAGTGGCTCGGCCTCGAGTACAAGAGTCGGGACCAGCACGAGTGGCTAACATCAACTTCTGCGAGCGGTCCTCGGCCGGGAAGCACAGGGGGAGTGACGACTGGTTGCGAGATTGGGCGCGACATGGAGCAAGCGTGCCGTTTTGCAGCGCTCTGGACGATTCACTGGCCACAAGTTTCTCTGCTCAAGAACCATTGGAAGCTATTTGAGAAATTTGCACGAGTGGAGGAA